GGACTATGGAAATAGTGGAGTGTGTACGAATAGTTTTAATTCCAGAGGTGCTTTATTATCTTCTTACTATTAAGCTCAAGTAAAGGTTGGGGCTACTTACTATTAAGCTCAAGTAAAGGTTAGGGCTACTTACTATTAAGCTTAAGTAAAGGTTAGGGCTACTTACTATTAAGCTCAAGTAAAGGTTGGGGCTACTTACTATTAAGCTCAAGTAAAGGTTAGGGCTACTTACTATTAAGCTCAAGTAAAGGTTGGGGCTACTTACTATTAAGCTCAAGTAAAGGTTGGGGCTACTTACTATTAAGCTCAAGTAAAGGTTGGGGCTACTTACTATTAAGCTCAAGTAAAGGTTGGGGCTACTTACTATTAAGCTCAAGTAAAGGTTGGGGCTACTTACTATTAAGCTCAAGTAAAGGTTGGGGCTACTTACTATTAAGCTCAAGTAAAGGTTGGGGCTACTTACTATTAAGCTCAAGTAAAGGTTGGGGCTACTTACTATTAAGCTCAAGTAAAGGTTGGGGCTACTTACTATTAAGCTCAAGTAAAGGTTGGGGCTACTTACTATTAAGCTCAAGTAAAGGTTGGGGCTACTTACTATTAAGCTCAAGTAAAGGTTGGGGCTACTTACTATTAAGCTCAAGTAAAGGTTGGGGCTACTTACTATTAAGCTCAAGTAAATGTTGGGGCTACTTACTATTAAGCTCAAGTAAAGGTTGGGGCTACTTACTATTAAGCTCAAGTAAAGGTTGGGGCTACTTACTATTAAGCTCAAGTAAAGGTTGGGGCTACTTACTATTAAGCTCAAGTAAAGGTTGGGGCTACTTACTATTAAGCTCAAGTAAAGGTTGGGGCTACTTACTATTAAGCTCAAGTAAAGGTTGGGGCTACTTACTATTAAGCTCAAGTAAAGGTTGGGGCTACTTACTATTAAGCTCAAGTAAAGGTTGGGGCTACTTACTATTAAGCTCAAGTAAAGGTTGGGGCTACTTACTATTAAGCTCAAGTAAAGGTTGGGGCTACTTACTATTAAGCTCAAGTAAAGGTTGGGGCTACTTACTATTAAGCTCAAGTAAAGGTTGGGGCTACTTACTATTAAGCTCAAGTAAAGGTTGGGGCTACTTACTATTAAGCTCAAGTAAAGGTTGGGGCTACTTACTATTAAGCTCAAGTAAAGGTTGGGGCTACTTACTATTAAGCTCAAGTAAAGGTTGGGGCTACTTACTATTAAGCTCAAGTAAAGGTTGGGGCTACTTACTATTAAGCTCAAGTAAAGGTTAGGGCTACTTACTATTAAGCTCAAGTAAAGGTTAGGGCTACTTACTATTAAGCTCAAGTAAATGTTGGGGCTACTTACTATTAAGCTCAAGTAAAGGTTGGGGCTACTTACTATTAAGCTCAAGTAAAGGTTGGGGCGTATGGGTGCATGGAGAAAAATTGCTCCAGAAAGGTTTCCCCATCAGTTTCAGTCTGACAACTGTTTGGGGTGTTTCCTGGGGCTATAGGCAACGCATTCCTGAAGAGTAACGTTTGTTGCGAATTTATTCCCAGCTTATCCTATTCCTGCCCTAACTCTGAGATCCTTGTCATATTCGCTATTGAACAGGATTTAAGCTTACGAGCTTAACTGATTATTTGAACTTTTGACATTATAGATTTCCCGAAATGGAAGAAAATGTCATCTGTTATTGTCTCGATCTATGACTCTCTGATTTGAATATAAAGAATTCCAAATATTTCGAATCCAATCAAGAGGCTACAAAATATGTGGCTTCTGACCATAATTCTTCTGTTAACCCCTGTCCCTTCTTGTCCCACCTTTGCAAAGAAACTTCCTGTTTCAGTGAAAGTTAACTCATACAGTCATTTTACTAAAATTTACTGACATTATAACATGGACCTGGGAGTAATATGTAGTAAATATTTGGCAATAAGCCCCTTGGAAGGAAGACCTTCATCTACAAGGGAACCCAGCTAACTGCAGCTAGGTTACACACACCTACTAACTTTTACAGGGTAGTTGAACATAGTGTTGATAGAGCGAGTTCAACTTGGTGTTGATATGTTAGTTTCGCAGTGGAGAAATCTCAAAAGTTCGAGTGTAATGTCTTAACTTTTGCCGTGGAAGTAGGGGAAGGAAGTAGAACTACCACTGTCATGATTATAAGTTATGCGCTCTACTTAGTAAGTAAGCCCAATCTAATAGCTCTTTACTCTGAGCTGAAATAACAATTCTAACCTGATGACCAGTGAGAATGTTCCCAGAATATCTGTAATTGTAAAGTATTTAGAACTTGTGACGCCGAATCGCTGTTTTAAAACAAGCTTGCTGTGTATTACCCAACACAAGGGAGGTGCTTACTTACCGTAGCTGACTGTGAATATTATGAAGAAATATAATCGACCACACACACTCACACAGTTCCTTTAAGTTAATTTACATTTAATTAGTTTAAAATTTAATTTAAATCACACTGATATTATGTGTGTCTACCTTAAATGTGACTTATCCCTGAGCCCTGAATCTAATATTCTCCTCCACTGTCGATGTTAGGGGTCGTTCACATAATATTATGTAATCACTTTTTGGACAATTTTCAACCCCCCTCCCCCCTCGGTTATCAGTTTTACACATAGCTATTGTGTCAAAATTACACTAGCGTAATCATTTGGAAAGCCCCCTCGGCTGATTACGTAATATGTGAGCAACCCCTTACAAGGTTTGAAAATAGTATTCTGTTAATACCGAGTTTGTTGTATCGTTTATAGAAAACTTTTACCGACGTCAATTTTATCAGACATTCCTTGAATTACAAACCCATTACAAACCCGGAAAGAAAAAGATGAAAGAGAATGTATAGAGTATTTTACGTAATACTAGACTTAGATAGTTAGAGTCTATAGTGATTATAGAGACAGTTTTTGTAAGCTTAAATACTAGCTTGTCACAGGGTTAGCTCTGGGCTGTGATAACCCTCCAGGAAAAGATGCCGGGGTAATCTTTAGGAAAGGTAAACCAATTATTTGTTAATTTACTGAGCATATAATTAAATAAATGTGCAATACAGTTAATAATGATAATAGTACTATGTTTACAGTACGCTACAATAAGTTGACGCGCTGTTCTAATGTGAACAACGCTGTATAGATCACGTTCAATTTTTAAATTAACTTTTTATCAAAGTAGTTAGCTCTAAAAATACTTTCTTTGTGCCAGAAATACATGCGACATTATTGCAAGATTTGGCCAACGTATGATATTTAAACAGATAATTTAAGGAATAGTATAACTGAGCTAGTGGTGTAAGTATTCGGTGTGTTTTCTCACATTTTTTTCTTAAAAACTACAATTTTTGAGGTTTAGGAATTCATAGGATATATCAGGGAGGATAAGTTAACTTTCTCAATAAATAAGGCAATAATCAGAGAAATCACCGGAAATTTGTCGGTATTTCATGTTTATCATGTGGCTAATTCCATAGTGTCACGGTGAAAGTAGCCATAGAACTGTGGAAATTTAATCAATTAACAAATCAATCCATTAGTTAAACAATTAAACAATTAAACAAATTGCACTGCACGTGGCTCTTTGTAAATGTAGTAAACATATTACTTCATATATCGTTTAAAGAATATTGCTAAGATATCCTAGTACAATAAAGCGTACAGATACACTGTGATATCCGCATATATTTCAAGTTGTATGTACAATGTTTAAAGTCACCAATAAGCACGGGTCTCATTATGCCACATGTAAATACTCAGCAAAGGGTTCCGAGGTAGGCAGTAGATGGGTAGATGAGTAGATGGGTAGATGAGTAGATGGGTAGATGGGTAGATGGGTAGATGAGTAGATGGGTAGATGAGTAGATGAGTAGATGGGTAGATGGGTAGATGGGTAGATGGGTAGATGAGTAGATGGGTAGATGAGTAGATGGGTAGATGGGTAGATGAGTAGATGAGTAGATGGGTAGATGAGTAGATGAGTAGATGGGTAGATGAGTAGATGGGTAGATGAGTAGATGGGTAGATGAGTAGATGGGTAGATGAGTAGATGGGTAGATGAGTAGATGGGTAGATGAGTAGATGGGTAGATGAGTAGATGGGTAGATGGGTAGATGGGTAGATGAGTAGATGAGTAGATGGGTAGATGAGTAGATGGGTAGATGAGTAGTCAGTAGATGGGTAGATGAGTAGATGGGTAGATGAGTAGATTGAACGACATGAACATTGAACGTGTGTTAATAGTCAGACCTGGCTTCCACAGTGGCACATTATATTTTAATTAGAACAGTACAGATGATAATTGAGAATAGGTTGCATTTTTCTGGAGATAAATTTATCTGCCTTAATAAGTTTATATTTTAGTTTATACTATAAAAGGTCATATAATACGTTTTATTTTAACTAACGTGTGATGATTTAAAACGGTAATTTACGAAATTTCTATAGACTGATCCAAAAACTCTTCAACATAATATAATAAAGGTCATTGTTCTAGACGGGAGGATGACAAGTTAAAAGTATATTAATATTTTTAAAGTAATGTTCTATACGTCCTGTACAATTCAAGTAAAACTTATTTGATCGCCGAAATCAGAAATGCTAGCTATAACTTTGAGCTCGCAGAAATGTTTTAATTATAAGATTATACTGTGAACCATAACATTATAGTTGCTGCTATACAAGTGCTGATGCGATGATAATATTACTAAGACATGGCTGATTCACTGATTGTTCAGGTTGTCCAATTATACTGTCTAGGGGTCGGTTATTTATAATATAGCATACAAGTTGCTGTATTTTAATTAATAATGTAACATTTTTCTGTTAAAGTATATTTTGTTTTAAAAGTTTATGTGCGACTCTGAGAGGAGTACCATCTAATATCAGAAAACCGTTTTTACTTTTTATCGGTAAATTGCACGACTGAGGGATTTCCAATTATGTTACAGTATTTTTCAGATAGCCAGGGAGTCTATTGCACAAAATAAATTCACATCTGAAGTTCAAGGATTGATAATTTCGGAACAGAATTAATAACAACATAGCAACCCAGATTTTCTACCTAAAGTGGAATCAACAACATTAGGAAACGACCGAAATTTTGGCTCGGGTTTCGGCCGTTTTTGACCGGTTCGGTTTTTAAAAAACCGAAATACAGCCGAACTTTTCATAATGGTTCGGTCGTTTCCTAATCGACATTATAACACACACAAATGTGTCCCGTTTACCATTGAGAACAGAAATCATTTACATTTTAACATTAACTCATTACATTAATCAAGGAATAATCGTTCTGTGTATAATATTCTATTACGAAAATAACGAACGAAAAATTGTAAAACTAACAAAAACTATCTTTTTCTTATTTTTAATCATGGTTGCATTTCAATGGATTCCATAACTAGTGAATATGATATTAATGATTTCAATTTCCCCAGTGGAAATAAACATAATTTGCCCAGATAGGTTTTGGTGCGGTTTGGCAAAAGACTGGTTTTTGCTGTAAAGTAAGTTCCTGTGTAATGTGTATTGTGTAATGGACTCTCAGGGACCCAGGGTTAGTATTGATAAAAGAGGAACTATGATGTCATTGTGACGTCACTGTAACGTCATTGTTAGATTTGTGTTGCACTTCGAAATCATCAAGGACAGTTATTAGTAAGCACTCTAAGCTTTTAAGGCTGGGCAACATCATTGTGGGACGGTTGTGATAAGTGTTTTACTATGTAAAACTTTAGGCATTATTTTTACCACGATAGTACTCAGCAAAATGATCATACGAAACTTACTGAAATTAACTGCACATAATATAAAGCTAAAAATTCAGAAATAAATAACAAATAATTTTCTAAATTTAGATATTAAACCTAACTCAACTGATCATGAGTATAAATAGCATAAACTATCAATCAGCAGAAAAGCATCTAATTCTTAATAATCAGCCTAATCAAAACTAGCTTCATAATATGTGTACTTTTAATTTATAATGTATCATGATTATCTTATTGAAATTTAAACACTAACAGAACCTCATCGAACCTGTTGCATGAGGATCAACCTAATGCACCGGCTAAATATACTGGTCATAGATACCTTCTCTAATAAGTCTACCAATCCCTCCAAATAAAATCACTATTTTACACGATGAAAGTTTCACCCCAAGTAAAATTCTTCCAGCTATGATTTGGTTTCCCCATTTTCACATTCACCATCATGATCACCATTCTTAGTCTGCATACAATGGTTACTAGTATGGTTACTATGGTTACTAGCATTCTCACTTACACACAGCTCCTTTTCCTGTAGCAGGTACTTGGGCAACTTCTTAACACTTTTATAGTCTACATCCACAATGCTTACCTTGTAGGAATACACTCGTCCATTGGTGATAATTTGAGGAAGGCTGTTATCAGATGTAGATGATATCGATATCATAATACTGATATCCTGTGCTATGATACTGATGCTGAACTTGATGATAAGATCAAGAAGTCTCAAAAATTCTTCACTCAGAGTTGATTCACCAGCCAGCCATCTGCCTATTTCTATGTCTATATCGAGACCCTTGCTGCTGAAGCGACTGTATATTTGACACAGATCAGGTATAGATAGCATATTGATTTTCTGAGCCTCTTCGATCACTTGAAGGACATTTCTGTTACTACTAGTCCGTTTGGACAGCAGAATCTTCACGATAACATTGATAAGCTCATTTCTTGTCCTGTAGCTTTGAGGACTCAGAATTTCTTCTATGTTTTTATTGTCTTCGTCAAATATCCTTAGGTTGTCCTTGTGGATGGTCATGTAGCTAAGAGGTTCATCAAACAAAGCATTGATAGCTTGAGCAACTTTACTTGCTCTTGGTGAAAAGAAATCTCTTGGACAATATTGAGTTTGTGCAGGGATCAACCCAGTATTATATCGCTTCTCAATATTTGAACAGAATCTGCAGCATTTTATTGGGGCCTGCTGCTTTCCTGTGGTTCTCAAGTACGCTTTTGGTTTGATCTCGATAGTGATTATATTGTTGTGACCAGGAAGAGCGCATGCATCTGGCATCATTAGAGCATACGGGCACTTAACGTCAATGTTGGAGTGCTTCAGGCTGCTCCGTCTGTTTTGTATCTTAGACACAACAGTGGCAGCAAGATTTGTAGGAAGCTTTGTCACCTAAAAGTTTCATATTATAACTTCTAATAAACAATATAGCTAAAAATTGGTAATATATGAACTGTACAGTTATTGGATTTCCCATAGTGCATAATTTTCTTAATTTCAAAATCAAAGATAAACTTTCCTAACAGATTTGATAATTGCCATAAAGCTATAAATTCTACTAACCTGTCCATAGCACAAGAACGGTCCAAATATAGGAGCTATGCACACTTCAACATACAATAAGTTCCTTGTATAGAGGTACAAATAATCGTTCTCTCGGATTCCCTTGCGCAACTTCAAAGCCTGAAAGCAAATATTTTCATATCGTGTCACACAATATCAACAGACAGTCATTATGCATATTAAAAATTGTTTACTTACGAGTCCACAATTGTTCGTCACCACCAGACCAGTTTTACCTTCTCCACGATACTTCCAACAATCTGTTTCATTCAACTTCAAGATGATTGGCTTCAGAGATGCTCTCCGCTGTACCATAAAACTATAATTAATTAGGTGTCATAAAGGGATATTTATATTTTCATCTGTGTCTATGTTTTATGGATGGCCCATTCTCCCAACAACTAAAAAACAACAAATGAATCTATTGCAAGAATTTTGAGGATACAAGTCTTCAAAAAATCAGAAAAGCAAGTCGATCGTGAATATTAGTTCATTGTGCAGTATTTTAGAAACAGTAACTGTGTTCATCAGTAAGAATAAACACTTATAAACACTCAGGTGATGTTAATTAATCAAGTAGCAAATTTCAGCCTCTAAAAATATTTAACTTCCATACTGTAGAGTACAGTTATAATAAAACCAGGAACAACATTGACACAAATGAATCATTCTCAAAATGAACATTTAAAATAGTTTAGACAAAGGGGCTTGGTTGTGAAGGTAAGGTGGCTTAAATAAAAATACATTATAAAATTTATTTACTTTTAAATAAAATACTTTATTATCTGAAAGTTGCAAGTCAAGCCCCAATGATAATCCCAGGGGCGAGCTAAGGACTTTAATAGATGTTTACCAGCCCTATATAATCAACTCAACTGTATCAACGAGAAAGCGTGATTCACAGTCAATTAAAAAAAAGTCAATTAAAAAATTGAGGAGAAGTCCAGACAAAAGACTTTGAATCTTGTTAATTATTAGTCTATAGTTCAGTGTGCAACCTGTATCAATTTGAAAAGGTATTTATTCCTTAATCAAAACTGTATTTTACTTACTTATAACTTGTGCACAAATAGGTCAGACTTGAATGCTAATTTAGAACTTTGGATAGAATTTTAATAGCTAAGCTTATCGATGGTTAATTTTGTGAGCAAAACCAAATCAAACCATAAAAACAATAAAATTTTAAAGATTTCAGATTTACAATTTTGCTGCGAAAAAGTTTCAAAATTTTTTATTTGTGTACAACTTTTGAAAACCGAGATTAAAGGTGGCCTTTTTATATATCCGTTGTTAATGAATTGGCCGTAGCCGGCTCGTATTGTAGCGTATGGGTCGCGCCGCGCATCAAATAATTCTTCTCGCAACCACACTTCGGTAGACCACACTTCGGTAGATCGGCGAAATGCACCAGTGTGCCTCACCGAACTGCGAAGGATTGACATCGTGAATCAACGGCTCGTGCTACTACGCAGCACTTCCCTTCGGATCAAGAAAGCACGGAGCGCGGCGCTACTTAAAAGTTAAACGAGCATTATTTAATTATCCGTCAAAAAAGCAGCACTACACTGCGTTTCATATCATGTATGTATATGTAGCGCAATACACTATATACTGGGTCATATGATCCAATAATGCAATGCTCATGCTTTAGCTCTTCGCATTCGTTAAATTTAATCGGCAAGATGCACTTATTGTATGCATGATTGCATGCACTGCTGGGCCACGTGTTTAATAATATAAGTTAAATTATACAACAAATTTTGTATAAAGTTATTTAGTAATTTGCATTATTTATTTCAAATAAATTTGGAGGACTTCGCCGCTTCGACGCGCCGCGCGAACTAGCAATCTTGCTTCGCATCGTCGACCGTCGCATCGTCGCATCGTCGCATCGTCAGATCGTCGCATCGTCAGATCGTCGCATCGTTGCTCTGCTTCGCAGAGCAACGATCTCGATGGGTTGACATCGTCAACCAAAAATAAATTTAATAAAATTTGTTTAAAATTTAATTTGTTTGTAGGATTTTGATCCGCCAACTGCAACAAAATACAAAAAATACAAAAAATTTAAAAAACGAAAGTGCAGTGTCATGTCATGGTCATCATATTCGTTATTACTTGAGGACCCTAGGCTATTATGTTCATTAACAATAATAAAGATTTGGCGGAATGACAGGCTGAGCGCGGCCCAGTAAATTCGTTATTATTATATATTAGCAAATTATATATTGTTGAGTTTTCAATTTATTTTAAATATATATAAGTACATATAAATTAAACTATTAAGTATGTCATTATCTAGATCTCGATCTCTGCGCGCAATTATAATATAATAGTCACTTGCACTAATTCTATTTTTACATAAATCTTAAATATTGCATTGCACATGCTTTACTGGGCCGCGCTCAGCCTGTCATTCCGCCAAATCTTTATTATTAATGAACATAATAGCCTGGGGTCCTTAGGTAACACATGCTCAAAAGAGATCTATACTAGCTAATATAATAAATCGCTTGATTGACAATATTAATCTTTCATTGTCCTTTGTTAATGGATTAGCCCGGAGCGCGCTACTTCGAAGAAATATAGACGAGTAACAAGTAAAATCCGTTGCAAATACTTCATAGCTGCGCATAGTTCAACAAGTAGTGTATCAATGCAAAATGATTAAATGTATCGCATTGATTAGAATTAGTGATATAGACATTTTATTTATCCGATAAAAATTTGTGCGAAAATAAACATGAAACATGTTTCATGCGCGGCGCGTCCCGTTAATGCATCGTGCTACAAATAAAACAAATAAAACAAGTCACTTGATGCAAATATTTTTTAGCTATTAAAAAAAAGCTGGATTGGGTTTTATATTAAATTTTTGTGTTATTATACAAAAAAATTTAATAATTCCGGTAAACGATTGTATATTTCATGAATTCATGAATTTCGTTCTAATATGATATAACAAATAACAAATTAAATTTTGTCTCACCCTATGCAGGCCCAACAAAAGTTACTGGCTGACGGTGTTACAAGAGGTGGTTTATTTTAAACAAACAGCTTGACCTCGCTTGTAGGTTTACAACCTACCAGGACGCGCGTCGAGTTGAACTCGTCGACAGTCCTGTATGTGGAACAGATATTTTACGAGTATCACCCGTTAAATCTTCAAGCAGCCAGCACGTGACACAATTTAGCCAATTAGAGGTCAGGAATCTGCAAAGTTAAAGTTGCAGACTTTTGATCGGCCCAAAATATGACTTTTCTGGAGATTTTGAGATAAGTCATCAACTATTTTGTCTTAAATTTTCCTCCTGGGGAGGTAGGTAACCTTAGTTTTACGAAACGAACATTTTGTTGAAAACCAGACGTTTCTATCTCTTTTATTATTGAAGTTAGGCCCCTACCAGTAAGGTATTCTGGGCCTGACATATTATATATATATGGGGGTGATTTGAGGTATCCCGCATAACAAATGAAGCGGTATGCAGTATAATAATTTTTGTTTAACTGAATACAAAACAAGTCACAGTAGATGTTGGAAGGTGTATTTACACTTGCTTCCTGGACCTGGCTGTTCCTTAGTTTCCTTGGTTGTGTTGTTCTTGCCTTCTTCGAACTGTAAATGAGCCATGAGGCCAGTATACGTTTTCGTGATAAACTGTAAAACGTCTCTATACCGGGTTTCTCACGGTATAAAGCGTATCATAAACCTCATTAAGAGCCATATAATGTACACGTATTGTGTCGTATTGTGATTGAATACAGCTCGATATGTATTACTACTTACATCGCCCACCAAATGCGATATGAACAACTTGGTTTGATTGTTGAGGAAAAGAAGAGGTCTGGTAATCCAGGAAGGCACAATTGACGGTACAGAGAGGTTTTATTTATTACGAAACGAAACGAAACGAAACGAAACACTGTACTTACTACCCCGCTCTTATGCGACAAAGATATTGCATGAAATATACTTAAATAATTTACACAATACGGTGCCCATGTCTGAGCGGCTCTCCAAAAAAAAACTTTCTCTCTTCCTCAGAGCAGAAAGTTTTTTTTTAAATATATAAACTGGTGTCTCATAAAAATTTAAGAACCAATGTACTTTAATTCACACAAAAACTTTTAAAATATGTCACATATAAGGTTTAAAAACTACCAAGACGCGTGCCGAGTTAGACTCGTCAACGGTCTTATATAATTAGAATTTTTACGAGTATCACCTGTTAGGGTACACAAAAGAAACACTTCATAATTACATATCGTTCACTCTGATATCTTTTCCTCACAACAAATAATACCACTTCTGATATAATATCGTCTCTTCAAGTCCTTCTTTGCCTTCTCTTTCATCTCCAAAACGAGCAGATGTTGTCTGGCTTGCTCTTCAGGTGACCGATCTGGAGAAATGTAAACTGTTTTGTGGTGCTGACTCCGTCTCAGGTTCTTCGATTTCAATAATATCTCGTGGACATTATTGGAATTTGTGACCAAGATTTTGATAGGTCTGGTCTTGTCGGCTGATCTCCTTCCAATCCTGACAGCTTCATACCGTGGTTTCACTTCGATCTGTTCAAACAGTTCGTCTACTTTATCGGATAGTTTTTCATCATCCGTCTCCATTAAACCAAACACGACAACATTTTTACTGCGGTCCTCCTTCGATACAGCACTCTGAACTGCCATTTTCAAGCCCTGTTCTGTCAGTGCAGTTTCCGGCGGGTCCTTTGAAACAGCTTTACTGTATGACCTGATTTCAGCTTGTACAGTTTCCTGAACGGCAGATTTGACTGGTCTGAACGGATTCCAACTGCTTTGATTTGCCCTCAAGAAGTTCACTCTGCAGTTTGATAACCGAGTTTTGTGACCGAATAAGAGAGCTCTTCAACTCCTCCACATCTTCCTTCATTTTGACAGCTTCTCTGACAAATACCTTCGTCTCTTTGTACACACTGTACAACAACTTTGACATAACTTTCTTAGTTGGTTTGCTTGGTTTTTCAAATTGTTCTGCTGAAAATTCTGACTCATCACAGGTTGAGGCTTCTTCAAGTTTTGTTATCCAAATATGGAAGTCCTCGTAGGCTTCAGTCAAAAATACAGAACGAGCTGACAAACGTTCTAATAATTCCAATTCGTCCATGATGTACTTAACTTGTATTACAAGGCTACACGGTGAGCGCAGTGTAATTAAACGATTCTACTCAAATTATTTGTTATATAGTAGTGTTGAAAGTATTAAATTACAAATGTGATTATCTTAACCCCACTGATTCATCATTGAAATCAATAAAATGATAGTACAGCAGGCTATTGTTTCGATCTTGACTGTGCCATTGGTGCAGTTTCTGTGAAAATCGATAAGGCTGTATTGTATTTGTAATTAGTTGTGGAACTCTTATATCGTATGGTTAACGTTTTTCAGTTTCAGACCTTTCCACTTACTAATTCCTGGTTACTAAAATCTGCCAAAATTTCTGATTTACTGAACTCCAACTACAAATATTGGTGATTTTAGTATTCTTGAAACGAAAAATTCATTAAGTTTTTTTGAAAAGCATTTTTTTCCGCGTTTCATGCAATTTGATCACTTTTGGCGTAAAAAAATATTTTGAATTTTCGAAAGTGTTTCTAAAAACTACTTTTCTCCGTGTTTTAAGCTATTCCGATCATTTTGAGCCAATAAATTTTTTAAGAATTTTGCTAATTAGCTAATTGATAATTATCCAATTAACTGATTATCTGACGTAAAAATTGTTTGCACAAAAGTTTTTCTTCCTGATATGAACACACTCGATTGATCTGCAACCTTTTACGATGTTCACAACTAAAGGGGGGGTGACATGTCTCCAATGTCTCCCGCACCTTATCTTTTCGAAAAAGACAAAGACATTGGAGACATTGGAGACATTGGAGACATTGGAGACACAGCTTTTGGAGACATTGGAGACATTGGGGACATTGGGGACATTAGGGACATTAGAGACACAGCTTTTGGAGACATTAAAGACATTGGGGACATTGGGGATATTGGAGACATTGGGGACATTAGGGACATAAAATGGATATTAGGGGCATTGGAGACATTGGAGACACAGCTTTTGGAGACTCCTCCTCCTCCTCCTCCTCCTCATCCTCCTCCTCCTCCTCCTCAGTCCTCCTCCTCCTCAGTCCTCCTCAGTCGTTCTCCTCCTCCTCCTGAGTCCTCCTCCTGGGACCTGGGTCCTCCTCCTGGGTCCTCCTCCGGACCTCCTGGGTCCTCCTCCGGACCTCCTGGGTCCTCCTCCGGACCTCCTGGGTCCTCCTCTTCCTGGGTCCTCCTCCTCCTCTTCATCCTCCTCCTCTTCCTCCTCAATCATCAGTCCTCCTCCTCAATCCTCCTCCTCATCCTTCTCGTCAGTCCTCCTCCTCCTCAGTCCTCCCCAAGTCCCCCTCCTCCTCAGTCCTCCCCCAGTCCCCCTCCTCCTCCTATTCAGTCTTCCTCCTCCTCCTAAGTTGACAGTTCTCCTCAGTCCTCCTCCTTCTCAGTCCTCCTCCTGAGTCCTCTTCCTGAGTCCTCCTCCTGAGTCCTCCTCCTCTTCCTGAGTCCTCCTCCTCCTAGGTCCTCCTCCTTCTCCTCCTCCTCCTCCTCAGTCCTTCTCCTCCTCCTCCTCCTCCCTCTCTCTCATCCTCCTCAGCCATCCTCCTCAGCCATCCTCCTCAGCCATCCTCCTCAGTACTCCTCAGTCCTCCTCCTCATCCTTCTCCTTAGTCCTCCTCCTCCTCAGTCCTCCCCAGTCCCCCTCCTCCTCCTCAGTTTTCCTGAGTCCTCCTCCTGAGTCCTCCTCCTCCTCCTGAGTCCTCCTCCTGGGTTATCCTCCTAGGTCCTCCTCCTTCTCCTCCTCAGTCCTTCTCCTCCTCCTCCTCAGTCCTCCTCCTCATCCCTGTCAGTCATCCTCCTCAGCCATCCTCCTCAGCCCTCCTCAGTCCTCCTTCTCCTCCTCAGTCCTCATCCTCAGTCCTCCTCTTCAGTCCTCCTCCTCCTGGGTCCTCTTCATCCTCCTCCTCTTGCTCCTCAGTCCTCAGTCCTCCTCCTCATCCTTCTCGTCAGTCCTCCTCCTCCTCAGTCCTCCCCAGTCCCCCTCCTTCTCCCCCTATTCAGTCTTCCTCCTCCTCCTATTCAGTCCTCCTCCTTCTCATTCCTTCTAAGTCCTCCTCCTGAGTCCCCCTCCTCTTCCTCCTGAGTCCTCCTTCTGGTTCATCCTCCTCCTAGTTCCTCCACCTTCTCCTTCTCCTCCTCAGTCCTTCTCCTCCTGCTCCTCCTCCTCAGTCATCCTCTTCAGTACTCCTCAGTCCTCCTCCTTCTCAGTCCTCTTCCTGAGTTCTCCTCCTCCTCCTGAGTCCTCCTTCTGGGTCCTCCTCCTCCTAGGTCCTCCTCCTTCTCCTCCTCAGTCCTACTCCTCCTCGTCAGTCCTCTTCCTCCTCCTCCTCCTCCTCCTCCCTCTCAGTCATCCTCCTCAGCCATTCTCCTCAGCCATCCTCCTCAGTCCTCCTCAGTCCTCATCCTCCTCCTCAGTCCTCCTCCTCCTGGGTCTTCCTCCTCTTCATCCTCCTCAGTCCTCAGTCCTCCTCCTCATCCTTCTCGTCAGTCTTCTTCATCCTCAGTCCTCCCCCAGTCCCCCTCCTCCTCCTTCTACTATTCAGTCCTCCTCCTCCTCAGTTCTCCTCAGTCCTCTTCCTTTTCAGTCCTCCTGAGTCCTCCTCCTCCTCTTCCTCCTGAGTCCTCCTCCTGGGTCCTCATCCTCCTAGGTCCTCCTCCTTCTCCTTCTCCTCAGTCCTTCTTCTCCTCCTCCTCCCTCTCAGTCATCCTCCTCAGTCATCCTATTCAGCCATCCTCCTCAGTACTCCTCAGTCCTCCTCCTTCTCTGTCCTCCTCAGTCCTCTTCCTGAGTCCTCCTCCTAGGTCTTCCTCCTCTTCATCCTCCTCAGTCCTCAGTCCTCCTCCTCAGTCCTCCTTCTCATCCTTCTCGTCAGTCTTCTTCATCCTCAGTCCTCCCCCAGTCCCCCTCCTCCTCCTCCTATTCAGTCCTCCTCCTCCTATTCAGTCCTCCTCCTCCTCAGTCCTCTTCCTTTTCAGTCCTCCTGAGTCCTCCTCCTCCTCTTCCTCCTGAGTCCTCCTCCTAGGTCCTCATCCTCCTAGGTCCTCCTCCTTCTCCTTCTCCTCAGTCCTTCTCCTCCTCCTCCCTATCAGTCATCCTCCTCAGTCATCCTATTCAGCCATCCTCCTCAGTACTCCTCAGCCCTCCTCCTTCTCTGTCCTCCTCAGTCCTCTTCCTGAGTCCTCCTCCTCCTGAGTCCTACTCCTGAGTCCTCCTCCTGGGTCCTCCTCCTCCTGGGTCCTCCTGCTCCTAGGTCCTCCTCCTCAGTCATCCTCCTCAGCCATCCTCCTCAGCCATCCTCCACAGCCATCCTCCTCAGCCATCCTCCTCAGCCATCCTCCTCAGTACTCCTCAGTCCTCCTCCTTCTCAGTCCTCCTCAGTCCTCTTCCTGAGTCCTCCTCCTGAGTCCTCATCCTCCTCCTTCTCCTCCTGAGTCCTCCTCCTGGGTCATCCTCCTCCTAGATCTTCCTCCTTCTCCAATCATACATCTACGTCTCCAGTGTCTCCAATGTCTCCAATGTCTCCAAAAGCTTTGTCTCCAATGTCTCTAATGTCCCCAATGTCTCCAATGTCTCCAATGTCTCCAAAAGCTGTGTCTCCAATGTCTCCAATGTCTCCAGGACATGTCTCTGCACCCTATCTTTTCAAAAAAGACAAAAGACATTGGAGACATTGGAGACATGTCACCCCCCCCACTAAAGATATTCGACAAACAAGAATGGTGGTAAAAAGTGGTAAAGTGGCAAAAAGTGGCCTTAAGACACGTGGAACAGTTTGGAAAAGTTGGTCAGCTATAAAGGGCATCTAATGGGACTCAAAAACGTCAAATATCCTCTGAAAGCTTTGTGTGTCGGCAGATCGATTTTGTCAGACGGATCTGTCTGTACTATTTCATAAGATCTCACTTTGAATAAGACCTGTTTATTCGTTTTTATTTTACTTTGGAGGTTAAGGTTATTACAAGCTAAAAATGTATCCGTTTTAACTAAAGTGTATTAAAATGGAATTTCAAATGCACTGTAAAATTTCTTCAATCGGTTTTAATTTTACTCATGCTACAAAAAAATCGAATCAATTTTACAAAACAAAACAGGATCCCTGCTGACAAAAACATAATAAAAATCAAGGCCAGTGCTGCAATATCTAAATTGTGCATCTCAATAAACGACTGGTTCAGAGTAATCCTGTTTACTAAATAGTCAACATTCCTGTTCTTGATCAGTAAGTCGGTGTAAAACTTTAAAACACCAGTTCCAGAGCCCGGGTCATTACTAGCTATATCTACAGCTTTTTTCATGTTGGCTTTGAAAGTTCCACGCTTGGCTAACATCTTGCTTATAGTCTCTGTGAGAGTCTGCTCAGATAATGTCTCCCTGGTTAGCACCAACCCAAACCCGTTCCTAGCTACCAGTCTACCATTGTAGTACTGGTCACCTAACAGCGGGATGCATAACAGTGGCACGTTGTAGTAAATAGCCTCCATTCTACCGTTATTACCGCAGTGGGAGATAAAGAAATCCAACTTCCCACTTCCTAGCAGATCCTTCTGTGGGATCCAGGCCCGCTGTAGAAATTTGTCAGCTGGAAGATCATAATGTAAGCTTAGATCAAACGGACTGTTCATGATGATACAAGCGTTTAGTTGATGGAGTGTTTCCATGATGGTTGGAGTTATGGAAAATGTCCCTATGTTCTGGAGATGGGACCCAAAGGAGAAGAGTAGAGTGTGTTTGTAGGGACAGTTGGTGAGGAATTCCAAGTATTCTTCAGGAAGAGGTTTGAGAGGGCGGTCTTCTAGATTGAAGAGTCCAAGGTAGAAAGAGTTGGGTGGTGAGAGAAAGGGGAATGAAAAGGCTGGGTGGTCGTTGATGAAGACAACATCGTAGATGGCTGTGAAGTAGTCTTCAATATTCGCTCTGGGTTCCATAGTTTTGTCCACCAATGATTGTATCATGGAATTAAATGTCGTGAGAAAACGTACCATCTTCACCAGAGTCTGCAATCGTTCTAGAAAAGTTGGAGGAGAATTCGTGACATCATTAGTCCAACTAGGAATACTGTTCAACAATGCTAACTGGCCAAACCGATCGTTTACATCTCTTGCACCAGGATAGCAAACAATCCCCATTATAGGGATATCTCGGTGAACCAGAGATACCATAGCTAACAGAGCTATGGAATTTTCTAGAACTATCAAATCGATCTCCCCGGTGTCCAGTAATTTAGAAAATTCCTTCCCTTGAAAATAGTTCTGCGCCACACTATTATAATCGTCTCTCCACATTTTGACTTCTTTGATATCTCCTCGACTGATAAGAGATTCTGGCATCATATCTTTAGATGGTTGGTGTATGGAGTGTTCATAAACAGCTCTCCAGTAATCCATATCTGGCCCACTTTTATCTTCATCCCCAAACGTGACAAATCTGAAGGCTCTGTCCTCCTTTTCAACTTTTTTGTCACTGAACATAGTCACCAAAGTTACGTTGTGTCCAAACTCTGCTAGCTTGTCCGCTATGTCAGTGGAGAAGTACAGATGAGAACCTCGCAGCCCTGCTATAACTAAAACGTTTGCAGAGTGGGATGTTGAGAGGAGTGTGTTAAGTAGGAGGATAAAAAGCACCATGGTGGTTAACCTAAATAAAGAAAGAATAAACAGTGCACACTAGTGCTAGCTAACAATCAATTAGCTCTATTAAAACAATATCAATACAATAGAGGCCCTTAACGTCCGTGACTACGTGAGGTTATTTAAATTACGTGTGTATTGAGAAATGAGAACTCTTCAATAGGGTTCCTCATTGACTATTTATTTTTAAGTATGTAGAACACTCAGGTGTAGATATTAGAAGAGTGAAAACTACAATATACACCTTTGGGTCAGATGAAACAACAAGATTGTTAGAACTTGGTGAAAAACCAAAAATAGAAGCTAGCAGAATTGGTTTCAATAAACCCAACTTAGATAAGAAACAAGTGGCTGTTCGACCTGTTAAGGTGACTTTGACGAGCTCGACAATCGTGCAGCAGATATTGACTAGAGCAAGGCATCTCCGTCTGGGCCTCATCACATCAAGACCGTTGGAATGAATATAAATAGTTGGTGCACAATGTAAGATGTAATTATTACTATACGTTATTATCTTAAAATCTTAACGTCAACACATTTAGTCTTTAAAGCCCCAACAACTCTGTTATAAGTTTATATAATCTCGATACAGAAACACGATACCCAATACGAAATTGAACAGCTAGCAATTTTCATGATATGAAGATTCAGAGCATCTTAGGATTTTAAGAACTTTAGGGGATTTCACGCCCTTAAGGTCCGAGGTCGATTTTGAGATTTTGAGATATGTTGTAGAGCTCGATCTAAATTTTCAAATGCTTTTGTCCTTACCGAAAACAAAGTTTCCTATTTGAAGATATCGCACGTTGAATTTTGAGGTTTACCTGTAATTCTATTGTAAATGAAAACTTTAAATTTCCACAAATATTCAGGTTTTCAAGCCTACAATCTACATGCATGTCATTTACTCCTTTATTTGTAATTGACTCCTTTATTCTCCAGTTAATAGCAACTAGTAATCAACACCTATGCAGCACTATCCATAGACTGATGCCATGCACAACTCAAATTTTCGAGGGTGAGTGACTTGTTGTGGCTATACATAAACCAGATTGGAAGTATTTTTTTGTGAAGGCACTTTTCCATCAAACAGCACACAGTACACACCCAAGCTGGGTATCTTTATTATGGTGCCACACTGAATGGTGCTAAAAAATGTTACTATTCACACCTTATTACGATAAACTAGGAATAAGAATTTTAGTGCCCAAAATTTTGATCCCCAAGTGTCAAAAACGCGAATTAAATAGGTAATAATTATTTAAGTCTCTTGAGTCTTGACACCATTTAGGGTTAGACGGGTTCCTGCTAGTTCACATTAATTGGTGCAGATTTCTTCATTCAAGTCCAATCTGATCAAGTACCTCTTAGCTGCCGATACAGTCTGGAATAATTCTTTCCCTAAAATACCTAACATTATATATCTTAAAATGGTTATAATTCTGTCCGTCTGATTATCTTTTCTTTTTTTTCCTTTTTTGCTTTGAGTTGGGACAGAATTGTGATCAGCCATATTTTTACTATTACATGATAAGTTTGATTGTTTGTTATTCAAAAATTTGGTAGAATAGACGGCCCCAATGTTAATATGGCTCCTGCTATGTGTTGGTGCAGCTTAGTTGTCCGGCCACTCAATATGCAACTTCTATTGCTATACCATTGTTTCCATAAGTTTTCATAAAAATGATGTCAATGCAGTTTTGCATGGCTGAAATGTAATTCTCAAGAATAATTATTATTTGGATTTTCAAATAAAATGCACAATGCTTCTGTTTGACAGCCACTATTTTTGTTATGAAACGGCTACTGTAAATAATTGATACTTCATTATTTACATTTCATCTATTTCTTATTGGTGTATTTCAAACTATTGTGAGATTTTTAGTGCACATCATCAATCATTCAAAAGTGAAAACAAGTAAAACTTGTTTGTCCCATAAAACTTATGCTGTATAATACCTTCTTTTAAATTAGGATGACCCGACGTGGAGCTCGCCGTTTGGCTGGTGGAAATACAGAGAGTTTGACACAATCAATAAATGAAGTCATCCTTCAAGATGTCCACAGCCTCTACATCGAGGGAGATGACAGTCTTCTAAATGTGGGAGAAGATTTGGGTCTTTCTGTTGAGCCTCCTAGAAAGAAAATAAACATAATGCTCATAGGTAATTCTGTTAAATGTTCACTGGTCTGTCCAAAATGCATAATCAGGCAGTTTTTGTCTGCTTTCAGATCATTCGTATCAACCTCTGTAAATACCTCACATTCAAGTCTTTATATATTATGTTAATCTCTCTTGAATGTGAAGCATCTTGGGACAAATCAAATGTTCCATTTTATGATCATAAACATTCAGTTTTTCAAAGTTCAAATTATTTGATGTTTAAAAATGGAATTTAAACTTATTTTGACCATTTACAATCACATCAGGTAATCACTCTGCGGGAAAGAGTAGTTTTATCAACTGGTATATCGAGGAAACCATACAAAGAACAGGAGTTGCCATAGAAACCCAAGGATTCACCTTAGTAACCAGTGGAAAACGCAGAGATACTCTCACAGGTAAGGGGACTGTTTGAGGTAATTTTTTGAGGAACAGAAGCAAGGTATTTTATTGTTACCCTTCTAATTAAAAGGTAAAAGCTTCACAACTAGTCGATCTGACAGTTATTTTTACTTACAGGATATGTACAAGCGTAATCGGGTTAATTACTTCCTTGTATGTACTTCAAAACTTATTCAGAGATTTCCCGTTTTAGCAGATAGCAAATGTTTTTTGCTGTCTGATTAGTGGTTATCTCAACCCAATTAACTATGGGTATTATAACTATAAGCAGTGGACACAATCAGTACGTCAATGTTTTAATTTTCCGACAATTCGTAGATGATGATAACATTGAGCTGCAGTTGTGAAGTATATAAAATAACATAGAATTATATAGAACTCAAGTTCATATATATAATGTTGGTTAAAAAATTATAGATCTACTTTAGCTAGAAACCATAAACCACTAGGAAAACCACCAAGAATATATTAAAGAAACCTCTGTGGTCAGATTCCAGGAAGTATTAAAACATTACTGTCAACCTTACGCGAGGATACGAATCTGTAGCGTGAACATGTGTAACGTACGTTACTCTTTAAACATGATAAGTTAGTCACTAGCGTTGAATCACACTAATTAAATGTACTGTAAATTGTTTTACTCTCTAAATACTCAGCAGAATAAGACTGTTTGTTACACGTGACTACTGTTTGTTACACGTGACTACTGTTTGTTACACGTAACTACTGTTTATAACACGTGACTACTGTTTGTTACACGTGACTACTGTTTGTTACACGTAACCACTAAGTAAACGCACAGCCCTGCAGCACTATGCTCGACTACACAGGAACCCTCACCTCACCCTCCGGAACTGTCATCTCCACCATACTCCTCGTCACCTGCTCCTTCTCCTCCTTCTTCCTCAACTCCACCGTCTACTACCACAACAAACACAACATATCAACATTCCTCTTCTCACTTCTGGCCCCGGTTGATTTCATGAGGAATTTAGTTCTACCAGTCTACCTCCTGCTTATCCAATCAGTCTGGGTAGAGTACAACTTTAAAACTATGGAGTGTATGGAGGGTGTTATACCCTCTGTGTGGAGTTGTTATGAACCCTCCGCGTCTCCCTTACAGATCAGCCTCAGCGCCTTGTCTCAGATACTGACTTCCTCCACTCTCGTTATCTCCAGTGTCATGGTTATCTCCAGGTGTATCTCCATCGTGTTCCCGCTTTATCGTTTGACGAAGGCTCAAGTGATCCCGATTTTAGTGATGTTGATGTTTGGGCAGTTTGTTTTAGTTGTTAGACATTACTATGAGCCAAATCAAAATACTGTTTTCGTGCCAAATATTTGCACTGCGTGGAAGCTAAATCCATTTAATCTAAATACAACTGATGATATGATACTGAAAAGCCAGGTCCTCACAATGAGTATCAGTATAGCTCTACAGACTATGTCTATTGTAGCATCTGGTATAATTGTAGTTCTTATCATAAAGTTGCTTATATCCCCCCGGAATCAGAAGAAAATTAAGAAAAGGCGAATCAATACTGTTAGTTCAGCTCCTAATGTGATGAGCGTGGTGACTGAGAAAAGTGAGATTATAAAGAGGTGTATCATTCTGCCTAACACTGTGAATACAGCTGTTAATCTTATTAGTCCCATCAAGGTATGTCCTGAGGTATGCGAACCTACCATCAAGGTATGTGAACCTACCATCGAGGTATGTGAACCTTCCATCAAGGTATGTGAACCTACCATCAAGGTATGTGAACCTACAATCAAGGTATGTGAACCTACCATCAAGGTATGCGGACCTACCATCAAGGTATGTGAACCTACCATCAAGGTCTGTGAACCTACCATCAAGGTATGTGAACCTACCATCAAGGTATGTGAACCTACCATCAAGGTATGTGAACCTACCATCAAGGTATGTGAACCTACCATCAAGGTCTGTGAACCTACCATCAAGGTATGTGAACCTACCATCAAGGTATGTGAACCTACCATCAAGGTATGTGAACCTACCATCAAGGTATGTGAACCTACCATCAAGGTATGTGAACCTACCATCAAGGTATGTGAACCTACCATCAAGGTATGTGAACCTACCATCAAGGTATGTGAACCTACCATCAAGGTATGTGAACCTACCATCAAGGTATGTGAACCTACCATCAAGGTATGTGAACCTACCATCAAGGTATGTGAACCTACCATCAAGGTATGTGAACCTACCATCAAGGTATGTGAACCTACCATCAAGGTATGTGAACCTACCATCAAGGTATGTGAACCTACCATCAAGGTATGTGAACCTACCATCAAGGTATGTGAACCTACCATCAAGGTATGCGAACCTACCATCAAGGTATGTGAACCTACCATCAAGGTATGTGAACCTACCATCAAGGTATGTGAACCTACCATCAAGGTATGTGAACCTACCATCAAGGTATGCGAACCTACCATCAAGGTATGTGAACCTACCATCAAGGTATGTGAACCTACCATCAAGGTATGTGAACCTACCATCAAGGTATGTGAACCTACCATCAAGGTATGTGAACCTACAATCAAGGTATGTGAACCTACCATCAAGGTATGCGGACCTACCATCAAGGTATGTGAACCTACCATCAAGGTCTGTGAACCTACCATCAAGGTATGTGAACCTACCATCAAGGTATGTGAACCTACCATCAAGGTATGTGAACCTACCATCAAGGTCTGCGAACCTACCATCAAGGTATGTGAACCTACCATCAAGGTCTGCGAACCTACCATCAAGGTATGTGAACCTACCATCAAGGTATGTGAACCTACCATCAAGGTATGTGAACCTACCATCAAGGTATGTGAACCTACCATCAAGGTCTGCGAACCTACCATCAAGGTATGTGAACCTACCATCAAGGTCTGCGAACCTACCATCAAGGTATGTGAACCTACCATCAAGGTATGTGAACCTACCATCAAGGTATGTGAACCTACCATCAAGGTATGTGAACCTACCATCAAGGTCTGTGAACCTACCATCAAGGTATGTGAACCTACCATCAAGGTATGCGGACCTACCATCAAGGTATGCGGACCTACCATCAAGGTATGTGAACCTACCATCAAGGTATGTGAACCTACCATCAAGGTATGTGAACCTACCATCAAGGTATGTGAACCTACCATCAAGGTATGTGAACCTACCATCAAGGTATGTGAACCTACCATCAAGGTATGTGAACCTACCATCAAGGTATGTGAACCTACCATCAAGGTATGTAACCCTAGTAGCTCACTCAGAACAAAGACTGATATGATTCTCAAGAACTGTTTAATGAAACGATCAGCAGCTAGTTCTGCCAAGATTCTTCTAACAAACCTGCTAAATTTAACCTACACTTCAGCCTATCTGATCACCGTCTCCCAGATGAACAGTAGTGGAACTACTGAGACCCAGCTCCAAGGGTGGGCTAACTTCACCGTCACGTGTATCCTCCCTGTACTTACAGCCACACTCAACCCACTAATATTTCTAGTGCTTACTCCTGGATCGGGGGGTAAACTCAAGGAGTTTGTGTACGGGGAAGTGGTGAGAAGTTTTAGGAGGGAGGAGTTAAATGAGGTTAAGTTGGAGAGATGTAGGTCAAGGAGACGGAGACATTTTACTGAAGTTAGCAATGGGAGTAGATGTGCGGTGAAGACTAAAAATAGTGTTTGTAGATTACCTTGATCAAGGTAGCTGTGTTAATGCTGTATCAGATTATATGTTTGAGTCAGCAGTTAGCTTGGTGTTAAAAATGGAGTTAGTGCTTTTGTACGTTATATGAAGTAGTTAGAGAACTCCATTTTTGTTTTATAATTTAACATTAGAAGATGAGAATACATTTAATGAGAAGAAATTTTATTATGATCAGAAGATCAGATTTGACATGCTCGAAGCATAAGAATTCGAAAGTCCTAGCTGTTATAATTTGTTTTACTCTTCCTCTTTACAAAATGACACAAACTCATATGCTTACAACAATGAGAAAAATTTACAAAAGAGCTATACAAGGTAACAAGATGGGATAATTTGTTCCGGGGGTGCATCGTCCGTTATTCAGAATTCCTAGCTGTCTCCATGGTGACGTTCAACCTCTCCGGATTTCTTCAGAATTTCCTGAGGTTATAGGTTGAATGTTTATTTTACGAACTTTAAATACTCAGAATCGGTGACAAAATCATTTTACTAGATTTCCTAGAATATGTTTGTCAATATCTCAAAATATTGAAAAAAGTGCTGCTTTGTACTTACCGTAAGCTAGATTTTGCTCAGTCTCTTCTGCCCCGCCTGTAAGATACAATTTTTGAAACTGTGATCACAGCTAAGTTATTGGAACGCTAATATTCAACTGGCCAATATTCTAACCGAGGTTTATCCCAACGATTGGAGCGCTATTTTTTAATTATAAGGACGTTATACAAGCATAAATATTAATTCATCGTAATGTTAATCAGATAACCGACAAGACATTGTCATACTAATGAATTCGAAAGATCGAGAAGCTTTTTCCTCTGAAGGTTCTTACCATAAGCAAAGTTCTGATCGTCTGTTAGCTCGTCTGATAGTTCTAGTCCCCAGTTTGGTCTACCTGTTGTTAGATGACGTTAAAACCAGGTTTTGAATATGTTAGGCATTTTAGCTATGTTAAGTATGTAAGGGTCTGCGTGTACAAGAATATAAAAGTCACATGATCAGTTAAGATGTAAAAGATTTTCTGATGCTTGTCAAACATTTAAAATCATCAAACGACATATTATATAATAGAGAGGGGGGGGGGGCAAGTGGATATTTGTAGATATTTGGATAATGTCATCCACTTTTTTCGTGAATTATCCATTACAATAATCTACAAATATCTACATTTATCTACAAAAAATGTATATCTCAAATATGTGCCCAGAAATTCTACTGAATTTTTGGAGATAAATGTATAAATTTGTAGAATTTGTAGAATTTTCGTGAATTATCCATTGACAATAATCTACAAATATCTACATTTATCTACAAAAAATGTAATCTCAAATATGTGCCCAGAAATTCTACTGAATTTTTGGAGATAAATGTATAAATTTGTAGAATGTCATCCACTTTTTTCGTGGATTATCCACTCTACATTAATGAACAAATATCTACAAATATCCACTTGGCCCCCCCCTCCCCCCCCCCCCCCAGAGAATACTAATAATAGAGAATACTAATAATAGAGAATACTAATAATAAAGAATACAATAATGTATAATAATGTACAATAATGTATAGTAATGTATAATAATAGAGAATGTATAAAAACAGAGAATACTAACGGAAGTTCATGGCAGGTTTATCTTCCTCAGAGCTCTCTAAACGAGCTGCTTCCAAACCTGCATCACTGAAACGAAATAAATTAGTCAGCAAATGTAATTAATCAATTAAAAGTAATTATCTATCACCAGATTACACGGCCTAAAAGTAACAAATAAGTGCGCAATAACGCAACGATAACAATCTCCCCTCTCCACAAAACATAGAATAAACCGTTCAGGACAAAAGAACATTTTTTCTTTGTCGCAAACACAGAATTATCAGCAGTTTTCACCAGAAACATCATAACAATGCGACTCATAGATAATGTTCCTATCCGGATAAAACATAGAATAAACCTGTCCTCCTGGTCACTGAAGTAGGGGGCTGAGAGGACGGCACTCACAACCAGACACAAAATAACTCCCTCTATCATACGTGCCATGTTGAACTGAGCTCCCACCCTCCCTCCCCCTCCTTTTATACCCACCTCATGTCACGTGGTATACCATCTCACGTGGTATTGTCACATGGTATTTCTCAAATTGTGGAGGTGTCATGTGTGCTGTGATGGCCATGTCAATGGTTTCAGGCTGTATCGGTTGACACATCAGCAGTTATTTGCTTTACCGGTAGCCTATCACTATCTGCCATATTGCATCTATCCTGACATCTAAGACTAAAATTTGTGAATTTTATTGCTCCAATAATGGCCAATCTTTGAAGCAGAGCTGTCAAGAAGCATAAAATAGGTAATTTTGTCTGATGAAATTGGCTATTTAAGTATTAACTGTTCGGTTGAGTATTTTTAGAAAAGATAAGATGGTACTGTGGTATATTTGGAGTAGCAAGGTTCCCTATATTTGAAATTTAAATTTGTATAAGGAAAAATTAGATTTGGGGAAAAAATGACAGAAATCTTCGGGGATCCTCAATTCGAACTAATTAGAAACTACGAACCAATTTAATGAAAAATAGAAATTTTAAATTGCCAAATGTTATGATATTATCAAATTATGATAAATCGTGTTTACAACGCTACTGTTAAGTGAAACGTTAACTCAGTACTGTGAAAGAACTATGTAAAGAACCCAATATAAGGATTCAAATAAAATATAAGACCGAGAAAAACAAACTATGTGCTAGTTTTACCTCTCAAAACCATACTTAAACATATTATATAATACTCTAGTTTAATGAATATATCCTAAAAATAAAGCTTCTCCAAATTATGTTGTGACAAATTGAATAAATATGTCTTTAAACAACTTTTAAAATGAACTTTAACATACTAACTCTTTTTATAAATTTTTCCTAAAAATAGAGCTTCTCCAAATTATGTTGTGACAAATTGAATAAATATGTCTTTAAATCAATTTTAAACCATACTCTACTCTCTGTTTCTCTAGTTTAGTAAATATATCCTCACAAATCATATTGTGACTAATGCCGTCATACGCAAAGAAGTCTCCAATTCAACTAGTCCGGCCCTAAATTCCAGACCAACTTACACCGACTGACTTGGTTTTTACAATGAAGATGTTCGTTAAAGTTACTTTACATGACGAATATTCCAAAGAATCCCTCCATATTTAATAGTTCAAGTTTTAAAACTTGTTTGTTTATTTCAGGCACTGCTACAATACATTTCTACCCGATGTTAAAGGAGCTCCTCTCTACTGATAAGATATTAGATTACCTAGCCACCGAGGTAAATATCAACCTTTATTTTATTTTTAATTAATCTGTTTTTAATAACTTTCTTTCACATTAAAGGGTTCTTTACTGAAGTGGGAGACAAGGCATCCCTTAAAACCACATATAAGTTTACACTTTACATGTTCTAAAAGTTTTCCTAGTTGTTCTTCACAATGATTAGTTAACATAAGAAGTAGTGATAGTCACTACAAATCTTCGATGCAGTGAAGAAAACGGCCCAGGCATTAAGGGCCCAAGGCAGGATTAATTTGCAAAGGCCTTCCTTTTCTAGAACTCCTATGAAGATTGAAGTTCCCTCTGATAACTCATTTTGTTATTGAGTCTCATTTGATGATTCTTTCAAGAAAATGTCTGATTTTTTCTTAATAGACCTAGTGATGATGATGTTCTAATTCCGTTTGCTTCAGGTGACCACAAGTAAACAGAAGAAGTTCCCTCTGATTACATTTGTAGACACACCGGGCCTGGTGGATGGGGAGATGTTATACCCTTTTGACGTGGACCAGGCTATTCAGTGGATGGGCGCAAAGTTAGTATTTATACTTTTCTGGGTGTCTTACGTAAACAATAAACATTGTATTATGTTTGCAGTGTCTTATCTTTCTATCTGTTGTCAGTGTCTCCACTTGCTTCGTTAAATTCTGGCCAGCAATGTTTTCTTGCCAGCGGCAGATGCGACGTTAGATAATTAATAAAATATCATTTTTCAACAAATTATTAAGATTCTAAACCTGTACTCCGGATCTTTATGTCATCAACCCTTCGATATTAAGTACTTCATTCACGTAATGAAAAAGTATCCATATAAGTTTCATAAAATAACCTCCTCATAAAAACCCATATTTCATAAAATGCTAAGTTCTTATGTACATGTTCATGAGTCGCTTTAGATGGCTTGAACTGAATCTTTGGATTTTGAGTTCTTTTTGGCTATGAAGCGATGTATAAATTTCTAGTTATTATTACGATTATAATATTCCATTTTGTTTTGGGAATAATATAAAGTAAGCAGCACAGTATGATGCTGTAGCGTAGATTACAGATAACAATCACCTGATAAGAGATTTATTTAAACGTTAAAAAGCTAGTATAACTAGTGTAACTAGTGTAACTAGTGTAACTACTGTAACTAGTGTAAAAACTAGTGTAACAACTGTAGCTAGTGTAACTAGTGTAACTAGTGTAACAACTAGTGTAACAACTAGTGTAACTACTGTAACTACCCCCCAGGTGTGACCTGATATTTGTGTTCTTTGATCCTATTGGACAAGCTCTCTGTAAGAGAACACTGAACATTGTGGAGCATCTCAACGAGTTTGCTGGCGACAAAATGAGGTACTTATACAATTGTGCGCATAGAAATTAGGTACAGTGAAACTTCGAACCCTGCACCAAATTAATATCGTTACAATCGAAAATGACTGGAAACAAGTTGGTCCGAGATTATGAGCTCAGAGTAATTTTATTGTCGCCAAGCATGAAAATCTCGTGTAACGGTCATTATTTCGTCCGGGGTTCGATGTTTCGCTGTATACTGTTGATTTTATCTCGGAAATTGTAATTGCCATATTATTCTGATATCAGATATTTCTAGAACAGTTTACTTTATAGCGCCACAGGTTATTAACAATCTCTCTCTTTTTACGGTTATCAAGTATTAACAATCTCTCTCTCTTTTTACAGGTTCTATTTATCTAAAGCAGATACAGCAGGAACGGAGACAGACAGGCAGAAAGTTATGATGCAGGTGGTCCAGGAACTCTGTAAACGACCCGGACTCAATAAAACAGGTTTAATTAATCAATTAATTCATTATCATTAAGTTGATTCATTATGCCCAAAATAATGTTTATGGAATTTTGAATTTGAGACGAACTTTAGATCTAGATTCATATTGGGAAGTGGCTGAGGTATTTTATATTATTAATTTAATTTGCTATATACTGTATGGTATTATCTGACAGTTAAAGTTGGTAGTAATCTTGGACTGCCGCCAAATCTTTGACTGTCTCAAAATTCTGAAACAATTTAAACTAAATCCAGCTGATTCACTGTCGATATAAATAATTATTACCTTATATTTCTATAACATTCCCTGTGTTTGACTGACACAGTATTTGCTGGCAGGTTTTGACATGCCCACTATCTACATCCCAAGTCTTGCTAACGAGAAACAGCGCTGTGTCAACCAAATTGAAGATGTGAGTGATTTTAGAGATCTTGATTTTCATATCATTATCAATTTTAATTATTAGTTTTAATTGTTATTAACCTAATCATGGTAAGGTCGTCAACTTAAGTATAGTTCAAAGTATGTCTGATTAAAGTTTTGATAAAAATATATTAAATATGTTAAGTATTTTAAATATTATGTTAAATATGTTAAATATGTTAAATATGTTAAATATGTTAAGTATTTTAAATATTATGTTTAATAACACTTCTCAACTTGTAGGTTTGCAGAGATATAGACAAAGCAATAGCCCACACCCTCCAAAGTATATTGAACACTCTTGATAAAGATTGCGATACGTTGGTTGAGAGGATTGATGAAACACTAGCTGAAGATACAGTCCATGGGAAACATAACCTTAAAGCTTATAGTTGGGTTAGTTTAATTTATTTTTACTTCCACTAATCTGTTTAGTGTTTATCATATTTCTGAATTTTTTCATAATGTCTAAACCGATTTTATACATAATATATTATATATTATAGAAGTGTTTAATTATGATATTTTCATACTAATATTTGTCCATAAATTCTGAACTGACACAGAAGTGCATAATCTTGATATTTCCATACTAAGTCTCGCTTGATGACTTCAATATACATCTTCGTTGGGTACATTTCAATGTCGAAGTGTGTAATAAATTTTAGAATTTATTGTAGATGTAAACAGATGGTATATTACAGTATAATCATCATATTATTATGAACTTTATATGAATTACATAATGAAACTAGTTTAGTAGTTTAAAACATTATAACTTTTAGTGGGATCATTAGTTACTTATCATAAAATCAGGATTTACAACTCAATTCTAGAATCTAACATGCAAATTTAAATAATAATTATATTCTCAGTGGTTGCTGTTTCAAACTCTGGGATATGGACTATTTCTTCTCCTGATCACCCAATTCATTTTCTCTATACTCTCGCCTAGTGTAAGTCTTAACTAATACTACGGAACTGAATATGGGAAATTATACTGTTTTCTTTTTGGTGTTTTTGAACCTATTGAGAGGTTTAGAAGTAGGCATCTTCACGGCCATCGCGCAATCTGCGGACCACCTCCTTGACTGCACCAGTCTATTACAAGAAATTTTAGTCTAAATAACCTATTATTATTAGAGTTATTGTATTTTCAGATGTTGAGTGCATTTATAGACGAGCAAACAACCCAACTAGTCTTTCAAACCATACGACCAGGTTTGTTTATGTTATGGTCGGTTTCATTATAACTTTGCGGGGGATACAGTCGTTAGCTTAAATAAACAGAGTTATTGGTTTCATCTAGAGATTATGTAAATAAAACAATTGTTTACGTTAGTAAAATGCTAATGTTTCTTTAATATGGAGAGTAGTTATGGTCAAATCTTGCTATTTAACTGAATAAACAAATCGATTATTTTACAGTAACTATCATACATAAATGTTGAAGTTTTGAACATATATTCAACATCCTGTGCTGTTGAATGGTGGAGTTATCACTTATCAAAAGTATTTATTCGAGTAATTATAGAGGAGTAATTAACAATAACTGGTATCCCCTCAGTTCGGCAGCTGTTTGCTCTGATACCGGAAGATAACAAGTATTTCGTATTCGGAGCTATTATGGGAGTTAATCTGCTCTGCTTCCTTCTGGCAAAGGTTAGTTAGTTAGTTGCCTCGCATTAATCTAACATCGTCTTTTAATATCATATACATTATTATTAAATCAAAGTTCTAAACAAGGGATAGTTTAAAAAACAACGCCCAAGTCTAATCTTTCCCTAAAACAAAAACTAAAAATTAAAAACTTCATTGCAAATTCCGCCAATATCTCTTGTCATAACTCAAATTACGGAGATAATGTAGGTCAAAGATATTATTCAAATAAAGATTTCTTTTACATAAATCATGCACAATCAGCGAGAATAGATTGCTTTGGGGTCTTCCTCTTCTCCCTGGTAAGTCCAGTGTATTGATGGCAAAAATGAGGGAAGAAAACGCTGGTCCGTCAATAGGACCCCGCAAAACATGTCCTAACATTCTCCACCGACTACGGGCCACTTTTTCTGACAATGGTTCAGCATTGCAGCGTTTATACAAGTTTTTGTTGGAGATGACTCCTGGGTACTTTATATTCAAAATAGTGCGAAGATGTCTGCGGTGAACAACATCTAGTTTTTCAAGGAATATTTTGGGGACGGCCCAACAGGATGAGTTGTACATAAGAACCGATACGACTAAAGCATTATACAGTATTAGACGTTTGTTTAGGGGCAGTTTATCACTCCAGGCCTTCTTGTAATTGTTAAAGGCAGCATATCCCAGGTTTATGCGACGCTGAATATCAGCTTTGCTACACAAGACGGACCCTAGAGTGATACTTTTCCTCCATGCTTCATTCCCCGACACTAATTTTCCATCACTGTCGACTTCACCCGTACTAGCTAAATAAACATGAGTGAAGTCCGTTTTGTCTTCATTGACAAAGAGGTTCCATTTCTCGAGTATAGCTGTTGCCTGGGGCAAAATAGCTCTCAAGTTGTCTTCCTCTTCATCATTGAAGTCAACATCATCAGCATATTCAGTGTCAAGTGGAAGGCCAGCAATAGTAATCGGGGGGATCGGCCTATCTAAACTGATTGTTATAGTCCATCTAAGTTCATTCAAAGCACCAGCCAAGACAAGGGTGAACAGACAGCCGGATAGACAGTCACCCTGGAAAGCTCCAAGGAGACTTAAAAACTCAGCTGAAAGAACTCCATTTACCTTCACCCGTAGCTTTGTGTTGGACAACAACAACCGGACAATCCTCAGCTCATCCTCAGTACAGCCACACAGTTTCAGGAGTTCAAGAATCGTAGTGCGTTTGATCGTGTCAAACGCACTAGACATATCAATGCCCATGCGATGATACTCCCATTTCTTCCTTTGGACAACTGACAGTAGAACCCGCTGACACCAAACGATATCAGCACAAGAACGAGCGCGTTTATATGCACACTGCCATGGACCAGTGAAGGCGTTCACTTTTTCTTCTATCCTTTTAAGAGTAGCCATAGACAGAATTTTTCTGGCTGCATTGGACAAGGTGAGTGGACGTAAATTCTTCAGAGGACCAATAGGTTTTTTTGGCTTCTGTAAGGGTGTTATAGTAGCCTCTCCAATGGAAATGGGGAAAGTATGTGTCTCGAAACAACTGTTTATGATTCCAGCATAATGTTCATGGACTGTACTATTAGAGTACTTAATTAGCTCGTTGGGTATTCCATCTGGACCATTTGCCCTCCCATTTTTCAAGCTAGAGGTTGCTGCATGTATTTCAACTCCAGTAAAAGGGACATTGAGAGCACGTGGTAGACCCTCAAAAGGCTCGAGAGGTTGCTCATTGCGAGTCAGCTGTTTTTCGAGATAGTCTCTAACAACAGAAGCTTTCATGTCGTCAGATGCAATCAAACAGCCATTTTCATCATGAACACCAATCGAGTTATTAGGTGGTTTACTTTTCTGAAGATGTCTTACTGCTTCAAACATTTTCCTTGAATCGTTTGTGTTAGTAATATCACTATAGGTCTGATCAGCTTGAGCAGACCTCACTTCAACTAATCTTTTCTGGATACTATTAGTGAGGTGGTTGATGGATGACCTCAATGTAGTTCGATCAAGAGATTGATTATTGTTAAGTAGCTGTCGGAGATCGTGACGCTTATCAACAAGCTCTTTGAGAGTGTCATCACTGCTGTGATGTTTCAAGCGAGCTTTAGGTTTTGGGCCGATGGAAACATTGGCAGCATCACGAATATGAGACATAAGATTTTGAAGGTCGGCATTTGGATCGTTGCTGGTCACAAAATTTGAGAACTTGCCTTCAAGGGCCAAGTGATATTTATGTTGCATATCTTTGTTGCTTACAAGTTCTGATATATTATAAGAAGGAACACGACGTTGTTTAGGTTTGAAACAAAGATGAATGTTGCTGAAATTGATGCGAGCAATGACAAGTCTATGATCTGAAAATGTTTTAGTACCAGCATAAGTTCTTGATTGAGTCAAAAGACACTTAGATCTATTTCGGCATAGTATGTAATCTATTTGAGAGTATACAGGCAGTGTCTTCTTACTGTACCGACCAGCCGACCAATCCTTCCGCCAACCAGTAAATGATGTAACACGTCTGCTAGGCTGTATAAAACTAGTGTTCACAGCAAACAGATTATTTTCTGAGATAAAATCCAGTAATCTAGAACCATTTTCGTTCCTTACTCCCATTCCGTATTTCCCCATATATCTACCAAAACCCTGTTCAATATCAGAAGGGGATAATTTACCCAGTTTTGAATTAAAGTCACCCAGGAATTGCAACTCCACATTAGAGGGTACATTCTTGGCCTCTCTTAGCTGCCCATAAAAGTTATCCAAAACAACTGGATTTTTACGGACTAGCCCCTGATGTGGACAGTAGGCATTGATCACCCTGCAACGTAGGGGTGTACCGCTACGTGAGGGGATGCAAATATCGACATAGCATACCCGGTCACTGATGTACTTCCAGCAAACCACATAGTTCATCATGCGAGGACTGATTATAAAACCCAAGCCTCCATGGCGACTGTCCAACTGCTCGAACAGAAACAAGTTAAAACCGTTGCGCAAAACAAGGCTGTCTGATTCGGTGACTTTAGTTTCCTGCAGAGCGCAGATGTCGACATTGTACTTTTCACAGTCTAATCCTAGTAACTCACGTTTACTATGTAGGCTATCATCTTGCTGAACACCGAGCCCACGGATGTTAAATGTGGCGAAGCTGATCATTAATGCAATGGTTGTTGATACAAATGATTTCTTCTTCGGGTTAAATATGTTGGAGTTGGCGTCACCACCGTCTCCACCGCTGACATTACTCGAACGGACCATCTAAAAAAATATACATTAATCAAATGTTTACAGTGGAGCATATTGGGAAATTTATTGAGTTATGAATTATATGCTGGATACTGAACGGAACGTATGAATTACCTGTATTATACGTCATCATTAAACAACCAATATTAATTACTCCTCTGGAGTCAGGTTTATTCTAAACCCTTAAATACGTCACCATATTTCCACTACACAATTTATTTTTGAGAAACGTGGGCGATGACAAATTTGCGACTTATGGTAGTCAATATGCTGGCAATTCCTGTCAAATACGTGTCAAATTCGTCACACGCCATCGTCCAACGCTTTTTTTAATACCTTTTCCGCGCTCCAACCCGGTCTAATTAATACGTACGTACGTACCCGCGCGCGCAATCAGTAGGCAGTTTAACTGTAAATCGTATACGTGACCAGATTACGCGTCTAATGTTTAAGGACAGTTCAACATCCCATCCACGTCGACTTAGTGGGTGGACAGCATTTTCACCACACCTTTTATTCAAACTATGCGGGCATAATTTAATTTACCACTCACTGAGAATTACTGTTTCAGCTTCTGTCCCGGACAAAACCACGTCTGACCTCGAGAATGAAGAAGCTTCACATAGCTCGACGAAAGAAGATTCTAGAAACGATAAAACCTAAACAGAGTGACATGTACTCCAAATACCTCGCTCAGTGTGCGGAGTAATCATATCCAACTTTCTCTAAAGTTGTTATGTCGGTAAAGGTTTCAAGTTGAATTCGGGTGCTGACTGCTGATACTATTTTAATAGTCGTGCTATTGCTGGAAAAACTCCGATTTTATTCGTCAATTATCTGTTAAAACTAATATGTACGTGTGTATTATCCAGATAAATTAGTCATTTTTCCATATTATCACCTAATATTGGGGTTGATTTCGAGAGAAGTTCTTAATTTTAAGTAATTATGAAGCATTTTAGAGTGCATTGATAACAACGGCTGGATCGTTGGGTGATCTGTATTTTACATGAATTTTATTAACGCTTTTTAACCAAATTTCAGTTAATACAATCTAGTTTGTACAATCTATTAAGCAGAGAGCAGTCTTATTGTATTCTTGTACATTTGTTATTCCGATATACATATATTATAAAAGCAAAGGAGCAGTTTTCATTCGTATGTTAATGGTTAACCTCATCAGAAATATGGATAATGTGACCAACTAAGTGACCAACTGTGAATAATGTAACCAATTATCTGCAAAGAGGTGGTTTTGCAGGAGTAAATATATACAATATACATGATAAGTATAATAGTGGTGATCTATAAGTGCAGGGGCAAGGGCCGAGGTACTGCACTTCAGTTCTAAATATGTACCGTCTGTCGAACTCATCGATGATATTCGTCTGATTTTTAATAATTTTAAATAACGTTTTATGATGCGATCGAAATCTGATTAAATTGAAATATGTACAAAAACTCAGCAATATAAATAACCATAACATTGTTAAAACTCGCAAAAACAAAAGACCGATCTAATACATTTACATACGCGCCATGAACACGGATAGTTTCAACTGGTTCACAAAAGACTTGGAGGTAGTCCTGGTGGAAAAAATGGTGAAATATTCCAATTTCTAGATCAGATTCACAATTTTTCACCATGATTACCCCACAAAAGAATTTCGCTCCTATTCTGATGAAACAGGCTCAACTTGTTCCGTAAGGAAAAGTAAATAACAAATTAAAATGGAACATCAAAATTAAAATGGGCTCTAGAACCAAAAAAGGATAAATATCAGAACTAATAGCTTAAGCTTACTAGAAATAAAACATCATCCATACCATAAATTTGAAGGACTAAAGCAACGGCTAAATACTAATCATCTATCAGAAAAATATTCACCCTTATCTGTGTAATCACCAAACAGATCACACAAACAAAACTTCTGTTTTAAAAAACTACCCCAAAATGTTCAATCCTACGCGATTGTTGATCAAGAATCAAAACATTCTTAGCATAATTGCAGTTCTTATTATAAGTGCAGGACGTATTATTGGAATTTGAAGTGAAACTGCTGACCACCCCCACCGAAGGGAAAACCGTTGAAGTGTTGTTGGTGAAAGTTTCTGCCTTGTTCAGTTTCAGGATCCAGTGGGTCCTCGCCGTTGTCGAATTGTTGTCGCTTTTCTGAAGGAATAAACTTTTTAGAATCTTACTTAAATGCACTTAGTCACGTGATTTGAATGACAGGTAGGGAGTGGATACAATTATTTGATGTATTTAATATAGATTTTAAATTGCAATGTTTGATCACACATTTAAGCACAATGAAATAGGCTTAAATCAAAATAAGAACAATTTTGTAATACATTTTTACACAATCTACATAAAACTGATGAAAATTCAATGAACTTTTTTCTTTCAATGTTTATAATAATCACAAATCGTACGTGTTGAATATTTACAGAAATCATATCATTAAATCACAGCTAAAAAGTTATTCATCACCTTCAAACAAATATAAAGTTAAAGTCATTTCCATCGACCACAATTTCGGGTTAGTTCTAAAATAACTGACCCTCAATAACGCAGTTATGAAGTTGCACACCGTAAAATAAAATATCTCACAATTAAGGGTCTAGGAGTAGAATATTGCACCACCTTCAATCTGTGCTTGAGGAAGGTTCACACAGAATTCTGTTAGGAATGTCATTGTAAGCATGACGCAAAACTGTAGCTAATTCGCGTCTAATGGTATCATCGTCCATTTCCACAAAGTAAAACATGTTAACTTCCGGTTTTTTGAAGTAGTAAAACAAGGATTTGACCCTTGTCAGAGTGTTCCCTCCAAAATGTGGCTTCAAAAGCTCGCACAACTTCTCCTCCACAACCTCGTAGTGTTCCATCAACTCTGAAAAATCCTGTTTGTTCACAGTATTGCCATCATCAGTCCGGACACCCAGAAAACAGTGAATGAGATCCCTCACAGCCCCCACCGAATCCATCAGCCTTATCTGATCCTCATCTGAGAATATATCTGCTGCAAACCCGGCCTCTAGCTTCGCGATGATCGTCAGAATATGTGCGATCAGCTCGTCCGCTTTCTTCTCGTCTTTATTTTGAAACTCTATAAAGTTTTTTAGCAAGCTCAGTGTCGTCAGCACTTTCTGTCCTATCATGTCTTCTGAAGGATCTTTATGCGAAGTGCCCATTTCAGTTGCCATCTTAGCAAACTGGGCGGTTTGGATATCCTTGCTCATTTTCCTAAGCTTTTTCATTGTTCCTTTCTTGTTTCTTCGTTCTTTAATGAACCGTGTGTTCAATTCAAGGTTGGAGAGATTGTCCTTTAAAATAGTTTGGGAAACGTTAAGAAAATGTTCAGCTGAAGGGTCTGTGAAGAGGAAGTGGAAAACTTCTGCATCCTCGAAATATCCGAAGAACACTCTCGCTCGACCCAGAGTTTTCTCACTAAACCGAGATCTTAACAAACATAAAGTCTTATCCTCCATGACACTGAGATGGCACATGATAGTGTCGTAGTTCCCTGTTTTCTTCTCCGTCTCCTCCAGAAAACTCTCAATAACCTTTCTTTTAATATCAAATATCTCCAGGATAAGATCCTCTTCCCTCTCAGTAAACAGATCGTTGTATAGAACGACCGCCACTTTGCACATGACCGCTACTGAGTTGTCGACGACCGTCTTGGCGGTCTCCTCACAGTCCTGTAGTGCGATGAAATCGTACATTTCGTTAAGGTTTTGTAGGGATGATGATGTTAGTACTTGGTGGTTTCGGAGGGGGCCTGTTGTGGCTCGCCCTACTAGCTTTGTGATCATTTTACTTTGGATGTTGAGGGAGAGGTTTCTGAGGGAGTCACCCACGTGCAGCGGCATGTTGCTAATACTTGGTAGTTTCTGTTAGTTTACTTGCTGATACTTGGTAGTTTCTGTTAGTTTACTACTCGATAAAAAATAAACGTCGACTGCACTACTATAATAACAAAGTATGACTGCAGCATACTGCATATCATGTTCAGCTTTAACCGAGAACGGGTCAGGCGACGAATAATAATATAAAATAAATCAGCTAAGCCTTTGTTAATTATTTGTTTTCATTATCAGCGAGCAACTATAAATACTATAACAACAACACTTGAACTAATATCCGGCAACCTGGCATCGTGCCAAAAACCTGGCATTGTGCCTAAAATATGGAAACTTCGTGTGGCAACGAGTTATCAAAAACAAGAGGAATGTAAGTAAAATGCAGTAACGGAATCGAATGAGCATGAAATTTGATATTGTATGAAGAAGTTAACCGTTATCCATTGCTTTCAACAGGTTACGTCATAATATGCGCGTCAGTTGAAGACTCGTTATACAATGTTGAGTATAGGAAGAAGATTCACTAGATTGTAAGGATTTTAATCATTAAAGTTAGTTCGATGTCATCCGATAATGGTGACTGGTGAGTGATGAGGATACGATATGTATACAATTATTTGTATGGTCAGGTCACCGTTAAAATTAAAAGTGCTGAAATAAAAAGTAATGAAACGAAACCCATTACGAAAATATTTCGTACGAACAAACAAGCGAACTAATCATCAGCTAAATATTGTGCAGTAACAATAAAATATGAATCTACACAACTCAGGGTAATTACACGTCTCATTACACGCCTCATTCCGTGCGCAGTGTTAAGAGCATAACCTGTGCTCTCACTTTACAGTACGTGTATTGTAAAGTGAGAGTTGTAAGGTGAAGGTGGTTAGTGCATACCTCACGGTTATTAATACAGTAATAGTAGTATTAGATACCTCACAGTTATGGAGTAAGTGTATAGAGATACACTGTCACACTGCAATGCGGTGAGAACAACGTATAATTTATGTACAGCTGCATAGCGTGTAATGTAATGACAAGGCATCAAATTCCCGGGAGACACCTAATTTTTAATAATCGCTACGCTTATTGGCCGAATTTTACTGGTGGGAAAATCAATCAACTAAGCGTGATCTAAAACTCCATTTATATTATGTTTGATTATGTTTCGGCGTAAAAGCGGGAAATAAAGTTCGCATTAAATAAAATAATAAATAAATATAAATAAAGAATAAAACTTGATTGTTAGAAAAAGTAATCAATGAACTTTTTATATTCTTACCGTCATCAGTTAATACTTCTTTAGCAGCTGCAATGTCAATAAACTTCTTCTCTGCTTCAGCCTGCAAGTTGAAACTTATTACTATTTACTACGTAAACTAGATTCTAGCGAGTATCACTGGTCTAATTAATCGACAGTAAGATTAAATCTAACAATTACCGTGCATAACTTCAAGACCAGAACGACTCAAAGTGCGATTAGGGTAATAATTAGGGTAATTAGGGTAACAATTAGGGTAATGATGAATTTTAATCAGCTTAAAACGTGACACAGCGAATCAGTGATTCACCGGTCAGTGGTTACACATGAAGCAGTATATCTGTTCTACCTTACATAAGAAAGTGTAATTCGAAAATGAAGGAACAAACCTTATCAGCCTCTTCAGTGAATTTATCAGGATGGAACTCTTTTGCTTTCTTCCTGTAAGCTTTGTTAATCTGCGATTTATCAGCGTTCCTGAAAAGAAGATTTGTTTGTGATAAGTAAGAGTTAAAATCAATTTCAGATCGAAAGACCAGCAATTCTGAAATACAATTTGCAATGCTTTTATTTCCTGTACTTTTGGATAATCATTGATGGATATCATAGGATTTCTTAGATCATTAAAAAATGAAATACAGGTTTGCTATGCAACCCCCTCCAGCCAGTTTCAAGCTTGTCGCCCTGATCACATAGTGAGCTGTAAAGTAAATCAATTAGGAAATATGAGACGGTTCACTCCGAATGATTGCTCCGATATCTGTCGTTCATATCACGATGACGAGACAAATAACTATAGAGTGATGTATATAATTTCAGACATTCTATACGGCGGGTGAGATCTCACCAAACATAACAAATGTTAATCAAATATCCCCAGCTGCAGAGTACGAGGGGTGGATACTGCACGTTGGTAATCAGTAAAGCAGTAACCAATAGTAACCAGTCAGTAACCAGTAGCTCTGAGTTATCAGTTATCAGTAACCAGTAGCTCTCTCACTTAAAACATTTTTCCACCCTCATTTTTGCACCCTTGCACGTCACACACCACTCATCATTGACTCCATCATATATAATCACCCCTTCACAACATCAAGCTCCCGCTAAAAAAACTTTTCGTATCACTTATATGTTTTATAATATTTATATGTTTTAAATAATCCCCCTCCAGTAGCTCCGAGTTACTTATTTCTTAGTCATTCCAAATAGTCATACATTATGGGGTATTGTAAGCATGGAGCTTAAAGGTCGTTGACGCAGACGGTCCATTTTAAAACTAACCATCTAATATTTGTAAGTTCACATTATTTATAAGCTCACAATATTTATAGACACAGCTGATAACTGTGTACACAGTCAGTAGTCACGTGACACTAGCCACGTGACACTAGCCACGTGACACTAGCCACGTGACACTAGCCACGTGACACTAGCCACGTGACACTGGCCACGTGACACTAGCCACGTGACCATGACTAAGGACTTCATTACGGAGGTGGAGCCAACACTAGGTACTACCTCCGTGATGAACCAACTAATAGGTACTATATATAGGTCGTAGGAACGCGATCTTAAAATTCATTTTCACCTAATTTCCTTTAGCACGATTGTTTTTATTGGCCTCTTCCTTCACGTGATATCAGTAGTGTATTGATAGCTTAAGATGACTTTTTTAAGGGCGTACTCTCCTAGTACCAACATTGCAGGTACTATGTAGGTACTATGAGAGGATGATACTCGTTACGCCGACTCTGACTGACCGAGTCTAGCTTAAGTGTAGTCTAGTTCGGATCATGGTATGTGTTCGTTTCAGCACGTGTTCAGTACGTGTTTTACAGATCTAGATTTTATCCATACAGTGCTAAAACTTTTAGGTTGTCTTACAGAACAATTCTTGTCAAAGCTTGAAACGTTTTTGGAGATCATTGATATTATTTTTAAGACATTTCCTATCATACTTTATTCACGTGCAGGCTATTGCCTCCTTACATAACACTCAATTTTCACACAATTTACCACAGCATTCATTAATTGTTACCTTGGAACGCCCAGTATTTTATAGTAGTCTCGCTTTTTGCTGAGCTTCAAGAGTTTCTCTGCCCGGTGTAAGCCGTCTTTAATGTGCTTACTGTCTGTTATACCTTGTGCTGTCTGATAATCCTTTATAGCGCCTTCAAAACTGAAATTTATTTAATTAATGTGAATAATTATTAGTTATATTTAATTCGTAATATATCAGAAGATATGTGTGTTGTTTTCGGTTAAAACATGAGAAATAACTAGTTATTTGTCACGTGTTAACGGAAAATATCACACTTATCTTCTAATATAATAGGAATTAAATGTCATGACTTGAGTAACACGTATGTGAGCAAACAACTAAGCGGCTGAGCCGTCGTGAGTCCTGGTGTAGATTGGACTAGACTGTCAGCTAATATGAAACAATTCAATGATACAAAGTATAAATTACCAGGTGCTAAAAACGAGACATATAAGAAAACAGAGGCTCCATAGCCCTCTCAGTTGTTTGGTATTTAATGCGGTAAAGTTTGATAAATTACAGCTCTTGGTTCTATCACAGACTAGCAAATCTCAATTTAAGACTTGCTACTCTTTATTGGAAGTGGAACTGAGGGACATTATTTATCATTAAGACATTCTTAACTTTAAAACTCTTAGAGAAAAACAAACTGGTAACACCAAATCCAGGAAGCTACTTACTCTTCATTAAGTATGAGACACTCTGCTCTGTTAACTAAAGCTTCAATATCTTGAGTCTCGTGTTCTAACACAGTAGTACACGTGGTCAGGCAATCCTCCACAAACGATCCCTGATAGGAGTCACATCAGATAATGTGACAATATGAGTAATATAAGGTGACATATGTTACATAATGTGTTACATAATGTAACTTTTCGTTACAATAACCCTGTCTAGTCATTGACTACTAATATGTGACAGATAATGTGACATCAGATTATGTGATTATACTGATCAGATCCTATCATCATTATGATTACTTTCAGCAACAAATTATCTTATCATTTCCACTGAATGATAAAGTTTTCTCACCTGTTTGTTGCAGAGACAAAGTCTGCTTTGAACTTTAAGCACTATTTTCTCCTCTGATGATTCTGTTTTTAGCGCAGCCTTTAACTTTGCTACAGCGTCACTATACGCACCTGGGGCGGGATAAGAGTAAAGTCCAAATACTTAATATTTAATACTTAAAAAACTTCATAGTTGATACATAATACTTAATACTTAATGCTTAATACTTAATACTTAATACTTAATACTTAATACTTAATACTTAATACTTAATACTTAATACTTAATACTTAATACTTAAATAAATCGTTGTGTCACATAATTTGGGCGTGGCTTCACGAAACGTGATTACTACGTCATTGAGCTGCATTGTCACTCAATTGAGTCAAGTTGGTTTGGATTTGGTAAATAAAATACATGTAGATAAGTGGATAAATGGATATCTAACACCCTGTATAACTAAACAACTTAAAAAAGATGAGCCGAGCATTATAACATTTCATCCTACAGTAGGATCTTATAACATTTCATCCTACAGTAGGATCTTATAACATTTCATCCTACAGTAGGATCACACAGACCCTCACTTCTCAGTTTAGCGGTGTAACGGTTGACAATTAATAGATAAATTGACATGTAAGTTAGTTCTTCAGTAGTTTACAGGTCATGGATCCACCGGGATAGTTATGTCAGTTTAAGAGCACACTGTGTCGGCATTGTTATTACACATTGTTATACTACAATGTCAGTTTCCAAGTCACCTCATTGGACGTAGTCACTAATAGTTACTAGTAACTTGTTTAGACACTTTGTGAAAATATAGCCTTGTTAGTTGTTACCGTGCTGCGACCCATACGTTAACAAATAGAGATAAGTGTGAGCCTTGCTTGAATGAACCTTAACTTTAGTCTACAAAATAGTGTAATATCCGTAAAAAAAGATAAGACATAATTAGTGTTATATGTTATAGTACTATTACTATTAGTATTAGTACTATTATATTATTAGTAGTGTCAAACTACCTTCGTTTATTAGCTCCTGCGCTTTAGTGAGTTGTTTGACTAGTTTCTTCACTTTCTTGTAGTGAGCATGACATTCCTTGTGGTCCTGATCTAACTTCAGGCATTCTCTTATCTCCCTGGGAATTAATTGGTTAATTAATTAATTAGTAATAACAATGTGAAGTTCAGTGCTAAGTATTCAAATTTTGGAAAGTCCTGCTAATTCAAGCTCGTTTACGTCTTTTATCACAAGAAAATGTTTTAAACGATGTCTTGTAAAGGGTTTTTAATTTGTTACAAACCCAAAATGACAAACGTCGCAACTAAATTATCCAGAACTATTTGATAACAAGTTTCTGCTTTCTGGAGTCAACATAACGTTCACGCATATATATATATTACATATGTATTATTTTTACTACATACGTTCTCATAAGTGCTATTCAATGCTGCGACACAATCATGACGCACTTAAAGTATTTATCTTCACTACCCCACAACAGTATGATAGATCCTCAAAGGGGTCCGAAGATCTCATATTTTTCGCAAACGCACGAAAGCGTTAAAATGAACACCTGGTCACTGCGTGAACAATATTTTCAGATGTTGTCAGTCAATATATTGTAATAGTTCTCTGAATGGCACTATAATATAATATATACCTATATATTATATTGTATATAGGTGCTTTTAGTAAGGTGCTTTTATAGTTCATTGGCAGCACCCGGCCTTTCTCCTTGGGTCTGTGGCTGGTAGACCCAACCACACTGTAGACAGATAATCTACTCGCATTTTTAGTAATTTTCAGGATATTTAAAATATGTTAGATTTATATTTATAGATGCATTCAGCATTTTACCTCTTTAACCTGGAATTTCCTGATCACTTGCGACTAATTAACAAATTAAAAACCAACTGCTCAACCCATGTTTTCTGCATTTTAAATTTCCATTTCAATTACATCTGCTCCAACAAAACTTCAAGCTAATTTAGCTCACTCATTTACAAACTGTTTTATTAATAGTGCAGCACGAGCTTCACAATTAAGGCTATAAAGCATGCTCCACAAGATGTAGGATGTAGCGGTTTTCATGAACAAGATGCACAAACCAATTATACTAATTATACCAATTATACAGTTCTGCTTGTATCTTTGATGGTATAATGGTTTTAGGAAACGTTTTTGTGATTTAAGCGATCTTGAAAACGTTCGAATGTACTCAGCTGATACTTACAGTTTTTAAGTTACCCGCAATATAGAACTATATAATTAGATTAATCACTTAATTGATTCTGTCATTAAGTGCGGTAATCCCGCCTAGTCTCCGCATCACGTGAGCGGTATCACGTAAAGAGGAATTTGCTGCTTTTCTAACCGCTGAACAACCTTATCTTTGTTGTTTGTTTGTTCTTGTTTAACTGAATTTGTATCTACGCCAATACACGAATACCCTCACTGTCTATTAATAATGCAGCAATAAAGTAGCCCTCTCCTCCCTGAACGCACTAGCTCATACTTAAAATATACAAGCACTAACATTTAACCTACAGTTTGTTTTTTCATATTATAGGGACAACACGCTTTTTCCTATATTTCCTGAGTTTCCTATAGCCCTACTAATGACGGATAATAATACTGTCCACCGGTTAAAACTAACAGGAGCATGTGAGGTGTGACATAACATATTATAGTGACATTAGGCCGTTAATACTGACATTAAGATGTTAATTATACTACACAAGATGACCACAGGACAAATTAACGTGTAGGTATTGATCTCTGAGTACTGTAACGACACCACATCCCCCCTGCATTGTACTGCCATTATAGATTCCTCCAACTGCTGGTCGTTTGTTTTAAAGACAAGGAAGTATTACCCCCCCCCCCCCCCCCTCTCCCCCTTATATTGCGACAACTCCTTTAGTTAGCTGTTTATCCCAGCGTATAAATTTCAACTCCTTTTCCAGACTCTAGACCATTCTAGACTCTAGAACATTCTAGAGTCTAGAACATGTCCACTATAACAAGTTAAACGTCTTTTAGTATAGGTTTCTGGAGAAAGTAACAGTTTAGTACGCTCAATTGTTGCTCAACTATTAGCGTCGAGAAAAAATAGAACACGCGTGATTACGTGATGATGTGACCACGAGGTGACTGTATTAAAATTTAAAATAACATCTTTATTCTTCAGAGTGAGTTATCAGCGACATTTTATATTCGGCTTTACATCTACTTTTTATTTTACGAGCTTCCACCTTGTTTTACACCACGTACGTAATCCACTGTCTGATTGTAATTAATCAAGCGAAAAGACTCACCCGGATATGTCGAACATGAACTATTAGCAAGATTGAAACGTTCAGGTGCGAGGTGGCAAATTATCGAATCTAAGTTGTAACAGTACTCTCTGTTCAATCTTAGTTGGGTAACGTTCTGTTGACAATAGGTATGATTAAATGTTGTCGAAGCGATCATTTTACAATTTACTTCGATTTCAGCTTTATTCGTTACAAAGCTACTTTAAGATAATTTCTTGATGATAGTGAAGAGAGGACAATGGTATTATCCAACAATGTAGCTTTAAATTGACTCTCTGCATCTCCCATTCCCTCAACATGATTATAACATGGTAAATAGTGCTGTATTTTCTTGGTTGGTTGTGAATTAATTTCCTGATAATTAACATTTATAGACTAGTACACACGAGTAATTATTAAGTAATTACGAGTAATTATTAATACTGGAGACAGGTATTATAGGTTAGTGCTGGTAGTTTAAGACAAGTAGATGGTACGTGTGAATTTCATTAACTTTATTTATATTACAAGGGTACTAGTTAGTACGCTTACATTCCAGAAGTCGGAATAAGCCAATCACACGCATGAAATTGAGTCACGTGATTTTAATTTTAAGCGCACTTAGCTTATTGGAATTGAACTCAAGTACCGCTCAGTAGTGTAGTAATATGTTCATCTTATCACATTTTAAACAAAAACCATACTTTTAACACGTTACCTTAAGGGGTTGTTTAGGCCTTGATGTGGAGATATTTCTGTCAGGAGAGGGGATCAGGAGGGGTGGTTGGGTCGTGATTACGGTTGATTACGAGGGGAGGGGGGCGGGGGGGGGGGGGTAAATGGCCAAAAAATGTATTATGTATTATGTGAACGACCCCTTGTCAACCGAACACATTCATATCTTAAAAACGTATGAGAAACGGTAGTATAATCGTCTAAAAAACTTTAGACGATTACATCCTTAATAATCACATATAACTTTGGCTTTGATGGCTACGAAAATTCTACTCTATAATTATTAATTACTTATTTATGCAGCTTTGCCAGCAAATAATAGAAATTTTGTTTTGTTCTGAGCTGCAATATATTACAAATTTTATGACATATACAGGGTGAGTTGAAAATAGTGTGTGGAAAGTAAAAATCGATAATTTTTTTATGAAGGAGCAAGTTTTGAAAGGTGAATTGCTATCAGTTCATAAACTTTACATATTTCATTCTTGCCTCTCATTTGATTCTAACTCATAATTTGGTTGATTTTTGGCAGTTTTCCAAAAAATCTTAAATTCGTCCTAATGGGGTTCTCAAATCGTGTGCCCTGGAAATCGAGTCTAAAAATCTATATTCTCCTACGTTTTTAAAGCAATCACCCTGAAACTTTCAGGGTATGTTCTAGGGATCATTTAAAAGAGATGAGCCAGACAAAATTTTGAGATATGCATTTTAAAAATTTTTATTCGATTTTGAAAATCGTCGATCTCAAAAAATCATCAAAAAACAAGGTCCAAGATTTTCAAAATCGAATAAAATTTTTTGAAGGCCTATCTAAAAATTCTGTCTGGCTCATCTCTTCTAAATGATCCTTAGAACATATACTGAAAGTTTCAGGGTGATTACTCAAAAAATGTAGGAGAAAATAGATTTTTAGACTCGATTTTCAGGGCACGCGATCAAAAATCGCTCGCGCAATACAATTACCACACATGCGCTGACCTTTGACCGGCAATAATTTCGGCTAGGAACGATATTTTTCCACGGCATCAAATGGCATCTGATAGGTATTACTCCCTTCTATCAGAAACAACTAACTAAAAAGTCGATTTGGAGAAAATTTCCATGAAGACCCCCCTGCCCCCATAATACAGTCAAGTCGGCTATAGACAATTGTCTTACACGTTATCAATATGTCCTAGCTAATAAAGGACGATGGGTTGAGCAAATTATTAATTATTAAGTATTTTAATTGTATTATCATAAAAAGTATATATTTTCATTACCTAAATATGCAAAAATTAAGTGGAAATTTCATTTATCAAAAAAATTAGAGCCATTTACTTTCCACACACTATTTTCAACTCACCCTGTATATCATAATATATAAGTTTAAAAAAAGGCCAGTTGGTAATCTAGCTAGGCACACTTGGGGCACAAAATTGAAATTCCTGGGGCACACTTGGGGCAGAAGTTACTTGGGGCACACTTGGGGCACACTTGGGGCAAATACAGTTGGGCACAGCTGGCGCACACTTGGGGCTCAGTGAAACCCAATAACACTAATGTTATCTGTCACGACCAATAACTAAAATAAAAATTATTACTAAAATATAAAATTATTACTAATAAATATAAAATTATTACTGGACGGAATTACAATTGACAAACATTTAATTACCAATTACAACCATGACTCAATAAGTGGCATGTTATTGTTACATGTATAATTTTATGATAATTTGTGTGTTAACCATTACAATAAGGCTTCAAGTATGGTTACAACAGCTATTATTCTAATTATACAAAATCAAATTATCTACTCTGAGATTAATCATGCCGATTTCTTAATAATGTGAACTCAATCAATATCTCATAACAATCAGTGCAGAAGACCAATCTAAAGATCCCTCTAGAAGTTGTACCGTAATTCGACTAAAGGGTAGTAATTGTCCGCACTAACTGCCACTTTAAGGTCACGTGATTAACACGTGTTTGATGTTTACAGTCACGTGATTAACGACATGACAGCCCGATATTGTAACTTTGTAAGTGAATACATTAGAGTTATATCGCGGCTGTTACAATAAATGAAACAGTTAACGTTGTCAACGTCAAAATGTTTTTCTCGGAAATTGATTCGTGCTAGTCAAGATATCTTTTGTATTTTGAGAGGGTGCAACCACTATTATTATTTAATTTTATTACGAAATAATGGTAATTATTTAAACAGCTACTTTATTAATTGTCTTGTTGCTTCAAGTTACATTGAGGCTTTTAGTAGTTGTTTTCAACCGTCACCCCCTCTGCCTGCCGCACTGATGCGATATTCTCGTTAGAGTCAGTTAAAACAAGTTGACATTCCGGCATGTTACTGATAGTTGACACTTCTTGAATCAAGTATGCTCCTTCATAAAACTTCTTGATATTGCTTACTTGAACTCATGAATTATTTAGAGCTGGTGTTGAGGATTCTTTGAGGCTTATCTTTGTTGTTAAGGAACATGTTTCATATCAAATATAGTTCTTTTCATGGAAAATTCCACGAAACTACAACTCCACATTTACTACCAGTACCATTCTGATTAAAACGTTGAGCCATGGTAAAGATTACTGACATTTTGCTGATTCTTAACATTCAGCTGATTGTTCACTTATCACCACGATTTAGAGGCAGGAATTCGGACAGTTAAAAAACATGTTTCAAATTTTGTAAATTGGAGAAGAGAAACCTAGTTACATACCGTTGAGCTCTGAATTACAAGTAATCGTTAGGATTCGCCATTTTATGTTTGCTAACCGACAATTATTAATATGCAATATCAAATCTGGTTACGGGTATGAATATAATTATATTTTCACTAACCAGATTGTTGTTGTTTAATAAACATCGAGCTAAGCAGATCCGGGTGTTACTGGGTTTTACCCTATATTGTAAAATCTTCACTACTAAATTACAAGTAATCGTTAGGATTCGCCAATCTATGTTTGCTAACTTGATTGTTGACGTTTCCTCATTTGGAGGTGCTCGAATAGTATTTGTGGAGTGTTTTCCTTGACGTTACACGATTTAGTAGTGAAGACAGGCCTGATAAAGATGTTACAATTTAGGATAACACACGGTCACACCCGGATCTGACTAGCTCGCCGTTTACCAAAGTATTTCAACAATCTTTACAACAGGCTTCTTTCTTATTCCCAATTGTTTGCTTAAGCTTTACAACAATACTCAGTTGTTTTTTTTTTTAAGATAGCGTTTTAGATAATACGAAACTCAAAACTTAGTCTAATAGTCCACTGATACACCATTTAATCTTATAACTAGTAGATTTGTGAAGATCTGGGTACCAGGATTGGTGGTTTTGATAATGAAAGGTCATAATAGAGTGCACTTCGCTCGAAAGTCCAGTGAAACTTGACATAACAAGTTGCCATGGTAATTCTACCTGTTTTACTATAGAAACGTGAAGTTCACTGGCAGTTACGTTTCCTCCAATTATTTGCTCCCAAACGCCATTAAACGTAAAGCCGAAAGTTGCAACATGTACTGTTGACTTATATAAGTCTATACAAACTCAGAACTTCACGTGGCGCAAATTCTTTGACAGTCTATCTAGCTATATTATCATGTATATTATCATATATTATGATTATGTGTCTGTACGAAAAGAGGAATTTGGAATGCATCTCCAACAATTATGACAGTGTCATTGACAGAAATTTATGCTATTTTGGAGAGATTTTGTTGCGTTGATTTTCGGAATTTACCTGCGCTTGTTATTATAGTTGTTTGCTATCATCATGTTGTGCCATCGGTGGCAACATCCTGGTATAAAACTCGACTTACCAACAATTTGTAAAATGAAATGTCAAATCTGGTATGAATATAATTATACTTTCACTAACCATAATGTAACTAAGCAGTGGGATAAATAAGTGGGTTAGGAGGCACCACAAGCTTCAAATCTCGATTAATCAAACTTATGTATAATCCGTCTTATTGTTCAGTATATTTGACCTCTTCATCAACAAACTAGGGGCAGATTCTACTTTGTCGACGTTGACTATTATTTTATGTCATTATGTTGCATAATTGACAACGTTAGATGTTATAACTTTATAACAGGAAGCCCGATAACAATGGCAGGTCAGGATTTGTCAATCTTGTGTTAACATTATTATTAATCATCACAATTACAAAGCAAGCTGCATGACAACGTGACAGCCAGCATTATACTTAAATATATAACATTTTGTGCATATCACTAGTTAAATATCAGTTCCGGTTTAACAACTTCACATAGTATCCGCATTTCGTATTGGTATAGTATAATTTAATTAATTAATTATCTGATAATTAGTATAATTTAATTAATTAATTATCTGATAATTAGTATAATTTAATTAATTAATCATCTGATAATTAGTATAATTTAATTATCTGATAATTAGTCATATAATTAGGCGTGTAGATGGAAGGACTCGGACAGTACTCGGGCTCCACAGATACCATATTTGGAGTGTCCCTGACTATAATGCTAGTTATTGGTGTCCCAGCTAACATCACAGCATTCCTCTACTTCTCCAGACAGAAGAATCGTAATCCTGTTCAGGTGAGTTTTTATAATAAATATCAAGTTTCTAGTGTGGGCATTACTTGTAGTATACACTCCTTATATGGGCATCACGTGTAGTATACACTCCTTATATGGGCATCACGTGTAGTATACACAGCATTCCTCTACTTCTCCAGACAGAAGAATCGTAATCCTGTTCAGGTGAGTTTTTATAATAAATATCAAGTTTCCAGTGTGTTTAAAGGATCAAGTTGGTTACTTCAAACTTTCCCAACGATATCGATGTCTTTACATCCGAGGTCTTCTCGAAAAAAAAAACCCAGGACTTCTCTGAATTTTAAAGCTGTAATAAATAACCCTCAATCCTTTTCAGGCTTACTTCAACAGAGTGTACACGCTGATAACCCTGGTGGATGTTATAGTGTGCCTCACCCTAGGAGCAATATCAGACTCCTCTCTAGCCAGCAACAGACACGGTACTCTCTTCTCCACTCCTACTTTCTGCTGGATCTGGGGGTTCACATGGGGTGTCCTCTCCATCCTCTCCGTCTTCATGATCAGTGTGTTGAGTGTCTCCCGTCTCATCCTCCTCCTCTTCCCTCTACGCATCCTCCCTGCCACCCTAGCTAGGATCATACCAGCTCTCTACCTGCTCTTCATCTCAGGGTTACTGTGTTTTCTGCTGGCGGCGGAGTATGTTGTGGTGTATTATGATGTCAGATACATGTTCTGTACCCTCAGTGGACTAGCTCAGAGATCACCTGATTATATCATTCAGGCAACTGATGCCCGGAGTGAGCATCTAATTCGGATAATATGGATTTGTCTGACGGGGTTACCGTTCTTCCCGATAACATGCTCATTTGTGCTGTCTGTTTATTGCTTGCGGAGGACACAACGTCGGGCTAGTAAACGGGCGAATGTATCATCGACACGTCGTCAGGTGAAGGCCGCTAAAACAATTCTTATAGTGACCCTGCTGTATATCATCTGTAATATCCCCGCGTTTGTGGTGGTGTCTCTAACAGCTAGATGGAGGTATAACAGTACCAGTACTACCGTACAAGACATGTACACATCCCTGTACAAGTATTATGACAGTAACTTTCTCTTTTACTACGCCTGGTTTATTGCATGTCCCGTTTCCGTGGGTATGAACAGCTTGTTGAACCCGGCTGTGTATTACTGGAGGATTGCCAAGTTTAGGAAGTTTTTGTCACGTGATCAGACCATGGATTTGACGGCTTCTATTTCGCTGGGGATCAGGAAGCTGTCGAGGCAGACGGTAATTCGGGGTAATAGAGCTAGGACTAGGTCGGGAGCACATAGTTCTGGTGATAAATCTAGCGTTTCAGCTATGTAGCCAAGTGAAGATTATAGTTTAATCATTATAGAACGATCAAGGAGACCTTGTAGTTATGATGTTTTTGCATCTTTACTTTCTGGACATATAAGAGCATCTTTGTACATGGTTTTAATAAAATTCACCTGATTAAATCATAATCTTGATTTGGAGACAATATGTTGTTAAGTTCTAACGAAATTACCAGTAAAGTGTTACTTGAAACTACATTCACTATTAGTGCTTTTCATATACAAATACTAAATTCTTATTGCTGTCTATTTACTAGCTTTAGCAAGTTTATTTTATCTTAGTTCTCGATCACCTCAAATTTAATTGTTCTACAAACATTAACTAACAAGTAAGCTAACTTTAAAAATCAAAAAATTAAAAAAATCAAACTTACTTCAACGATTATCTAATTAAATAATTAATTAACTTACTTCAACGATTCCTCCTCCTCTCCCATGATATAATGCAACTGTGATAACTTTAGATAAGCTTCTGTGTTATCGTTAGTTAGCTTCGCTATAGCTCTCACATCTCCGATAGCGTTTATAATGTTACCTGCATATTTTAGGTTGTTAAGTAGTCTATTATTCTGTCATTTCTCATGTTATTACGGGTAAAAATATGTAGAAATTAAGATATTTATTTATTATTAGAAAACAAATTAAAGACAATTAATCTAGGTTAAAAACTTAATATTTATTGTTACAAACCTATCTTCAAGTACGTTTCAGCTCTCTTCTCCCGTAAACCAGTATCCCACTTAGCTATATCAATAGCAACATCGTAATGATCAACTGAAATGATTAACTTATCAATGATACATGACCAACGTACGCCTGCTTCAATGACAGGGCCACTAGATAGTTACGTGATCTTGGAGCGATGTAATCTAAGATTACTCATCTTTTCCATTCCACACGGTATTGATGGAGATAATTTTAATAACAAGTGAAATTTAGCGTTACGCCTAAAAATAGGCGGGGCAAAAACAGTGGCGTAACGTTGCCTGTTGGCCCCCCCCCCCCCCCCGCCGAAAAGGCGCCCCCTGTTGGCGCCTCCCTAAAATTGAACAAATTAGGTGATTTTAGAGGATATGCCGGTAAAATCTCTAAAAAAGTGTGTATCTAGAGCAAAACGCGCAGTTTTGCTAGTACTTTAGTTAAGTTTTCGAGATTGTCCCACATTCAAACGACGATTTGGCGCCCCCCTAAGACGGCGCCCCCTGCACAGCGGGGTCAGCGGGGCCCTTCGTTACGCCACTGGGCAAAAAAGTGTCGTATCTTGAGAAACAGCTGAGATAGTGATAGCCGAGGTAAGGGGTTTTTCAGTCGTTTGGATTATACACTAAGCAAGGGGCGAGAGCAGCAGACTTACCAGCAGTTGCAAAGTCACCATTATCAAAATATTCATCTCCCTCTTCAATGGCGTGCTCCAAAACTGGGAGGTCACTCAATCCCGCTTGGGCTTTATCTGGATCCACGGTTAACTAGTAGAAGGAAATTGTTTAAGATTAATATTTGAGAAGCTTGAGTGTATTCCAATAATTAAGGAATAAAAAAATTTAAAAAACAGTTCTTTGTAATACGCCGATCTGTGCAACGTCACTTACCAAATCTGTGAACTGAGCTCGTGCTTCCGCAACTCTGCCCTGTTTCATGAGAACACTGCCACGTTCCGACTTAGCCTGCAATTTCATATTTAGTTAGTCCATCATTAGTGAACGATATACCTTATTAAATTATAGATGAATTCAATCCATATTCCATATCAATGGAATAGTCATGAACGTGGAATGATATTACTTCATAAAATATCAGTAAAATATCATCATCCATAAGATGATCACACAGGAATTTATAGCTGTTTCGCAACTTCTTATAATATAGTTTTAATGACTTGTGATCAATCTCCCACCTTATATAAAGCTAAGACTTGAACACGACCTTCTTTCTGACGAACAGCTGTTAGCAAAGAATAATTTAAATCATCTGCCGGTTACTGGCGAGTAAGTAACGTCAAGAGTCAAGGCCAATGTGTTCTTTGCCGTAAAAGAGACACGTATCCGATCGTTTTAGTCTGCATTGCGCGGCTCAAAGCCGCGCAATTTGGCTGCTGACGTTGATGTAGAATTACAATATTGTCACTGTGCGCTACGTTTATGCTCACAGCAACCTAAGAAATTGCATAGCCAACAGATGTTGGAACCAAGGTGCTAATTAAATTGAAGATTACGTAAAATAAGTTCGATAGCCGATACGTTATTCAAAGTGGTTATGCTTTCAACGTCCTGCTTATTTCTTATTAAAGTTGGGTATCGTTGGAACCACAAACAGTGTGTTATGATGTATAGAGGCTTAAGCTATATCAGACCGTGTTAAAACGAACAAAATTATATTTACAGTAAAACCTGATCTTTTTTGGTGATACAAAAGAAGCATTAACATTTAACAAGTATATGCGAAGAGAGTGGGCAAATGTTTTTCTATTGAAGAGCAATGACACAAGTCTTTTGAAACCTGTTTGACGTTTCGATGGCGACGATAAAACCTAACTACAAATTTATAAATTAATAATCATTGTACATACATGATGAAAGTCAGGTTTGAGTCGTATGACAGTGTCAAAGTCTGAAAGTGCCTGTCTGTGACGACCAAGTGCTAAGAAAACTGTTGCTCGCTGGTAAAATGCCTGATAGTTCTTCGCGTCACCCTCTAAAATGATTTTATTTAGAGATATAAAACTTACAATCGATATCTCAGATTGGCAGTGATATTAGAATTGAGTGTTAATGTCAAATATTAATATTCACCTAAAAACTGCAGAAACGGTTGTACTATAGGAAAAGTTACTAACCAAATAAACAGTAATTCTAAAACACTGATCACTTACCTACAGCAGCGTGGTAATGGTTCAGTGCCTCACCCAAATTACCAGTTCTCAGTAACTGTGTTCCTTGTTCCAAGTGTTCTTTTACTGAGGTGCTCCCTGATAAATGAGGGGTAAATATTACTGATCAGATGAGGGGTAAATATAAATAATAAGATGAAAGATAAATACTAATAATATACAGGGTGTACCATAGAAAGTGTTATGTGACTTTTTTGAGAAATGATAAAAAAGATTTTATATTATGAAGGAGCAGTTGCTAAAAACTCTTCATCACATTGTGTCACTACTACTAGGTGTTAAATTTATGCATACAAAATTTCAAGTCCCCATCAATTTTTGATTTCTCACAAATTGCTATTTTGTTATGTCGAGTTTATCTGGCGCGGCGTAGTGAAAATCGAGTCTAAAAATATTTTTTCTTCGACTGTTTTTGATTAATCATCCTGAAACTTTCAAAATATGTGTTAGGGATCATTTAGAAGAGATTGTCTGGGCAGAATTTTGAGGAAGATCTTTAAAAACGTTTTTATTAGATTTTGAAAATCTTGGACCTCAGCCATGAATAATGTCAATTTCAGACTAAAATATTTAATTTTTGCGAAGGGTGGCTTTTTTTGGAAGGTGCTTAACTAGTAACCATATTTTTATTATTTTTATCAATTCAACTATATTTCTGACAAAATTTAGTTAAAATAACCGTGAAGTTTAATTCTGTCAAAAACTATTAAAGTGGAAAAAAGTCACACTTTATACGGTACACCCTGTAGTATATGATGCGTAAATATTACTGATATGGGGTAAATATTACTGAAGTGCTTCATTGTAAGAAAAGGGTTAAATTCATAGCTGAGATGGACTTTACTGAAAGGAGCCAGGCTAGCCGGCTAGGAGCCGGGTGTAATTTCAGACTTAAGGGGGGGTTCACCCTGATTTTTTTGCGAAACTTGGTTTCGAGATAGTAGTTGATCAACAAACTAGGACCGGCGCGGTGACCGAACTTTTGAGGGGGTCCCGAACCCCAACCGCCAAACGGTGCCCGCGGGGCAGCAACGCCCATATTTGGTCCAAATTAGGCTCAATTTAGCCAAATACCCTGAACATGCCCAAAACGCAGATTTTAGGTGCACTACTTGTAGCTACTGGTCTCCTGAACTCGAATATAAATTTTCATCAAGATTGGACAAAAAATGACTGAGTTATGAGCCAAAAACCATATGACCATTATATTTGGGCATACGCACCACATTTGATCGATTTTGGCCTATAAATTGGTCAAATATCAATATTTTTGAATGAAACCAACTTTATATGGAAGGTAAGCCTTTACTACACATTCTCTATGATTATCAGCTCTGTATCTAACTAACTGTGGATTCTGTGTTTAAATTGTCGCAAAAAATCAACAAAACCGCCCATATCTCAGTTCGCGATATTTGCAAAACTGATTTCGCTCAAAACAATAGAACTCAATAGGGTTTCAATATTTTTACATGAATATTTCAGAATCAACGTAGAATCGCATTTCGACCTTAAGTTTTGTATTGGAATTTTGAGTTAGGCCTTTAAAAAAATTTGGCGGCCAAATTCTGAAAAATGCCAGGAAAATTTTGGAATTTGCCCGCCAAATTTTTTTAGTAAGATACTGAGCTGATAATCATAAAGAATGTGTAGTATAGGCTTACCTTCCATATAAAGTTGGTTTCATTCAAAAATATTGATATATGACCAATTTATGGGCCAAAATCGATCAAATTTGGTGCGTATTTGGCTAAATTGAGCCTAATTTGGACCAAATATGGGCGTGGCTGCCTCGCGGGCACCGTTTGGCGGTTGGGGTCCGGGACCCCCTCAAAAGTTTGGTCACCGGTCCTAGTTTGTTGGTCAACTGGTTATCTCGAAACCAAGTTTCGCAAAAAAAATCAGGGCGAACCCCCCCCCCCCCCCCCCCCCCCCCCCCAAATGAACATTTACAAATTTCATTGATTTTTGAGAGAAGTTTTAAAGGGAACTATTCATTCAAATCTCGTTAAATACAAAAGGGATGAGTTAATATTTTTGCTTCATATAGCAGAGTACAAGAGCTGTATTTCTAAGGCTAGTATAGGAATGTCATAACAATTTGAGTTAAATAATTACCTTAGCACATTAACTTATCACTTAGTGCTTGCAGCAAATAATTAACATTATAGTCTTGCACCTATGGTGTTGACATTGGTAGAACATTTATATTGAAATTACAGAGCATAGGATGTGGATTGTGGAAGATTTGGTGCGGCCAAATTATAATCTGGCTCACTTGAAATGTTCACAGCAATCTGACCAAAATCAATCTTATCTTAACAAAATCTACAAAATTTTGTAAATACTTTAGTTATTCTCATATAAAAACACTGTTTCAAATCATAAGATATAAGTACAATGTGATAATGTTTTGTTAATGCTTGTTCATCATTGCACATCATATTATCTATAGCAATAATCCCAAAATATGTGTGTTCTGCGTGTAATTTCCGAACGACTTAATTAAGAAAACGGTAAGAGCTATTGGACTGTTTTTTTCGTTATAGTTTAGACAAAACTCTGACGAAGCCAATTAGCAAAGCTTTTCTAAATCAGCAGGTGGAAAGTTGTTTAATTAATGGTTTTGTACCCCAAATGTGGTACTAAAGTGTCTCACTTTTTCTCTCCCTCTCTTCCCCCCCCCCCCCCCTCTCTCGCCCTCTCTCTCCTTCTCTCTCCTTTTCTCTCAAATATTTTGTTCTATGAACATTCATTTTAGCTTTTGAAGTGTAGTAATTGTTTAATTTTATACTAAATTATTGATGGTTTATAACGTTTTAGCGGGGTAAAGGTTGGTATTTAAAATGGTCTCTTTGGAAATTACATTTTTTAATCTCTACTTATTTATAATTGTTAATAAAATGGTCATTGTAGCCAGTAATTTCAAGATTTTCACCATCATCATGATAATTCCATTCTGTGCAAACCTTTAGCTGTTGTCAAGTTTTTTGAAATGCTGTCTGACAAGCTGTATCATTATGATTATGTTAAATATGAGCAATTCAGCTCAATACGAGCAATTCCACATAGAATGAATGATAATACCAGAATGAGGGTTACAAATCAAAGAATATAAATTTTGAAACTTGGAAAACTTACATGTCTGGTGAACATATATTGCCAAAGACAATATAGCAAGCTTCAGATGGCTCACTGATGTCTGCAAAACCATGGAAGCTAACCTGAAACATTTTGATAATAGGCTGATAACCCTTTTAGCAGGAATAGGACTAATGGACCAAGCCACAGAATTCAAGTTATATTTTTCCCTGAATTCAAGGTCTAGGGTTTGCGATTGGGGTGTATTTCTGTATGTGGTAACTTGAACTTGCATACACAATTGGTGTCGTACATGCCTCTATTTTTCAAATAAACATTGTTTGCATGGCTTGTAACAATTGCAAAGTTATTTTGGGGATTTTAAGAATTGAGTTACTGTTTTCTTGAAATTGTTGTTTTCTTGTTGGTGCGCAGCGCTAAACTGAGCTAGTTAAGCAAATTGTCAATTATCTTTTCTTTTGGAGAGGGTTAGGCAATATTGGAATAAAATTCCTCCGATGTCAAGAACCCTGAGACAGTTCTTTAAAGTTTAAAAGCTAAATTAGAAATATTTAAGAAAGATATGATTTCTAAAAGGCGTATTGTAAATAATTGATATTTTTGGAATGTTTTGATATAGATATGTGAATATTTTACACTTTATCTATAATTAGATCAGTGTCAGCCCTTCACAAGCATTTAAACATGGATATTTGTTAAACTTCAATCTTAGAAAAAAGCTGCAAAGATGTTTCTGGGTATACAGAAAACAGATGGATCATAATTCGTCAGAATAGAAGGAAAACAATCGTTTACAGATAGGAAAGTCAATGAATGGATAATTGATATTTTTTCGTCACGAAAAAGAAACTATCATTTTGAATAGTCCATCACATCGTCTCGGTGGTCGGTAGTTTGAGTAGATCTGTCACAGGGTTTGAGATAAAGCATGCTTGCATCTTTAGAATAACTTTTCAGCATTTTGCATTGCAACAGAGAATCCTTGTACCTATCCAACACATACGTAGAACAGGTTATCACTTTAGAATCAATAGCTAGTTCTATTGGTATTTCAATGCGATTGTAAAATTCAGGGTACCTTTCTAAAGTATCTAGAACCTTCAACTGAGAGTCTGTTACGTCGTACACTTCTCCGATAATTTGATTTCCAACACCTTTTGCTCCCAGGAGATAGGGAATATTGAATCTTGAGGCAACAATAAGTGGGTATTTGTCAACAGTCTGTGCCTCTCCGACAAAGTTGACATCAGCAAGGAGGTAACTATTAGGAAAACCTTTTTTCAGAGTTCCATAGACAAAGACGAACATGTCAAAAACTAACTTCCTTACTATCTTACTACTTGTTACACTGAACGGATTGAAATTATAAGAAAAACAATTTACGTATAATATAAAGTCAGCAATGCAATAATTCTATTATATAATATTATAAAAGTTTTGCAATATAGTAAGATTTTTTAAAAAGTATACACATTGAATTGCATGTCACATGATGTCACAATGACCCTATCTAAAAAGAACCCTTCAAAAACTCAATATTTCAGAGGCGGCTCGTGGGAGCTGGCTGGCAGTTTTGTTGGGGGTCCAATCGATGGACTGGGGGAAGGGGGCTTGGGAGCCGGCTCAAGCTGATCCCTCCAAACTACCGATTACATTACACACAGGGCCTTGTAAATGTAATGTGTAACACTTTACAGGCGACAGCAAACAAAAACAAAAACTTATAACATATTTGCATTGCCAGTCAGACATGGTGGCCTAGGTATCTCCAACCCAGTTGAAAACTGCAATAGAGAATTCACAGCCTCAGTCACCATCACAAAAGACCTCACAGACCTGATTATCAACCAGCAAAACACCCTTGAACATTACAACATGTCAATTCAAAATGACATAATAAAAAGTCTCAAGGCAATCAAGGAGAAACACTTATTTACGGTTAGCAAATCAATAGAGGACAGTGTAAGAGATCCCAACCTAAAGAGATCTCTCCAGTTCATCAAAGAGAAAGGTTCAGGATGTTGGCTTACTGCACTTCCATTGAAGAGATTTGGCTACTCCCTGAACAAGATTGAGTTCCGTGATGCTCTGTACTTGCGTTATGGTTGGGAGATCCCTAACACCCCATTTCACTGTGCTTGTGGAGAGAGAAATAATGTGAATCACACACTTATATGCAAGAAAGGTGGCTATGTTTCTATGAGACACAACAACATCCGCGATCTAAATGCAGAGCTGCAGCGTGAAGTATGCAGAGATGTAGTGACTGAGCCAGCATTGATACCCCTTGATAATGAAGAAATTGTTGGTACCAATGCTGATAGAGCTGCACCTGATGTATCCTCACGAGGTCTCTGGAGCACATTTGAACGAACATTCTTTGATGTCTGTGTTACCCACCCCAACTCACCCACATATGTCAAAAAAGATATGGAACAGATCTATAAAGCTCATGAAATGAGGAAAATGAAAAAGTACAACAACAGAATCATCCAGGTGGAAAAAGGCACCTTTACCCCACTTATATACTCAACAAATGGCGGATGGGGTCCACAAGCCACAAGATACCACAAGAGACTCGCTGAAAAACTATCCCAGAAGAGAGGAGAAGACTATGCGGCTATTATGTGTTACATGCACACCAGGATTAGATTCTCAATCCTCAGGAGCACCCTGATAGCGGTCAGGGGTGAGAGAGGGAGACGGCAATCGTATACATTGCCAGTCAGTGTAACTTCGTTTAACTTGATACCTGCCACCATGGACTATGAATGTTTCTAGACACTATCCTTTTGATATTGAGATATTGGTATCTCAGATCACGTGTACATCGTTCCTTTTTTTATGACACAGTAATTTATTGACACTCACAGCTATAATTTTAATCATTGAATCAGTATTTTTATCTATTAACTTATTACATATTTGTGCTCTGCTTTAGCATCACTTGACTATTAAAGTTCAGGCCATGACCTTATAGTCAGCCAATTGGCCATTGCTATATTATGTGTATATTGTTTGAATATTCTTTTCTAAAAAAAACTTATAACATGGGTGAAACAGGACACCACACGTGTACGATCTCAGCCGCGCAGTATCACAACAGTCAATAGTTCAAAGGGTCCTGGACCCCCAAATCGAGGCAAATCATAATAGATTACCTGTAGTGGGATGTGCACGATGTGCTTTGTAACGTCTACAATTAACTATGTGTTAAAACTGCGCTGCTGAGTAGTCCAGAGGTAGGATTGGACTCCCTACAACACAAAATTTCACGAAGATCATGCGTGCGCTTACATTTAAACGTATGATAGTAAACAAAGACCTTTATATTGCGATTTGTTATTTCCTAACACTATCACTAATTACTATTTCTATTTTAAGCACCAGCCACCAGATAATAATTTAAAAGCGTCCACGGACGCCTGGACGCCCTCAATAGCCGCCTCTGCAATATTTTCCCTATCTCAAAATTGGGAGACACATTTGAAAATCACTCGTGGCCTTGTGGCTCGCTCCAAGTTCAAATCTAAACTATCTATATTGACAAAGTTCTTTTTCGCACCTTTGTCCCCCCGGAGAGAAATCATGACTGTTTTTCATGCTCTAGAGATTTTGAAACGAAGGCGCTTCCTTATATTATACATTCCACAGTATCTGAATATCTTTGACCCGTGTGATATAAAATGACCTTAAATGTAATATCAAAAATGTCTATGCCACGGTGATTTGGCAAACATAGCCAATATATTTGAAAATTCTTGTGAAAAGACCCAAAACGTATAAAATTTTAAAATCATTTAAATTCAAAATTGGTATATTTTGAGCGCTTTAAAAAATATAAAATTAAAACTGACATCCGGAAATCAAAATTAAGTTTTTCAAAATAAAAGAAAAAGCTATAAACAAATTAAATTAAACACAATAACTTTGAGTCACAATGTCAATCCTTCGCGCAGCTGGGCGAGGCTCTGCTAGTGGTGCATCTCGCCGTGATCTACTGAAGGTGTTGTCTATTGTTAATGGACTTGCCCGGCGCGCGCTACTTCTTGATATTCCTTCGGGCCTAACATTTCAAAAAGAAAGTTAAGCGGCGCGATACTTCGAAGAAATTTAAACGAGTAACATCCGTCAACCGAAGGTTGCACGGCAGGAAGCATTATTTGGTGCGCGGCCCAGTTATAGTGCATCGCGCTACAACTACAAGTCATTGTGTATGATTAAAACACATATATTTTCGTATGCCATATTTGTATCACGTTGCGACCCCCACGGTCGTTTCACTATGTGGAAACCCCTTTATCGTTCTGACGATACAGGGGGAGCCGCGCACTTCGTGCGCGGCGGGTCATACAACGTATGACAATGCCATATGCAGAGCTTGACTTACATAAAATTAAATATAAATGCACTATGCAGCTATTAACTATTTTATTGGACGAGAGCAACTGTATCATGAGGTTAAAATTGCACTTTTGGCGATAAATGGCAGCGTTTGATCGAAAGCCTTGAACCCGGTTTTAGCCCCCCCCCCCTGTGCCCAGTGGTACGGTGCATTTCGGCGATGATCTAACGAAGTTGTGGTTAATATAGTTTGCATGCGAACAGTATTATTGTGTATTGGATGCCTTGCGCTACCAAAAGCTAGGTAATAGGTAATTTGTAATTGGTTGTTTATACATTGTTGATTAATAATTTAAAATTTAACGGATGTTACTCGTCTAAATTTCTTCGAAGTAGCGCGCGCCGCTTTCTTCTCAAAATATTGCCCTATGGCAATTGCTACGAAGTATCGCGCGCCGGGCCAGACCGTTAACAATGGTCAATTTATAATAGGGCAATGGTGAATGATGACCAGATGACCTGCAGCGCACACTATAGTGTACATGTGTATATAATATTAACAAGTATTGCATGATAAGTACTTTAGTACTAACAACTAAAGTATAGTATATAGCATAGTATTAATAATTAAGTATTGATCGAAGCTCTTTAGTCTTTACAGTTTACCTTGATGGATGTTACTCGTCTAAATTTCTTCGAAGTAGCGCGCGCCGCTTTCTTCTCGAATTAAATGGCGCCGGGCCAGATCATTAACAATGGTCAACAGTTTACCTCGGGCGGGTCATAACCAATAAAAATATTTTGAGAAGAAATCTAAAACAGCTAGGTAAGTATAATTTCGTTCTACACACTGCAAACACTTTGAACTGCCTGGGCCATTGTATCACGTTGTGACCCCCATGATAGTCATGTCAAATTGTCAATTGTCGTTTCACCAATTGTGGCCACGATACAGCCGCGCACTTACCGTGCGCGGCAGGTCTACAACGTATGACATTGACAGCTGGGCCATACAATAATTCAACGAGCTTAACCGTTGGCTCATAATTTTTTACACATGATGGAGGGTATTGGCAACCATGCTGACGTGATCTTAAAGCCGTAGTACATATATATTACATTACGATGGAAACTACATTGCGATGAAAACTGCGATAAAAGGCCGCGCCGTGACACGCTCACGGCTGTTACGGCGCGGCTTTTTATTGCGATGTATAGATGTGGATACTGGCGGGGAGGTGATCATTGTTTGTTTACATTAATAGTGAGCACATGTTCGGCAGGCTGAGGAGGTGATCATTGTTTGTTTACATTTTAGGTCGAGCACATGTTCGGCAGGCTGAGGAGGTGATACATATTTTGTATCATAGAAGGCTTGTATTGTAACACCTTCTTCATTCTTGTTACCCCCCTATGAGGGCCCCGAATTATTTTCTGAACGAAAGCTCAAAAATAACCGAGAAATCGACCTTCTTATTAACTCATTTTGATGACCGTTTCTAACCTAAAATTGCATGAAAAATCGATTTAGCTAGGTTTCAGAACCTATAAACACTTCCTTATCCCTCAAAATCGATGTTTTATAGTTTAGAATGCGAGCAACAAGCAACATATATTTTGATCCTTCGGTTCTACAGCTCTTGACCTAGGGCTGAACCCGAAAGATCGAGGCAATCCTCACCATAACTGATACGACAAAACACAGCAGGTAAGCAACTCATTTTGGTGACTGTTCCTCACCTGTACAACGTTGCATGAGAAATCGATTTAAGTTGGTTTTACAGCCCAATAACGCTTCCTTATTCCTCAAAATTGTTGTGTTACTCAAACAAAGAACATGTTGATTCTGCAACGAAAGAACAAGGAGTCCTGTTTGTGATTGGACGGATCAGCGTCACGTGACAGAACACCTCTATTACAACAATTGGTCGGGATCACGGAGCACATCTAATCAGGGCTGCCAGTCGTCCGAATAAATATAATTCAGTTGTTATTATGATTGTTATATCATGGTGTTGGTTACCTACCTTTATTGTGTTTCTTTTGACTTTTGCTATATCGTGCTCTGCTCTGAAAATTGTGATAGAACCTGTCCGAGTTGTTAACGAGACGATCTCCTTGTTCTTTCGTTGCAGAATCAACATGTTCTTTGCTTGAGTAACACAACAATTTTGAGGAATAAGGAAGCGTTATTGGGCTGTAAAACCAACTTAAATCGATTTCTCGTGCAACGTTGTACAGGTGAGGAACAGTCACCAAAATGAGTTGCTTACCTGCTGTGTTTTGTCGTATCACTCTATCAGTTAAGGTGAGGATTGCCTCGATCTTTCGGTTTCAGCCCTAGGTCAAGAGCTGTAGGACCAAAGGATCAAAATATATGTTGCTTGTTGCTCGCATTCTAAACTATAAAACATCGATTTTGAGGGATAAGGAAGTGTTTATAGGTTCTGAAACCTAGCTAAATCGATTTTTCATGCAATTTTAGGTCAGAAACGGTCATCAAAATGAGTTAATAAGAAGGTCGATTTCTCGGTTATTTTTGAGCTTTCGTTCAGAAAATAATTCGGGGCCCTCAAAGGGGGGTAACAAGAAGGCGTTACAAGTGTTACAAGCCTTCTATAAGTATAATACAAAATATGTATCACCTCCTCAGCCTGCCGAACATGTGCTCGACCTAAAATGTAAACAAACAATGATCACCTCCTCAGCCTGCCGAACATGTGCTCACTATTAATGTAAACAAACATTAAACAATGATCACCTCCCCGCCAGTATCCACATCTATAGTTTTCATCGTAATGTAATATGTATGTACTACGGCTTAACTTTGTACTTTTTACTGGTGAATGGTGATCCCTTACCTAATACCTAGCTTGCTAGTCTGTAGTTTTTTCTTCGATTATTTCACGGCTATCCAACTCCAAGAACAAAGAATGAAGAAGCCTGTAAAACCGTTAGCAATTAAAAATAGGTTTTAGTTTATAATGCATAACTCCTCGTGGAAGCGTACTTTCTTCCGACCTAGTATTGCGTGGTCCACGCACCTGAAATCCGCCCTGAAATACCATATGCGTACCCTTTATACAAGGTTCACAAACTATCTCAAGAACAAATCGAGGCAAAGACTATACCACCTGTCAGATTAGTTCACGCAACTAAAGGAGGGCCCCTTTATCGTTTAGAGAAGTTTGTGAGCCCGTACGTCACTCAGATCAGCAGAAAATACTGTGAGGAGGAGTTCATCTTGGATACCCCAGACATTATTTCTCAGATCAACAGCTACAACAAGGAGACGCTAAAGGGCGCTTCTAGAAACTTGCAGCTCTTTACTCTAGACGTGGCAGCATTATATCCTAGCATCAGGCCTGAACTAGCGCTTACTGCTCTTGAGGATGCCCTCAATAGTGATACCAACTTCTCACAAGAGCTAAAAGCGGCTTTGCATGAGTTCACTGACCTGATTTTCCGGGAGTCCTTTGTCACTTATCAGGGAGAGGGATACATTAACAAGGAGGGTATCCCAACGGGAAATTGTATCTCAAGACAAGTGGCAGATGTGACGATGCATTGGCTATTGTTTAAACAGATCAAAGGAAAGATGAAAAACTGGAGTTTGGTAGACCTCTGGAGGAGATTTATTGATGATGTACTTGGGGTGTGGTTAGGAACAGTCCGACAGTTCAATCTATTCGTGGAGCAACTGAACAAACTGGCAGAACCATTTGGAATCAGATTTGCTGACCAACAAATCGGTAAAACTGTTAATTTCCTTGACATCACTCTAACCTTGGATACTTACAACCAGATCCAATATAGACTCTACAGAAAGGAGACAGATGCTAGGAATTACTTGCGAACGGATAGCTTTCATCCTCACCATGTATTCGAATCTGTGGCGTTTTCCCAGATGATACGAATCATAGAAAGGAACTCGCAAGACTCAACCTGTGTAGAAGACTTAATGGAGCTGAAAGCAGATTTATCTAAAAGCGGACATAACAGCGTTAAGTTAGAGGAGATCGAGCCGAGAGCAGTTGTCAGAGTACTGGAGAACACCCACGTAGCCAACAGGTCTAAGGAGAGTGAGAACGCTGATAACTTAGTCTTTTCAGTACAACACTCTTCGGACAACATTCAGCTGAAGAAGTTGATTCACGAACTTGGACCGGACATCAAGAGGATATGTGGAGATATACGTGTGATATTTGCCACACGAAAACATCCTTCAATCGGGAACAGGGTAGTGAAGAATCGACAACTTGGAAATAAGGCTGAATGTCCCCAAAAAACATCACAGAAGTGCTCAGCCCCTGGATGCAAGACTTGCCCGGTATTGTTCGATCTTGACTCTAAGATCATGGTCAACGGCATGGAGCTTAATCTAGACGAATCCCTCACGTGCAAAGATAAGCACATTATTTACGTTGCACAATGCCAGCAGTGTAGGGCTATTGAGGGATCTGAGGACACTTACTTTGGGCAGACGTTGACTCCATTCCACATTAGGCTCAATGGGCACCGGAACAAGTTCAACATTGACGACCGTGCCCTCTACGAGCACTCAGCCTTATCAATGCATTGTTACGATGTACACAAGGACACTTTCAGTTTTGACTGTTTCAAATTCGGGATTGTGAAAAAGACTAAACCTTCCCTATTAGATAGGGAAGAGGCTAGATTTTGTGCAAAGTTTAGAACTAATGTTTGGGGTTTAAATAGGATGGAAATTTAAAGATAGTTTTTTTGTGTGGTTTTTACCAATTTCTGTAATCAATTAATTTTAAAAACTTTGTGCCAATTTTGCGTCATTTTTCTTTATAAATTTTATCTACCACGCTATCAGTGAAACAATTTTATCGTATTCCATTTTCTGATCGACTTTCATGATATTCTCTAATCATGACCTTTTTATAAATTTTTGAATCTCTTTGACTGAGTATTATGAGTGATTTTATCTGACTAATTTATTTCTTTTTTGTAGGCTCTAGCGATGTAATAAACGAAGTTTCCAAGCCAAATTTGTGTGTTTCCCTTCGTGTCCAAAATCAATCAGTATTAGAGTTTACTAGAAGTATAAAGATCTGTTTTTATAATGATGACGATTTACTAACGCCTTACAGTTACACAATACAGTAAACAAACAAATTCATCATTGAAACATTAGAGTCAAACTTAAATCTTAAATCAATAAAAGCAGTTACGAAAGCACGGCGACAGGGCAACAAATAAAACCTGCTAGTATGTAGTGCATAATACAGTTTCAAAAGTTTGTTAAATTCAAACTCGGAAGCAAGTGCATTCAATTTAATTCTGTAGATTAATCAAAAAGACAATAATAATTAGTCGTTTAGGTTGAGTCAAAATCAACTCTTTTTAATCAGTTCATCAACAATGCCAGAAAGACGGCTGCGCTGCATCATCTTACTGAATTGGGCGGTAGTACAGTTTATTATAGAGTTGAGCTGTTTACTGCTGTACGACATGTAGTTCTCTCTCAGCCACTGCTCTAGATCTCCCTGTAAATGGTAACTTTGGAGATGGAATTATTAACATTTACGTCACATATCAATCCTGGTGCTTAATAGTAATAATAATAGTGAGTACATCTTGATGATTAATTTGTCCATGCTCAGTTATCCTGAATGTACAATCTGTATCTGTACATCCTAGATGCTTTAAATATGTCGGCTTAACCTTAATATCTAAGATATATCTAAGATTATACGAAAAACTTAAATAATCTTAAAGTATCAGTAAAACTAACCTCCGTCAAGTAGTAAGCCTTAATGAAGTTCTCCACAACGTCCTTACCCGGTATCGGCTTAATTGTTATGAACTTGACCACCTGCACTATAAATTGCTGGAAATCAAGTTGCATCCAGGCGCGACCTGTAGTGTGGGGTGTAACGTGAGCAAAGGATAATACTGGTAGCGACAGTTAAATATGTTAAATATGTTAAATATGTTAAATGTGTTAAATATGTTAAAATTAAATATGTTAAATATGTTAATTGGGTAGTAGAAATACAGATCTTGGATAAACTTCCCAAGACACAACATATGCTCTTGTTGGGGACTGAGTTATGGTTAGGATTGGGGTCAAAGTAGAGGGTTATGGTTTTGAATAGTCACTCTAGAGAACGTGTTATTGTTAAAGTAGGTCACGTGATTAATCATCATCCTGGAAACTTACCCTCGTGAGTACACTTGCGAGCTGATCCGAACCCTTCAAGGAACACACGACATAGCTCACTGATGCTGAGGGTCCATATCATCTGGTACACCTGAAACAGAACATTATTTATAAACATTTCGTATCACTTATATGTTTTAAACAACTCCCTCCACATTCTTTATCACTTCCAGTACTCAGCTTATCTTTAATTTATCTTTAATACAGCGTGGAATTGTATCCCCTGAGGGCGTTATCACTTATCACTTAATCGTTATGGAGAAAGCTGTCTACTACAGAAAAGAATAAATAAATTGTTGGATCAAATTACCTCTACGGGAATGGGAACAAAGGTGCTGACTACAGATATTTTTTGCTGCATTGCTTCCATTTCCTGAGAAATCATGAAGAGTTAAGTATTTCCTGAGAGATGATTAAGTATTTGAGAAACTTTTTTTTACAATTTATAAATTTAACGGTATAAATACAACCAAAAAAGCACCTTAACATCAACTAAATGGCTTGAAGTAAGCAGGGTTCACGAAAATAGTTAAAGCTGTAAACCTGAAGCATAACGTAAACATAGGAATTAGGCTCGCTCATCAGTTCCCTAATTTCCCACTTTACATTTCCCATTAGTTGTAGTATAGCATTGTAAGACATGGCTTTAGAAGCCACGCCACTGTAAACTGCCTCTCGTAGTTCCCGGGACAACGGTAGAGTCTAAAAATATTGTGACGTCATAACTGTGATATTGTGACGTCATAACTGCAATATTGTGACGTCATAACTGCAATATTGTGACGTCATAACTGCAATATTGTGACGTCATAACGGTATGGGAAACAATAATAATAATATTATGCATCAGATTTTAGGCAGCTAATCAAACTATTGTCACATAATAATTGCATTTACACGTGTTTCCATCTGATCACAAACTTTTGCACCAACAATTCTGCTGTGTACTATGCTGAGGATTGATGACTTCATCATTACTTTATATACTAAGTAAGTTTCTAACCTGATTGTAGAACTGGTTGAGAAAGTTGAGTTTGTCAGCAGGAATCTGATTGTCGAGATATTCCTTCCAGAGGTCGAACTGAGATGCTAAGAATACCAAAGATTCCGTTGCTATTAACCGCTCTTTAAGTCCGAATAGGTTCTGAAAGTGGAAGAATCATTTAAGGAAAATTTGTGAGGGAGAGGGAGGAGGGGGGACTTTAAGGGAAGTGTTAGGGGCCATCTACTTAGGACGACCGCTAAATTGTTATTAACTGTTGTACTTAATAATAATTGATAATTCATAAAATCATAACTAGTACCTGGGTATCATGCATAATTAGTGCATAATTAGTGCATAATTAGCACATACCTGAGTATCGTGAAGGTTGATGAGATCAGATACTTGGGGTGCAGGGATATTGATCCCATTGGGTCGAGGTTCTTCACCGAGAATTATTGAGCTTTGGATCTTGAGAAGTATCTGGGCTAGCCTGCAGAAATTTAGCGTTAACTTTCAAATAGATTATAACAGAGGCGGGTGTGCTGGTCTTAAACAATTGGGACGGTCACAGACCAAACTAACAGCTCTAGTCTCTACACTTGCAGCATACGTTGGCACACTTTGCGGCACACTTTTGCAGCACACGTTTTGAAACCCATTTCACATTTGAAAACCTCAATGATTACGCTAGTGTAATTTCAAAACATTAGCTTTGTGTAATGTGTAATAGTAAAACCGAATATGGAGTGAAAACTTTGTAACGTTATTTTGACACAGCGGCACACGTTTGTGCAAGTCTCACAAACTGTTCATTTCACATAGTTTAACTTTAATTTAAGGGGTCGTTCACATATTACGTAATCAGCTGAGGGGGGGGGGGGGGGGGGGGTTCCGAATGATTCAATGATTACGCTAGTGTAATTTTGACACAATAGCTATGTGTAAAACTGATTAAGGAGGGGGGGGGGGGGGTAAAAATGTTCCAAAAAATGATTACATAATATGTGAAGGACCCCTAACACGAAGGAAAACACACAATGTTAGGCTTGAAGGGGGGATACAACGGTCATTAATGTGCATTAATGGGCATAAATGGGCATTAATGTGCATTAATGTATATGTATGGGGGGTACCAATGGCATAGAATGGAGAAAAATGGCATAAAATTCATCAAATGGCATAGAAATTTCATGGCATAAATGGAAATTTTGTTTGGCCAATTCTCCATTATGCCATTTATGCCATTGGTCCCCCCCCCCCCCCCCATATGTATATTTCAGCAAAATTCTATAATACTGCCATTAATGCCCATACTTTTTTTCCCATTTTTGCCCATTTTTCTATTAAATATGGGCATTAATGTGCAAAATTTTAAAATACTGCCATTAATGCCCATACTTTTTTTCCCATTTTTCTATTAAATATGGGCATTAATGTGCATTAATGGGCATTAATGGGCATTAATGTGCATTAATGTATATGTATATTTCAGCAAAATTCTATAATACTGACATTAATGACCGTTGTAAACCCCCGGCTTGAATCCTTCGTACAAATATAAACAACATCTTTAGAGCCTGTAAATTTAACCTTATATATTACCTGGGATTGGAACTTTCGACGTTAGTCGACCCGAAGAACATATAAACTGCGTACATGTAGTACTCGAACAGCTGGGACATGGAAAGAAGCACGTCAAATGCGATCGGTTTCAGGCTGTCCATCATTAACATGTACTTCCCGAGGTACCTGTAGTGATGACGTCATGTTAGGTTAATAATGAACTAATGACGTCATGTTAGGTTGGTTGTGATTTCATGTAAATGAAAGAGACCAGTTTCGGGAGATTAGATGCAGCAAGTTTCAGGAATTCTAGTGCAAATATCAGGAATGTTTTAGGACACAGACCTCAAAACATTTAGAGTTGTGTTGGTCAGTATAGGTCCATCTCGACTGGAATTGTGAAACGTAACTTTGCTCGTCATTTTCTTTCGCTTGTTGCCCTGCGAATTGAAATGTTTTAAACATCGACTCCAGTTTAAAGCTCATAAGAAACAGCGCAACGACTGCAAAGGTATACAACAACAACAAAACTATCTATATTATATCGTTCATAAAGACAGTCAGAAATAACAATCTGATAAAAGTATTTTCTAATGTTTGCTAAGAATTATAAACCCACCTTATCTGTTTCAGTTGCTCCGTCCTCCACAAAATCTTGCTTCAGTTCCTCATCGACATCTGAGTCTGAATCCTCCTGAAATCAATCAAACTGTAACAAAACTGTTTCCACTGTTGTAATGGATAAGAATATTTCGGTGGTAGTTATAGTAGAGCTCAATTTAAACTACGAAAAAAATCATTACCTGAAAATCAAAGAAACTCTCCTCCATGACACCTATGTCAGCAAACATGAACGGAGAGGTAGTCTTGTCAGAGAAGTAGCCGTCACCTTTCTCGCTGAGCCTGAAGATATGGTCATATGGGTGACGACAACATAATTTATGGACAGTGAAAAAAGTAAAAACTAAATGTTACAACTTATCATAATAATTTACTGAGTACTGACATTATAAAATTTACGTAGTGTGTAGTAGAAAAGAGCACTTTAAAAGTTGCTCGTCGTGATTTTTATCTAGGAATGAAAAAATAATGCGAAATGAAGTCCCCACAAAGTATATTGATCAATGAAAAATAAAATGAATATTTCAAATTTCAGGCTCTTTAGTTCCAGTGTAACTCACTTCTTCTTATCATTCTTTTTAGACGCCATGAATCTAAACTCGTTAAGTTGTATAGTGGTGAAGGTAGGTTTAACAGGTAATAGCTCCCAAAGCTCCATATTGAGAAACATGTACAGCTCCTGCATGGAGGTGTGGTCATTAGGAGTTTAATCACTGAACTGAGGAGAGAACTCTAGCATGTTTAAGCAAAAATAAAATGGTCGAGAAGGTTTTAAAAAATAGGAGGATATTCATATAATGCCATTCAAAACATAAATTCAAAATTAGGAGTTCATTTTGATTTTTAAACCTTTTGCTGCTCTAACTTTGGGGCTTGGAATTTCAATTATCTTGTTTCTATCACCCTCAATGTAAAGTTACAATATATTGGATACTCTGCCTCGATTATGCTAACCACCAGTTCAATTGGCCCAGTTGAGCTTAGATAAAGATAAATAAAGATAAATAAAGATAAATAAAGATAAATAATGATAAATAAAGATAAATAAAGACAAACAAAGTCAAACAAAGATAAGCAAAGATAAACAAAGATAAACAAAGATAAACAAAGATAAACAAAGATAAACAAAGATAAACAAAGATAAATAAATATAAACAAAGATAAATAAAGATTAAACAAAGACAAATAAAGAAACATAAAGATAAATAAAGATCAAAAAGATAAATACCTCAGTTCTGGAGGCGTGGTAACGTCTGAAGTACTGTACACTCTGAGCTCGGAGGGGTTCCCGCAACAGATCACAGGGTATGTTAGGTGTTCCACAAAACTCCTCTCCTACCTGGGAGAAATATAATAGTGTCACGTGATTACGTGATAGGACGTCGTGAAGATATCACGTGACGCCGTCAAGAATAGGATATCAAATATCATGAACACAACACCAAATGCTTTAATCAAAGTTCACCTTATTATTATACGAAAGGTCATACATTTTAGGACGTAAATTCAATAAAACCGGGATGAGAATGGTGGAGTTTTAAAGTGACCCTCAAAATTAGAGCTGCTAGAAAATGCACCTGAATGAGTCTGTTGACGAGGTCTAGGACTTTAATAAAATCGTCGAACTGGAATTGGGAGAGATCTTGTGAAACTAGGTAAGGGTTTACTTTGTGCTGAACATCTTGCCAGATTCTGTGGAATTGTTTCATTATTTATTTATGCCTATCATTAGGTATTTACCAAATGTACAGTGTACATAATATTTATATGATTCGAATAAAATAAAAAATTTCAAGTTCAACCTAGCAAGACCGAGTTGTAGCTTCTGTTGAACGTAATTCTTATCGAACTGAGATAGCTTATCAGCACAGCTACTATCACTGTAATGGTAACTCAGCATCTTCTGATAGCTTGTCATAATGCCTGAAATAACAAAATATCATTGCCAAAACAATGCTTTTTAATACTGTTCATTCAATATTATAAAACCACGCGACGTTGACGTCATCACCAAACGTCATTGCAGTAATATGTGACGTCATAAAACCTACCCCAGAGAGTAGTGAGAATGTTAGATAGACACTCGATGTAGAGATCTGGTGGTACAAATCTACAGAGGTCTTCGTATTGGATCTTCTGGTCTGCGGAGGTATTACTCGCGTATCTGAGGAAAAAACAGGGTCTAAATTTGACAAACCAGGGTCTTAACTGACAAACCAGAGTCTACACCCACGAATCAGGGTCTAATTCTAAACTAAAAACAATGCGACCTTTCAATTGGTAAATGTACAATTTTGTATTCAAAATTAAGGGACTCGTTCATGACTAATGACTAATAAAGATGTCGGAACACCAGGATATATACTCAGGAGAACATCTCTCTAGCACACCGTTTTAACAAAAATTACCAAGGCTACAATAAAGCAATAAGTACTAACCTGTAGACGGTTTCGTATGTTCTGGAGTGGATTGCACTGGTGAAGTGCATGTGAAGCTGATCCATTGCGCTCTGCAGCTTCCCTGGTAGACAATTCAGAAATTAGAGGGAAAATAATCAAGCGTTTTGGAGCGGCTGAATTTACCCCAAAGATTACCATTTTTACTGAGAACTTGTATTTCAAATTAATCAAATCCAAGGAGACATTTCGCAGACAGATAACGTAAAACTCAAATTTATTTAACGTTTATTGATTACTAAGATTTAATGTTAATTAATTAATTAACGAAATAATTAATCAATTAACGAAATAGTTAATTAATTAACGAAACAATTAATTAATTCACGATATAATTAATGAATTAATAAACGATATAGTTAATTTATTATTATATTGTACCTAGTAAGAGGTAAGCGGTGGTTATCTTGCTGTAACGCTCGTGGTCGAAGTTTATACACATCACTGATAGGACCACGTCTAGCTTCTCTTCAATCAAAACAGCCGTGTCTTTTAACTTGGAGTTCAGATCCTGTAGATATTAAAATATACCCAAAGAAGATGTACTTTTAAGTCATTCAAGGGAGACTTTAAGGAAGTTTAATGACACCACTTTTAAGATAAAACTCAGCAGTGTTTAATCTAAACATCCCAGAAAAGTGCTTGAATAAGATAAGGACTGGTTCAGTTCAAATAGAAAATGTGGATTGTGGTAACTGCCTGCTGGCCTGCAGTACCTGAATACACAGACTAGATGTGCAGTACCTGAATACAAGTGTACTGTCTGTAGGTAACAGCAGCATGTTGGCAGTCTCTACACAGTTGTATAGCACCGGGGAAGTCCTCCTTGTCTATCAGCTCCCTTAGCCTCTCGTCCGTTTTGTGGAGGATTTTTATAGTCCTGATAAGAGGGCCCAGGTTGAAGTTACTTTTAATTTACTCAATAACCGCAGAGTGAAAATCTATGAAATCTAAAAATCTGATGTCCCTGGTCACCCTGACTAACCGCCAAGAATAATAGATAAGTAAATAAGTAAATTTTAATATTTATTACACGCTTCTACGTTAATACAAATATACCTAAAGAAGCTGTACAAGCGAGACATATTATGGATATAATAAAATCATGCACTTTTAAATCAGATAAGATTAAATAAAATATATTTATTAATAAAAGTACGATAAAGATGTAGAAAACTGACGGTAGAGCCTACTTTAGGGTGTTGAGCAATGCAATAAGTCGTTGTCTTTGAGAATAGTAGCCCAGCAGTGTGATAGCCCCGTCGGTTAGTCCTAACTTAGCTTGCTTTACTGAGCTGAAGAGAGATTATCAGGGAGGCATGGCTAGGGATAAAGTACAGTTGTGTTTATTAGGCGATATCACAGACTAAAAAACATTTATATACTGTACAAAAATTTCACTATGCTTTGTGGCAGAGGTAGGTAGTTGCTGTTGTCCATAATGTCTTTTATTGAGCATCATCATAAGTCGCTCTTATCCTCAACCGTGTTCCGCGAGGACCTATTTTACTGCTCTTAATTTTATTCAATATTATAAATGTGACGTTGACGTCATCACCAGACGTCATTGCAGTTATATGTGACGTCATAATTGCAGTAATATGTGACGTCATTGCAGTAATATGTGACGTCATTGCAGTAATATGTGACGTCATTGCAGTAATATGTGACGTCATTACAGTAATATGTGACGTCATTGCAGTAATATGTGACGTCATTGCAGTAATATGTGACGTCATTGCAGTAATATGTGACGTCATTGCAGTAATATGTGACGTCATTGCAGTAATATGTAACGTCATTGCAGTAATATGTGACGTCATTGCAGTAATATGTGACGTCATTGCAGTAATATGTGACGTTATTGAAGTTATATGTGACACGAGTAACGAGTTTCATCACCATGTTTACACTGTAAACTAATCGAGTTAATACAATTACTGAAAGATGGACACTTACAATCTGATGTCCAGAGTGACGGCAAATGTTTTTTGAAGATCTTGTTCTAGTTCTATTACTCGGTCTAACTCCGTGTTGAATTCTCCTTTTTTATTCAGCAATTCGTCGGTCAGCTTTCTCCCTACCTGTACATTATAAACGTCATGATCAAAATTTAGCCCCGAAAACTCGAATCACTCTGAAAGACGACTCGAAAAAAATCAATATTGGTTGCTAATTTCCAGAATTATTTTATAGAATTTCTTTAAGTGTCACTATCTAATTGTTATTATCTTTTAAGCATCTCTAAAGTATCGTATTCTTTATACTGTATACTAAGAATTATTATTTTGTGTAAAGTCAATAGTGAAGATATTTTGTATATAAAAGTTCCGACTGAAAACTTGTTGTTTAATCTTACAAAGTAGTGTTGAAGTCTCATCTGTCTTCGTTTCTCCTCAAGTGCTATTAAATCCGTCTCCTTCTCTGGCAGTTCCTTTAAAATTACAGTTTATCATAACCAATAAATATCTGGTTTTATGAATAAAATGAATAATACATACATCGAAAAAGTAATACAATAATAGTTGGCACTAAAGATATGCGCAACGTTCTCGAAAAATCATGATATGAATAGTTCCAAACATATAATAAGATCTATTTTCATTTTAACCTGGAGTAGCTTGAAGCTTGGGTCAATGTCTCCACTAAAGAGGATCTCGTCAATGCTCTTCATCACTTCCTCCCTTTCCACAGGATCATCCTTGTGGTCTTCCCAGTCTTTCTGGGGAAAGTGGGGTTAGTTGGAACTTACAAACGTTTGCGAATTTATGGTTTTTTGTTTTAAAATGAAACTTTTTAGGTTATCAACAAACTTCTAGCCAACGGACAAGCATCTTAAGATCTATTTTCCATAGTTTAATTTAGTAGACACTAGACAGTAGTAAAAAATGACGGCTCAATGCGATCTCTACATCAGCTACACTGTTATGAAATAAATGAGAGTGAAGACATCTTGAAAAAATCTTGAAAATCAAACCTTCGTGCTTATATTCTTCTCGTCGAGGAGAATTGGTTCGTCTTCAATCGAATCAGTTGATCTCTGCTGGTGGGTGTTGATGAGGGATCTTATCTTATCCATGGTGATCAAATTCTTTAAATATATTCCACTTTTACACTACATTTCCAGAGGTGAATAATTCTGGTAGATTATCAACTGGCTGCTGTTATTTGGTGGTCAGGTGGTGTCACATAGCTGCTGAGTGTTAATTATTCAGTTGGGAATTTAGTATTACAAATTAATTAATACACTGCTTAATATTGAGTTTCATTATTTGATATACATATATTGAGACGTTGTAGAGAGAATAGTCTAATACGCATCAGAGTTCTTCTGATAGAGCGATATGTTAACTTTCTAAGGGTTTCAAAATTTGCGATGAAATCAGGGAAGAAATGAGACTCCAAATGCATGCGAAATTATTATACTTAGGAAGATGGAATTTTATCACAGTATCAAAAACATTCTTACAACTATTCCTGTATAATGATACACAAACCATTACTGGTTATAGGCTGCTAAAACGATAGAAAACTGTACTTATACTATCTATTTAAAAATACTGATTTGTTCGTTAACAAAGTCTTTAAAAGTTTAAAAATTAAAACTGTTCAAGATTAAAATTTAGGTCAAATCAGAACTACTTCTATGACTGTAAATATAAAACAATATGTGTCCATTTATCACATCTATGATCTGTCTTTAATAACTCATAGTTTATATGCTATCCGGCCAAGACTATACGGTTTCAATTGTAGGAACAGGTGCCCTACCGGATGTTCCTCGATTGCGCATTGTCAGAAAGACAATATATACAAAACAGACAATTATAATAACCGTCTCAATACCATTGAGTATCATAAAATAGTTTTTAGACGACTGGGTGTCTTCCACGAACAGTTTATGGTGTACTTAAGAATGACTTAAGTACAAATTTAAGTTCAACCCTTCGTTTGTCGTCCACGAACTGAGTCTTAAGTACAAATTTTTACTTAAGTCGCATGATTTAAGTTCCTACTTAAATATTTAAGTACGACTTTGGGAGTTAAACTTAGCGTGCACTTAAAGTTGCGTTAGCCTCCATATATGGTGCGTGTGGGAAGCGTAATTGTAATCGATACTTACTTAAGCCCCAAATTTACTTAAGAGTGGACTTAAATCAGGGAGATTTAAGTAAAAAGTTAAGACCAGTCCAAACCGCACTTAAGCTGTACTTAAGTCGAATTTAACGTAAAATCGGATTTTGTGATCACTAAAAATAGAGATTGAGGAAACAGTTTCGAGGGTTTTAAAAAATTATAATATATCAATATTTACATGAACGAATTAATTACACATGTTCTAGCCTCCTGTCCCAATTTCAGGGCTTCTTTTTCACTGATGGCCTCGCGATGTCGACGAGACAAGGCCATCTCACTCTCTTTCCTTATCATATCAGCGATATCTGTATCTACAGGGTAGTCCATATTCCTAGATCTGCAGTAATTATGCAGGACCATACAACTAACTATGATATTACATGCGGTGTCTTCCTGATACATTATTGCACCACCTGTCTTCTTGCAGAGACACCTAAACCTCGATTTAAGGACACCAATGGCCCTTTCTACAGTACATCTGCACTTTTTGTGAGCAACGTTGTACCGTTTCTCTTTCGGAGTGAGATTTTCTGCAAGCAGTGGAACCATCATGATTTCTCGCTGGCCGTAACCCGAATCACCAAGAAGCCAACCCTTATAGTTTGGCCCTTGGGTCTTGACAAAATCTTCGACCAAGGTCTTAACTCCACTTAATTTCCAAATGGTTGAATCATGGACACTACCAGGCCAACGCACAACAGCGTCCAGAAATCGCTCATTGATGTCACATATAACCTGACAGTTGATAGCATGTCCCTCTTTTCTCCCCACATAAGCTTCTTCGCTCGTACTCGGAGGCTTTACTCGAATTACTGTTCCATCAATGGCACCAATCACTGCGGGAAAGCCTCCGTATTCATAAAATCCTCGTTTTACCTCAGTGATCTCTCTACTGCTGGTCGGGAACTTGATGAATTCGTTACCCAATGCAGCTAATGCAGATGACACATTGACAATGCATTTGTGCACTGCACCACGTGACAGGTTAAGCGATGCCGTGTTTTGCAAAAATTTTAACGAATTGCCTGTCGCAAAGTATCGAAGAGCAACCAAAAGTTGACACTCAATTGATAATCCAGCATTTGTTGACCTCACCAAGTCACTGTTTGATTTAAGTTTTTCAGCAAAGTAATAAAGTCCATGCTTATCTAGCCGATAATCGTCGATAAAATCCTCTTCAGTGCAGCTGTTTAGATAGTCTGTCACCATATCATGTCGATTTACCCTCGTAGCAGAGAGGGGGCGAGGGCGAGGTACATAATCCCGCCACCACAAGTATGTTGACATTGTTTATAAATAGGTAAATCTATGGTGATTGGATGAGAGTTTATAATGAACACCATATATTATATTTTGGAGCCTATGATTCTATCGTGATCTATCAAAAGTTCACAAACGTAGCTGTTAAACAAATATTACAAAATTTCCCAGTTAATTTGCAAGTAGAACTTATGTGAAGAGTGGTAGAACAAGATGGGAAGAGGGGTAGAACGGATGGGAATAGGGGTGCAATAAAATTTAGAGCAAAGATATTTAAACCGGGGACTGTATTTTAATTTGTAGTTCTAGTCCTTCGATCATCATTTCTGTCACATTTTTTTAAATATTTGAACATGGCTACATCTGGAAAACAACCATCAGGAAAACAACCTCAACGAAAACGTTCCAGAAATTACACCACGTCTGAAACTGAACTTCTCCTAGAACTAGCTGGGAAGAAGAAGAAAATGATCGATGGTAGGTTCAGCATGACAGTATCTGCAGAAAGAAAGAAGAAACTGTGGACTGACATAGCAAGAGAAGTGAACGGGGTAAATGGTCAAAATGACAGGACACCAAAACATCTCAAAAAGAAGTATCACAATTTGCTAAACACTGCTAAGACAAAGGAAAGACAGAACAAAGAGACAAGACGGAAAACAGGTGGCGGACCATCCGAAGAACAGCCTTTATCAATAGTCGAGCAGATGGCCCTGGAGAATGTCTCAGATGTACATGTTGAAGGGATTGACGGAGGATTTGATGCCAATAGAAGCATTGGGTCCGAAATTGGGTCCACGTTGAGCTCCATCTCAACTATTATTGCTCTTTCTCCCGATCGAGAAAGAGTTTCACAACTGAATGGCCCAGATTTAGTTGGTACGATAGGAGAGGGACTACGTGCCGTTTATGGCTCTGTTCAGGTCGGCGTAAATGATGCATATATATTCGATGGAGACTTCTCCTCGGATGATGACCAGAGCACACTGCCTCCTGATTCACCATCAGATTTGTTTGACCCTACTCCTAGGACACCAGCTGCAGTAGTGCCCATCCCCACCCAGGCTACAGGGTCTGCAGCTCCAGTGACCCAAGCTGTAGAGCCCATCCCCACCCAGGCTACAGGGTCTGCAGCTCCAGTGACCCAAGCTGTAGAGCCCATCCCCACCCAGGCTACAGGGTCTGCAGCTCCAGTGACTCAAGCTGTAGAGCCCACCCCCATTCAGGCTGCTGAGCCTGGTCCTTCAACACAGGCCGCACAGCCTGCTCAACCGGTCACACCTGGACCAATAAGAAGTAACAGAACGGTAACCCGGGATTTGAGGAGGACGGAGTTTAAAGAAATCCTTCAACGAAAGGACAAGTTGAATGATCTCCTTTCGAACACGAACAGTATTTTGTTACAGATATTGAACGAGCTCAAGAAGAGCTAGAGGGCTTAATTTGTATTGTTTTATATTGCCTATAATTTATTGTACAATTTACTATTTATAGATATAATCAATTGTCATAACTTGCTATTTTATGACTGCTATTTTATTCGACTACCTTACAATTATATGGGAGAAAACATCGGTAAACAACACGTAGCAAATAACTGGAAATGACATATTCTGTAATACTAATAGAATCTGCCTGGGTGTGCTCAATTTGGTTCCTACTTGTTATCACACCATTGGTTAGTGTGACCTGCGTTACCTCAGTCACGTGACAGTTAAGTACTCTGCATGATACCCGTTCGTGGACGACAGGTTTGTCCTAAATTTGTGTTTGCTTAAGTGTCTCTAGTTTCGTGGACAGCAGAAATTGTCGTACTTAAGCTAAGTGCGAACTTAGCTTAAGTTCAAAAGAGTTAAGTACAAGTTTCGTGGAGGAGGCCCTGGCCCTCCAACTCCCGGGGGTTGATATTTTCGTAGGTCGCAAGTATCGCGGATCCATTTTTATTTGTGATCACATCACAGATAATGTCAGAAGTATTCTTCGGATTTGTAGCAGTTAACTCGACTCTAGGCGGCACGTGATCATGTGATACATTTCCTCTATAAAAAGGAAGGACTTCCCCAGCCACAGTTGAGCACAGAAGTTCAACTTCATTCAATGGCCATCCTTCTACCAATATAATAGGGTTCCTCTCCAGATCTCTCGAAAGGACATTGATCTTCTTGCTGTATTGGAGAGAAAACATATTTTCTGCTATCTTTCCATAATTCTCACCGAACACCTGGCAAGTGTAAAGACCGAGATCATCAACCGAACAAGCAGGTATAACCAATTCAGCAGCTAACAGGATGAGTTCTGTATCTGCTTTCCACCACTTGTAAGAGAGATACTCGACTCCAGATACCTTACAAGAAAGAGTGTACGGTAGACGCAAGTCAACAGGAATCAGCTCTGGTTGTTGATCACACGGTACTGGAAACCGGCACTGCGATATTTCATCAATCTTCAACATTCTATCCATCATCTTGGAACTGGAAGACACCTCTCTGTTGATGTAGATGATATTAGCGTCACTTACTCGGAACCAGGTAGAGTCGTACCTGAAATTCAGTATTGTTGAGTACGTATTTCCAAAGATACGTATTTCAAAAGATACGCATTTTAAATATTTCGTATTCTATTTCTTATTTAAAAAAACTTTTATGAGTTAGATGAAATGATTTAAAAGTTCGCATTTTGACGTATGTTTTCGAGAGGTCAAATAGAGCATACTCGTTCGTTTTTAACCGATTTTTGTTAAATTTAACAAGACTGACCTAAATGTAGTGTGATACTTAGACAGTGTAGAGTTTGGAGACTGAGAGAAGATGTTCATCAAGCCAGTGTTCTCGTCTTCCCAAATCTGAATCGTAAAGTTACCCTTGGGGCCGTTGAACATCTTATTATAACCCGAACTGGGATTTGTATGCCAGCTGAGTTCCAGCAGTCTGACGCCATTTCCAGATTTGACAAAGTGCACGTCAACTTTTAAAGCGACTGTACCAGGGTCTTCAGAATTGGCAAACTCGATTGTATCCCAAGATCCTATGATACTGGGACCAAATTCAATTTGCTTCATGTCATAGCTTCCCCGGATTGTAGTTACTCGAGCACTTCTGACGGCGGTTTTAGAGCCATCTGGCCAGTCTAAAACATTGCTGGACTTCTGTGATGGGTTGGAAACTGTCCTGCACTCTGCATTGCCACATCCATTCGTAATGTCGAAGATGAGAAGCAGCAACACAATAATAAAGGAGGAGCGCCAAGAACGAATCTTTGCACTGCCATATTTAGCCGTAGTGTGGAATAAACTCTTCTTGCTTTAATGCAGCCAACTGGATAACAGCTAGCTACTGAGAGATAAGTTGTAAAATACACGCTTAAATAAATCTAAAGGAAAATAATATGCAAGCTAATGGTGAATGGAACAAGGAAAAGATTCATGAATGAAAATTACATAACTATGATCAATTCATAAAATGATAACCTCTAGACGATTAGAAAAGGAGTATTTTAAATTCATTCACATTGAACATTGCAATAAAACAACCATTTATCATGATTATGAGGATTAATTTTAAAATTCAAACGAATTCAAATTCTATCACTTTAGAAGCATTCGTTCCATCATCGATTTTTTTCCTGGACCCTTATCACGTGTCTTGAAAAAAAAATCTTCATTTAAACTTTGAACATAAAGATAAAGTAAATATTACTTCGCAGTTCAACTGCCAACTTATTCCTGGCAATAAACCATTTAGTATGAATAATATAATTCAATATGTCTTTTCAATTATTTTTAATAATTTAAAATGATAAAATGTTTAAAATAATTTATTAAAAAATCTGATTTATAAAAAATCTGATGTGTCATAATATAACTTATCAATAAAACTAACTAGGTAGTTGAAATTTCGGTCAACGCATTCACACATTAAAAAATACTGTCAACAAGATGTTTCCATTAAGATTTCGTCGTTACAAAACAAATTATACAATTACCAATTAACATTTATTGAAACCAAACTTTAAAACAAGAAATTTCTATGACTCTGAGCGTTATACGAAAAAACGACGATTTGTTTTGATTTACTGCATCGATGATAAGCATCTCCTAAGGGGGGTGTCTCTACCAAACTAATTTATTACGTATAATACAGCATAATCAGTTTTAAAATAAAAAATCCCAATGGGCACTCCTGAAGAACATAACATAGAAATTTAAATAAAAATAAAAATAAAGTCAAATGTGATAAATCATACCACATACAATCGATGGTATATTAACATTAAATCTATCGTATTTAAAGTATAAATGATGAACTTATGAATTTATTCTGATAAATTCGGAAATGTTTCTTACAAATGTTTCTTACAAAAAGCATGCAATTAATCAAGGCTTATTGTTATTTCCTCTTGTTACTCTTTTTATAACGCAGAATTGTCCACTTTATTCGCCTTTGTGTTCAGGATTGCTTTGAAGTTCATTCTTTTTTTACCGCCCAGGAGAATCTAGAGGAAAAGCATCCTCAAGAGAACCTGAAAACTTTTTCGAGCCTATCCTTGATTAAAGTATAACCACCGCACAAAGTATAACTACCGCGCAAATATTCGATAACACTAACCGAAATGATAACACCTACAGATGTAGCAATAATAAGTATAATATTTAAAGGAAAAGTGCAAGGTAAAGGTTGACTCATTTGACACACCTTATCTTCCCTCCTAAAGATTTTGTGACCAAATAGCTCAATCCCGTTCAGAAGGACACAACTAAACATCTCAGGAGCATCTTCTTCATACAATTCTGTAGTAAACATGACTCTAGAAGGTGAATTTTCTAATCGTTGATAAAAAGGAACGGCCACTCCTAACTCAGATTTGCATTCTAACCTCACCTCAATAAGAGGGTGACCTTTAACGACCCACTCAAGATGAATGCCACCGTTATAAAAGCTGTACGTTGAGTTTGGTGCTGTAAAATTCAAATACTGCAGACTTATACGCTTTTCAACTGCTTTTCCAAAGGTTCTGTTGAAAACCTTGCAGGTGTAATTTCCAGCCTTCTTTGTATTAACATCAGATATCACCAATTTTGACTCGATTAGGAATTCTGCACCGTCAGAAGAAAACACTTCATCACCAGGAATAATGCTATTCTCCTTGTCTCTCCACTCAGAACCAAGATAAGGTGCTCCAGAGGCTGAGCAGGACAGAGTGTAGGTACTTCCAAGTTCTGCTCTTATAACTTGAACATCCATTTTATCAAGAAGTTTAGGTTTTGGATCTGAACAGACGGATATTTTCGTGTATGATAGATGACAGTCCTGTTTGCAGGTATTTACAATTCTTCTGGTACCGTCGATCCTTCTGTTTTCAAACTTCTGCCAATTTTCCGGAGATCCATATTTGATCAAACGCTTTACAGGTTCAGCAAATCCACCAAGATACACTTCATATCCAGTAATCTCACAGTCGATATTTGATAGTTGAAAGTTTACTAGACCATCCTTGGAGATCTTGTGGATGTTATCTATTTCAAGACAAATGGACTCTAAATTACGGGTTTCTGGATACGAGAATACCCTGTCACTATCAGTATCATTCAGAGTTCCCCTAACATACATACATTGGTTTTTTTCGTTGACCTGGGTTTCAATCTCTAGGATTGGAGCATCATTAGAGTCATCCTCTCCGATAAACTTTAGGAGATCTTTGTGAGGCACACCTGATTCAGGAGCATGATCTAAATTCAAAACACCTTCAATAGTAACGATTCCATTTAGCAGTTCACCAGGATGTAGCTCGATGTTGAAGTTGTTGCGTCCAGAGGGTACGTCCAAAATAATCCAACACTTTGAGCAACTGCCAGGGGTGATGACTGATAGAATCCATAGCACGGTTATTGCTAACATTAGTCAGCTAAAAAGATGTGGTCAGTTAGTGTTAATTTAACAAAAATTATTGAATCTAGTGAGTATGTCGCTACAACAGTGCAAAGTCTGATATCTAACTTTCATAAAATGACAATCTTTCACATGAAAAGAATATTGCGTTTCATTTGGCAATCAATTAATCAGTTTTGAAACTTCCCGGTATACAGCTGAGTGAAACTTTCTCAAATAAGGAAATAAAAATCTTAAAAATATCACCTTATCTTAAATTTCTGAAACGAGTTACTCAGACAAAATAAATTAGAATACACTTAAACCTTTATTATATACGGTATAGAGAGGTTTAAGTGTTTTTATTTTCTTTCACAATATATAGTTTACTGTGACCCTTACTTCATAACTTACCCGGATTATTAAAATCCAAAAGAATTTAAAAAAACTGCCAAACTGAAATTGCACTGCATCTATATTAATCAAGATCGCATTCGAAATCACCCGCCATTCTAACAAAACATTTCACTGCCACCTAGAGTATACTTGTACTGATACTCTGTTAAGGGGTCGTTAACATATTATTACATAATCAATTTTTTTGGTTATTTTACCCCCCCCCCCCATGTCAACACAGCTTAAAATTTTAAGAAATTAAATTGTTTCTGATACTTTTTGAAAATTCCGGTTGATATTCGGCTAAGCACATTCTAAACCCGACTGGGATCGGATATTGAAGACAAGTATTCGGCCAGAACTGAATTCAGCTGGATTTATGATTGGTTCCTAAATTTTATCACAACAAAAAATTTTCGGACTGGTATTATATATTTACTAGAGGATATTAAAAATGAAAATTTTCAACAGCCAGATCAAAGCCTTTAGAATTAGTTGACTGAAATTAAGTTTTTTTGATTTTAATACCTATTTGCGTGGTACGAAGAGTTCATAATATTTTTATTAACATATACTTTTGAGTGAACATTAGCTGGCACTACAGACTAGTGTGGGCCAGTCCCCAATTATTGATTGAATAAATCATTACGTTACAATCATCAATTCTTCCCTGAACCTTCAACAGGTGTCTTGAAAAATTCTCCGTGAAAGTAAATATTACTTCGCAGTTCAACTACCTACTTATTCCTGGCAATAAACCACATAAATATTATGATTCAATATGTCCATTCAACTATTTTAAATAATTTAAAACAATAAAAAATAATTTACAAAAAAATCTGATGTGTCATATACAACTTATTGATGAGACTAGCTAAACTTAGTGAAGCAGTCTACTGTTTCAATACTAATAACACAGTAGTCACTTTCTATGGTTATTCGTAATGTTGACGTTGCTCAGGATTACTGTGAAATTCTTTCTTTTGACCTTCCACCCTACCATCACCACGATCTCTACGTGGACGCGGTACATTATCCGGGAAGACATTCTCCTTATACTTAGACTTCTTAACAGGAGCTTTCTGTGGAGTTATTGCATCTTTTGACGATATACTGCGCTCGGGATCGCAAGAGGAATTGCTTCCCTCAGAATCCAACTCAGAAACAGTAGGCATACACTTAGACGTCTTTATCTTAGCAGGAGCTTCCTGTGGAGTTATTGCATCTTTTGACAATGTACCACACTCGGAATCGCCAGAGGGATTGTTTCCCTTGGAATCCATAAATATACGAGAATACTCACCAGCTGCAGCATCATAACCTTGAGGAGAAGAACACTTTCGAGAACCAGAAAACGCCATAGATTTCATATAAGTAAGTCTGCTATTTAATGTTCTTTTAAACCTCTCCTTACCAATAATTAGAATGTTAATAACAATTAAAGCCACGAGGGTTGTGACGCCAAACAAAATACAAAGCTCTCTCCATCTCGACCATATACACTCACATACCGCTTCTGTCGGCGGTTCAGAAGTAATTGTACTTATCTCAGAGTCTTTATTCTCCATCCTTAATATTTTGTGATCAAGAAGCTCAATCCCGTTCAGAAGAACACAACTAAGCGATGCAGGAGCATCTTCTTCGAAGAATTCAGGAGTCGGAGTAAACAATACTCTAGGAGGTGAAGATTCTGATCGTCGGTCGTAATGAACTAATACTCCAAACTCGGTTCTGCACTCTAGTTTTACTTCAAAAAGAGGATACCCTTTAACAATCCATACAAGCGGAATACTTTCAGTAAAGCTGTAAGTTGAGTTTAGTGCAGTTATATTCGAATACTGCAGACTTACAAGCTTTTCAACTGATTTTCCAAAGTTTCTGTTGAAAACCTTGCAGGTGTAATTGCCAGCCTTCTCTGTATTAACAACAGATATCACCAACTTTGACTCGATAAGGAATTCTGCTCCCTCAGAAGAAAACACTTCATCACCAGGAATAATGCTATTCTCCTTGTCTCTCCACTCAGAACCAAGATAAGGTGCTCCAGAGGCTGAGCAAGACAAAGTGTAGGTACTTCCAAGTTCTGCTCGTACAACTTGGAAATCCATTTTATCAAGAAGTTTAGGTTGTGGATCTGAACAGACGGATATTTTCGTGTATGATAGATGACAGTCCTGTTTGCAAGTATTTACTATTCTTCTGGTACCGTCGATCCTTCTGTCTTCAAACTTCTGCCAATTTTCCAAGGATCCATATTTGATCAAACGCTTTACAGGTTCAGCAAATCCACCAAGATACACTTCATATCCAGTAATCTCACAGTCGATATTTGATAGTTGAAAGTTTACTAGACCGTCCTTGGAGATCTTATGGTTGTTATCTTTTTCAAGACAGATAGACTCTAGTTCTTTTAATTCAGGAGTTTCTGGATACGAGAATACCCTGTCACTATCAGTATCAGTTAGAGTCCCCCTGGCATACATGCACTGGTTTTTTTTGTTGACCTGAGTTTCAAACTCTAGGATTGGAGCATCATTAGAGTCATTCTCTCCGATAAACTTTAGGAGATCTTTGTGAGGCACACCTTCTGCAGGGGCATGATCTAAATTCAAAACACCTTCAATAGTAACGATTCCATTTAGCACTTTATCTAGCTCGATGTCGAAGTTGTTGAGTCCAGAGGGTACGTCCAAAATAATCCAACACTTTGAGCAACTGCCAGGGGTGATAACTGATAGAATCCATAGCACGGTTAATGCTAACATTAGTCAGCTAAAAAGATGTGGTCAGTTAGTGTTAATTTAACAAAAATTATTGAATCTAGTGAGTATGTCGCTACAACAGTGCAAAGTCTGATATCTAACTTTCATAGAATGACAATCTTTCACATGAAAAGAATATTGCATTTCATTTGGCAATCAATTAATTGGTTTTAAAACTTCTCGGTGTACAGCTGAGTGAAACTTTCTCAAAAAAGGAAATACAAATTTTAAAAACTTCACCTTATTTTAAATTTCTGAAACGAGTTACTCGCTATACAAAATATATATACAAAATATATCAAAATACACTTAAACCTCGATAAGATAGATTAGATACGGTACAGAGAGGTTTAACTGTATTTATTTTCTTTCACAATATAGTTTACTGCGAACCTCTGTATAGTATATACAATATAAATTTAAATACATCACCTTTTAAAAGTATTTTTCCTTTCCCCTAGCCAAAATTACCCACCAGCCTGCTTGAGTGGATCCCGAACTTTTTCGATCCTGCTCGCAGCTCGAGCGGATTCCGAATTTTTCGAAAAAAATTCTATTTGTCAACAATAAAAAAATCCCGTTTCCTGGTACCCTAGCGAACCCACTTTTGAAAGGTAAGCCGTGAACCTTTATACACTGTGCTCATTCCTTTGTTCTGTAGCATTTGTTTGGCCAGTTTGTGCAAGACATGTGATCTATCTGAGCTCACTTAGCCTCTAGTGGTGATTTAGCTGTATTCCATAGCAATACGGCACAAAACGTGCATAATGCATTATATATGACCCAGGATCTTATTGGAGAGGCTACAGATACTGAAAATAAGCCATCTATATCATGCTTTCCGCTACCCCATGCAAAATAACTTGACTCATATTTCTAAATATAATACCCTACCCAGTCAGATAAAAAATTAGTAAACATTTGTGATCAAAACGATCAGTTGAACTGAATCACCGCCGTTTCGTCTAAACTAGCTATCCTTTTTATTGTCATATGCTGGAGGGGCACTATGGAGCTCTCGCTTTTCAGTCCTTGTTTGAGTGCCTTTATTTTGCTTGTCAGAGCCGAAAGGGATTCTTTTTCTCATTTGCCCATCTTCGGTAAATTTCCTCGGAGTATCGTTCCCCAAAATGTCTGTGTCAGCAGATGATAAACCAGCAAATTCACTCCCACCAATACGATGCAGAACATCTTCTGGCGAACTTCCATCTGCTCTTAATGAACTTGAAGGTAAGGAAGCCTCTTTTATAGGATTTCCTTCAGTTGCCTCTATATTCTCAGCTAATGGATAATAAAATACAGTAGCAGCCGAATTTTTCTTATTCTTAAACAAATTTAAGCTTCCTTCACGTGACTTGCACATTATTGCAGCTAGAGCAAGATTACAAATGACTGATAAGACCAACAGATAACCATACCAGCAAATACAACCAGTATCCTTGACACCAGCTTCGCAAGGAGGTGCAGGGATCTGAATACTCTCATTGGCATCTTCATCATCTCTCATAATGGTCCTTTGATCCAGAAATTCAGTCCCATTCAGGAGAACACAACTCAGCATTGCAGGAGCATCTTCTTTGGAGAATTCGTAACTAAAGGTAAGTCGAAGTGGTGAATATTCTAATCGTTGGTAAAAAGGAACAGACACTCCTAACTCAGATTTGCATTCTAACTTCACTTCAAGAAGAGGATGTCCTTTTACAGTCCATACTAGTTCAGTACTTTCACTGTCCGCAAAACTGTACGTCGAGTTTGGTGCTGAAATAGATAGATGCTGTAAACTTACAAGCTTTTCAACGCCGTTGCCGAAGTTTTTATTGAAGATGTTGCAGGTGTAGGAACCTGCGTCCTTAGTGTAAAAATCAGATATCACCAACTTTGACTCGATGAGGAATTCTGCTCCGTCAGAAGAAAACACTTCATCACCAGGAATAATGCTATTCTCCTTGTCTCTCCAATCAGAACCAAGATAAGGTGCTCCAGAGGCTGAGCAGGACAGAGTGTAGGTACTTCCAAGTTCTGCTCTTACAACTTGGAAATCCATTTTATCAAGAAGTTTAGGTTGTGGATCTGAACAGACGGATATCTTGGTGTACGATAGATGACAGTCCTGTTTGCAAGTATTTACTATTCTTCTGGTACCGTCGATCCTTCTGTTTTCAAACTTCTGCCAATTTTCCAAGGATCCATATTTGAACAAATGATGTTTAAGGAGTTTAGCAAATCCACCGAGGTAAACCTCATAACCCTCTAGCGTTTCCATGTCAATGCTAGATATTTGAAGCTTCACCTCGTTGTCTTGGGATATCTTCATAGAACCATCCCGATTCTCGCTACATATATTTTTCCGGTTTGAAAGAGATGGATATGTAACTATCGAAGACAAGTTTTCATCTTTCAAAGTTCCCTCGATAAACATACACTGGTGTCTTCTGTTGACCTGGGTTTCAATCTCTAGGATTGGGGCATCATTAGAATCATCCTCTCCGATAAACTTTAGGAGATCTTTGTGAGGCACACCTGATGCAGGGGCATGATCTAAATTCAAAACACCTTCAATAGTAACGATTCCATTTAGCACTTTATCTAGTTCGATGTCGAAGTTGTTGAGTCCAGAGGGTTCGTTCAAAATAATCCAACACTTTGAGCAACTGCCGGGGGTGATGACTGATAGAATCCATAGCAGGGTTAAAACTAACATGCACCTGGGAAATGTATGGTTATTCGTTAGATTTCGTTATCATACATAATTTTAGTAGGGGTTCAGTGACAAGGTGTTGTTACTTGTTAGCAACTTTGAAAAGTTCACAGATCTCGGATCTTTATTGTAAAGATTTAGAACAGTTTTAAGATACTTAATTAAAAATTGAACAAACACGAGCTTAAGTAAAAACACGCATTATATTGTACTATAACCTCGTTCGATGACTAAACTGGTTAATTTTTACACATAGAAATTTTATAATATGGAAAAACTAATACCCGCAATTTTTAATTTGTTACGGTTAGGAATAGGGTAGACTTCTGGGACTGTAACCTTAACCCCAACCATTACTCAACCCAAAAGTCGGGCTTCTTGGACAATGTCCATCAATCCCATCAATGCCCAAGCCAATTTTGCTCATTTGACCCCCCCCCCCCCCCCCCCCTTCCCCAAAAACTTCAACTGATATGATCCTATATAATACTCGCGTTGAGACATTCCAAAAATTAAATTAAATTATTTATTATTAACAGATTTCTTTAAGAGCCCACTTATGTTTAAAGTTTAAACCCCTAGTGAAGAAATGACATTCTAAGAATAATAATGTTCAAACCGAATAAATTCAAATTCAATCAGGATTCTGTAATTTTAAGATTTCGGTTAATCACGTAAGCAGTTACATTATCAATGTATTATGTACGTGATTTAAAACAGTTGCAAGCAGAAATTCGCTGAGATATGTTACAAGATGCAATCAAAGATAACTTATAAAGTTATTGTTAATGATATTGAAAGTAAAATGGAACAGTAGTACGTAGATTTTATCGAACTAGGGTCAGAAAAAGGTACGGGGTGCATCCACAAACCGCCGCTAATTGTCAATAACGACCTCTTATCTCTGGACATAAACTTAAAGCAGATCAGCAAAATAAAACTCATTAAAAATCGTAGTTGTTTCTTCATGTACAGAAATACAAAACAAAATAAACTTTATCATATCATTACTCATGCATATTAATTTATAAACAAATCCAAAATATTCGAAATGAAACTGAAGATCTTATCTGTGGAAGCCAATGCTAGATTTTTCTTGTCTTTATTTAAGTTGTCGTTGTTTAGGATTCGTTTGCTTACAATCGCTGTGCTTCTTAAGTGCTTCCAGGAACATATTCCATGTTACTCCTCTGCAAATATTAATTTTAATTGTCAAATTTCGGAGTAAATTCCTATTTTGAAGTCACTATTGTGGGAAATTGTGTTTAAATTTAAGAGTTAACGCAACCTATGCGCCCCGTATCAAATATAATCAATTGAATACACGAATTTCGATTATAAAATACACCATTTTTTCATATCGTATAACTGTGTTCGACTCTACTCTCAATAACCATAATGTTACTTACAATCGTGGGCAATGTACAGCAGTGACTCCAATTCGTCTAGTAGATTCAATGTTCCGAAAGTCATCGTCAAAGAATATCATGTCAGTAAATTCGATGTTCTGTTGTTCATTAATTACCTTCATGTGGTTTTCTTTACTTTTTCCTGGTGTTTTTACGGGACGTTAATGAGGTGAAAAGTATTTAATTAAAACTAACAACAAACCCTTCTACACTATGTCGCACATAATATATATATAATATATATTGTACATATATTGTATATTATATATATTGTATATTATTATTATTTATTATTGTATATTATGTATATATATTATAAATAATATACAATATACTGATATACATAATAATTGATATATCATAGCAATCATTAATCAATAGTTTCGATTAGTAGATAAACTTCGAATATAGATGAAAACTGAGCAAATGAGCAGCTTATAATTAAATTCTTACGGTAAATCTCAAACTGAACAAAGTACTTGTGAATGTCCAGTAACTTCATTAGTTCTTTGTACATGGTAGTCTCCGGTGATTTAGAAGCCACTGCCATGGGGATATCATGGTGCTTACAGAAGTTAAGAATCTTAAGAATGTCCGGATAGATCTTAACTTTTTCGTTACGGGAATCTTTGACAACTCCTTTAAAAATAACTTCATTAATTATAGTTAACCTCCCTCCGTTGTTCTCTCAACTGTATAACTCATTATGGTATCTTTATTAGTAGAGAAAGGAGGATCTAGGTGTAAGTCCCCCCCTCCCCCTCCAGACTTACCTTTAGAAACAGAGAAAGGAGGATCTAGGTGTACGCCGGACGCCTCCCCCCCCCCCCCCCCCCACGACCCCCACGACCCAGACTTATCATTAGACACAGAGGAAGGAGGATCTAGGTGTACGTCCCCCCCCCCCCCACGACCCAGACTTACCATTAGAAACAGAGAAAGGAGGATCTAGGTGTACGTCCCCCCCCCCCCCCCCACGACCCAGACTTACCATTAGAACCAGAGAAAGGAGGATCTAGATGTACGTCCCCCCTCCCCCTCCAGACTTACCTTTAGAAACAGAGAAAGGATGATCTAGGTGTACGCCGGACGCCCCCCCCCCACCACGACCCCCACGACCCAGACTTACCATTAGAACCAGAGGAAGGAGGATCTAGATGTACGTCCCCCCTCCCCCTCCAGACTTACCTTTAGAAACAGAGAAAGGATGATCTAGGTGTACGCCGGACGCCCCCCCCCCCCCCCCCCACGACCCAGACTTACCATTAGAACCAGAGAAAGGAGGATCTAGATGTACGTCCCCCCTCCCCCTCCAGACTTACCTTTAGAAACAGAGAAAGGATGATCTAGGTGTACGCCGGACGCCCCCTCCCCCCCTCCCCCCACGACCCAGACTTACCATTAGACACAGAGGAAGGAGGATCTAGATGTACGTCCCCCCCTCCCCCTCCAGACTTACCTTTAGAAACAGAGAAAGGATGATCTAGGTGTACGCCGGACGCCCCCTCCCCCCCTCCCCCCACGACCCAGACTTACCATTAGACACAGAGGAAGGAGGATCTAGATGTACGTCCCCCCTCCCCCTCCAGACTTACCTTTAGAAACAGAGAAAGGATGATCTAGGTGTACGCCGGACGCCCCCCCCCCCCCCCCACGACCCAGACTTACCATTAGAACCAGAGAAAGGAGGATCTAGATGTACGTCCCCCCTCCCCCTCCAGACTTACCTTTAGAAACAGAGAAAGGATGATCTAGGTGTACGCCGGACGCCCCCCCCCCCCCCCCCCCCAACGACCCAGACTTACCATTAGACACAGAGAAAGGATGATCTAGGTGTACGCCGGACGCCCCCTCCCCCCCTCCCCCCACGACCCAGACTTACCATTAGAACCAGAGAAAGGAGGATCTAGATGTACGTCCCCCCTCCCCCTCCAGACTTACCTTTAGAAACAGAGAAAGGATGATCTAGGTGTACGCCGGACGCCCCCCCCCCCCCCCCACGACCCCCACGACCCAGACTTACCATTAGAACCAGAGAAAGGAGGATCTAGATGTACGTCCCCCCTCCCCCTCCAGACTTACCTTTAGAACCAGAGAAAGGAGGATCTAGGTGTACGTCCCCCCCCCCCCACGACCCAGACTTACCATTAGAACCAGAGAAAGGAGGATCTAGGTGTACGTCCCCCCCCCCCCCCCCCACGACCCAGACTTACCATTAGACACAGAGCTAGAGGAAGGAGGATCTAGGTGTACGTCCCCCCCCCCCCCCACGACCCAGACTTACCATTAGAACCAGAGAAAGGAGGATCTAGGTGTACGTCCCACCCCCCCCCCCTCCCCCCCTCCCCCCACGACCCAGACTTACCATTAGACACAGAGAAAGGAGGATCTAGATGTACGTCTGCCCAGTACGGCCAGACCGTATAATCCATGTCAAATATAACAATACCAGGTCGGTTCTGCTCGGGGAATTCCTCCATATCTAAGAAATTAACGGAGGTAAGGGGATGGAAATCGTTATAATCAGTGTTAAAACTTGTAAAACTTGTAAAACTTGAAGTTATTTCAAAACTTGTGTAATGAAATACTGCATTCTCACTTAAATGTTCTGTTAAGGGGGAATTTAAATATTCATTTAATGACAGTCAACAAATGGATCGTACTAACCAGGATGCGTGTTCACCGGTCGAACAAATGATCGAATGGTCGGTGAAAAGTTTGAACGAATCTTGTGGAATGGATATGCTTTAAATTTGCGAAAGCAATCACTTCTATAAATTTTGCAGCATATGGTCGCCATTATTTAGCATCTCGAACAGTTGACATGCCTAAACAGTATCGTTTATGGAAACTTAAAAGAAGTTCGTTTTTAAAATTCTGACCAAACTTTTGAACGCACATCCGAGTAATCTTTAAGGTAAAACTTACAATTCAATTTTCAGTAACAAAACCTCCAACTCAATTTAAAAGATGAATTTCAAATGAGATAAATTGACCATCATAAATGATGGATTGGACATAGATTGATCTGAAAGATCTATAATAGAGTCAATATAATCAGTCACTTAAATACAGTGAAACATATTTGTAACAAATCTAGTTCCCCAAATGAGCCCGCCACTGTATGCCTGGCCTTATCAATTATCATCCTATTAAATTTAGAGGGTACAGTACACTCTAAAAAAACACTTTGAATGTCAAAGTTCCTAAAAGAATGTCAAAATCTTTCATAGCACTTTACAAAAACTGGTCCGTTACTCGCTTGCTCCGAGTCACAACAAACAATCCTGACATTAAATAATATTATGTTAAAATGTTTTTGCAGAGTAGATCCCCAGAAAGCATCCGTCTATCCAATGAAGAGGACTTCTTCCTTCCTCTTTTTGTTCAATACTGTACCGGGTTTATGTTGAGCGTCAGGATGTCGTTCTAATTCTGTAGGCACCGTACTTACCTGGGAATGTAAGGTATTGTAAGGTAATGGAAGGTAATATAAGGTACCGTACTTACCTGGGAATTAAATTAATTAGTTAATTCAATTTAATAAATGTATCAAACTCTGTAGGTACCGTACTTACCTAAGAATGCAAATGGGGAAAGAGAAATGTTCTATGCTGTTTTATTTGACGATATAAATTCGTTGTGAAGTATAATTTAAAATTAACTTATTACTTCTGGATACACATAATAAAGGAAAACAATCCACTCACAGGAGATTTAGATACCATTTCTTTAAGATCGAAGAACAGGTGAGAGTCGTCTTGAGTAAGGAAGGTTATGGCAGTACCTGATTTGCCAGCTCGACCTGATAATTGTGGTCAGTTCTTCAGTTCTCTCATTGTCGTTAAAATTTTAAGTGACAACAAATTTGTGAAAAAATAATCATCTTCTTGAGCCCGAAATTAACCATTAGAAAAAAGTCAATGCAAGTACAAGACCCCAAAACAAAATAATGACCTGTTCTTCCGATTCTGTGGGTGTAATCCTCTACACTTTTGGCCATATCGTAGTTGATAACGTGGGTAACCCCCTTCACATCAATACCACGACCCGCTACATCTGTTGCAACTAAAATATCTGACAAAGGATCGAGTGTGAGTGAGTTATATATATATTTAATACTTTCAACACTACTATATAACAAATAATTTGAGGAAACGATGTAACAGAGTCAATATATTTTTAATGTTTCCATGGGCTGGCAAGTGCCCATATGCATACATCGTAGTCCGATAGTTTCACTGTGTCATAATATAAACAACTCTGTTAGATGGGAGGGAATTTTAGACATGACCGATATGTATAAATAATTAGAATCAATTGGGTCAGACGCTCATATCTGCTGCCAGGACACCACCAAATATCTGATCGATCAACCTCTAGACCCGTCCTTTAGACTAGCTATTATCACTAATTTTCGATTTAAACGCTATTTATCGTTACTAGCAGGAACCCCTAAAATGGTGTCAAGACTCAAGAGACTAAAATAATTATTACCTATTTAATTCGCGTTTTTGACACCACTTGGGATCAGAGGCACATATTAGGTGCGATGGGTGCGGGATCGCGCAATTTACCGTTTTCCGCACATTTCCGCATAATTTATTGTTTTCTGCACACTTCCGCACATTTTGTAATTTTCTGCATATTTCCGCATAATCTAGCATTTTCCGCGTAATTTCGCATAATTTGGAAATTTTCGCGTTAAGATTTTCGAGTGTAAAAACCAAAATATGTTAAAAGTCGGGCCCTTTTAGGACCGTGACTCAGGCCCTTTTAGGACCGTGACTCAGGCCCTTTCGGGACCGTGACCCAGGCCCTTTTGGAACTCATACCCAGGCCACGTGACCCAGTTACCACGTGACCCAGGCCCTTTCGGGACCCTGACCCAGGCCCTTTCGGGACCGTGACCCAGGCCCTTTCGGGACCCTGACCCAGGCCCTTTCGGGACCGTGACCTAGGCCACGTGACCCAGTTACCACGTGACCCAGGCCCTTTCGGGACCCTGACCCAGGCCCTTTCGGGACCCTGACCCAGGCCCTTTCGGGACCGTGACCTAGGCCACGTGACCAAGTTACCACGTGACCCAGGCCCTTTCGGGACCCTGACCCAGGCCCTTTTGGAACTCATGCCTAGGCCACGTGACCCGGTTACCACGTGACCCAGGCCCTTTCGGGACCCTGACCCAGGCCCTTTCGGGACCGTTACCCAGGCCCTTTCGGGACCGTGACCCAGGCCCTTTCGGGACTGTGACCCAGGCCGTTATGGAACCCTCGTTATTACCGTACTTCGATCATACCTGCAGCCCTTTTTATCGGGTAATGAGCTCTATTCGTTGTAGCGTTGGCTTTTTTATAGTGGGCTTAATGGATCTTGGATCAAATGGTTTACAAGTACTGACGATCAATGCCAACAAGCGTGTCACATATTTGCGATCACGCATGGGATCTGATCGACTCTATCAAGAGGCGTCTTCAAATAACGGTCTCCTGATCTCTACCAGATCAAGTCACTGTTCTCAGATAACTGAATCTCAATATAGGTTCAATCATGGTCTTAGTAAAGAAATACACCCTCAGTAACACATAAACAGACCTATTTTTGACAAGAGCGGCGGTTATACGTTTAGAATTTCCAAAGTCCTTCAGAAAATGCAAAAGAAAACCGCACAATTCCCGCACAAATTTCGAAAAAATCGTCGCACATTTGCCGCATAATTGGTAAAAATTTACCGCACCTTACCGCACATTTTACCTTTATAGTCGGGTGCGGTACCGCATAATTTCGATTATTTTACCGCACCTAATATGTGCCTCTGCTTGGGATACCAAATTTTGGGCTCTAAAACTCCTATTTCTTGGCCAATTTTTTATTTCTTTATGCTGATTTGGAGGCCATTAAAGCATTTGACCAAGTCAAAAAAGTTTCAGTTGTATATCTTTTATGGTTTTTGCGGAAATTCGCGTTAAAGGTGATGCCGTGGTGTCAGTAAAATGGCACGGAAAACTATCGTCTCGCGTTATATATAGTAAGATTGACCGCTTGATAGCGTTAGATCTAAGCGCTATCTAGCGCGAGATACCGAATTTCAACTATCAGTATCGGTTAAAAACCTGGTAAACCTGGTAAACTAACCTTTAGAGCCGTCCTTGAGACTAGCCAGGGCTATTTCTCTCTGCTCCTGCTTCTTATCTCCGTGCAGTGTTACCGCCCGGTATCCCAGTCTTTCTAGTGACTTTGCTAATACGTCACAACCTACAAGGTTACCTCGTTAGTAAAACGTTTAGTGACGTCACTAGCTGTGAAGTGACGTCACTAGCTGTGAAGTGACGTCATTGATTAAGAGTTATTTGAGGAGACCGATACAAAGAATTGAGGTAAATAAGTCGATACATCACATTTTATGATTTTAATTGCAAAATTATGCACATTTTGTGCTATTACACGGCACTTTTAAGTTGCTTCTGAACTCGAATTCTACACACTATTCTATCTAAGATAATTCATTTTCACTGACCCTTCTTCATGTTGACAAAGACGATGATGGGAGCCTCAATCCCACTATCCAATAGTGACAAGAGCTTCTTTTTCTTTGCTTCATGAGAGGACATGTATATCACCTGAATTAATTTATTTCAGATAAGAAGACAAGTTAATTAATAATAATTAAGCAATAGTATACTTACCTTACTTTAAGCTTTTGTGGCCAAATGAATAGAAATCAAACAATCACAACTTACACATTTATTGTGTAATATTTAATGTATATTGTGTGATATTTAATGTACCTGTTTGACTTTGTCGACAGGTTTACCACAAGACCCAATATTAACAATAACAGGTCTTCTCATGTACGTTTTAGCTAGCTTTTCTATTGAGGGAGGCATCGTGGCTACGAAGAGAAGGTAATTAATTGAAGCGTAAAAATTGGTAAAATAAGAGGTAACATGAGTGGTAAAATAATTAGCTATTTTTTTCACGAGAACTACAAAAATACAGTATAATTAATTATACATAATTAAAAGATAGGCTTGGAAATTGGATGATGGATGGAAGTGGGGTGGTGAATCTAACACGTGACCGACAAAACCAATCAAATCTTTGTATAAATCAACATTGAATACTGGGGAGCAAAAAAGAACAGAAGATTTCCCACATTAAAGAAAGGAGAGAAGAGAGTACCTGTGAACATGACAGTTTGGCGGAACCGTTTCTTAGAGTTGTAGTTTTTCAGTAATATCTCATCGTTCTCTGCATCGTCTAGATCGGAAAGTATGTAAAATTGATAAAACATTAGGAAATGGACATTGTTTAAGTAGCAAATATTAGGAATAAAAATCATTTGTAGTACAGACAAATCCGTCTGAAAAAATCGATCTGCTGACACACGAAGCTTTCAGAGGATTTTTGACGTTTTTGAGTCCCATTAGGTGCCCTTTATGGCTGACCAACTTTTCCAAACTTTTCCACTTGTCTTAAGGCCACTTTTTGCCACTTTACCACTTTTTACCACCTTTCTTGTTTGTCGAATATCTTTAGTTGTGAACATCGTAAAAGGTTGCGGATCAATCGAGTGTGTTCATATTATCAGGAAGAAAAACTTTTGTTCAAACAATTTTTACGTCAGATAATAAGTTAATTGGATAATTATCAATTAACTAATTAGCAAAATTCTAAGAATTTTTTATTGGCTCAAAATGATCGGAATAGCTTGAAACACGGAGAAAAGTATTTTTTAGAAAAACTTTGAAAATTTTTCACTTACATTTTTTTTTCGAGACTTAGAAAAAATTTCGAAAATTCAAAATATTTTTTCCGCCAAAAGTGATCAAACCGCATGAAACACGGAGAAAAATGCCTTTCAAAAAAACTTAATACTTAAATCGCCAATATTTGTAGTTGGAGTTCAGTAAATCTCGGCAGATTTTAGTAAACAGGAATTACTAAGTGAAGAGGTCTGAAACTGAAAAACGTTAACCATACGATCGCGCGGCGATATAAGAGTTTCATAAACTAATTTTCACAGAAACTGCACCAATGGCACAGTCAAGATCGAAACGATAGCCTGCTGTACTGTCATTTTATTGATTTCAATGATGAATCAGTGGGGTTAAGATAATCGCATTTGTAATAAATAAACATCTCTGTACCGTCAATTGTGCTAATCTAAACCAGCCTACCTGTATTACCAGACCTCTTCTTTTCCTCGACAATCAAACCAAGTTGTTCATATCGCATTTGTTGGGTGATGTAAGTAGTATTGCGCTTAGTCAATAAAGACACCGTGATTTTTATTAAAAGGAGATGATGAAGCAAGTATTCATAACACAAAGAAGAATGGTCGGTGGGAATTGGGACCCACTTAAATCACCTTAACACAGTGCCCTCAGTAATCCATCCTGTCATTAAAATTATTTGTTATATAGTATAGTGTTGAAAGTATTGAAACTAATACATATCGAGCTGTATTCAATCAGACTACGACACAATACGTGTATATTATATGGCTCTTAATGACTAATGAGGTTTATGTAACGCTTTATACCGTGAGAAACCCGGTATAGAGACGTTTTAAAGTTTATCACGAAAACGTATACTTGGCCTCATGGCTCATTTACAGTTCGAAGAAGGCAAGAACAGATCAGGGAAACTACGGAACAGCCAGGTCCAGGAAGCAAGTGTAAATACACCTTCCAACATCAACTGTGACTTGTTTTGTATTGTTCTGCATACCGCTTCATTTGCGGGATACCTCAAATCACCCCCATATGTCAGGGTCGGCTAAACGTAAAATCAGCAAGGGTAACATACTGGCAAGGGTAAGATGTAGATACGAATGACGGGCAAGGGGTAATAAAAAACCAGTAATAATTAATTCAGTGAAATGTTCCACGAGAGTCAGGATATTTTGGAAATTGCTAATAGAGACAGATCCTGATCAGGAAGGATTGTTCATGTTATTGAGGGTGTTGATTTGAAATCCGGACGTCGTGAGGTAAAAATACAGGTTCTTCCCGTAGGATATTCGGGGCCATGATGATCAGCTCAGGATTAATGTGGAGTTGAAAATTTAAGCTTTCTGGTCTTTTCTCGCCTTCTTTGAGCTGTCAAAGAGCCATGAGGCCAAGTAGACGTTTTCGTGCTAAACTGTTAAACCTCTCCATACTGGGCCTCTCACTGGAGTAACGAGAAGTGTACGGTATAGAACGTTTCATATACCTCATTAAGGGCCATAATATAATATACACGTATTGCATTGTGTCGTATTGTGATTGAATACAGCTCGATATGTATTACTACTTACATCACCCACCAAATGCGATATGAACAACTTGGTTTGATTGTCGAGGAAAAGAAGAGGTCTGGTAATACAGGTAGGCTGGTTTAGATTAGCACAATTGACGGTACAGAGATGTTTATTTATTACAAATGTGATTATCTTAACCCCACTGATTCATCATTGAAATCAATAAAATGACAGTACAGCAGGCTATCGTTTCGATCTTGACTGTGCCATTGGTGCAGTTTCTGTGAAAATTAGTTTATGAAACTCTTATATCGCCGCGCGATCGTATGGTTAACGTTTTTCAGTTTCAGACCTCTTCACTTAGTAATTCCTGTTTACTAAAATCTGCCGAGATTTACTGAACTCCAACTACAAATATTGGCGATTTAAGTATTAAGTTTTTTTGAAAGGCATTTTTCTCCGTGTTTCATGCGGTTTGATCACTTTTGGCGGAAAAAATATTTTGAATTTTCGAAATTTTTTCTAAGTCTCGAAAAAAAAATGTAAGTGAAAAATTTTCAAAGTTTTTCTAAAAAATACTTTTCTCCGTGTTTCAAGCTATTCCGATCATTTTGAGCCAATAAAAAATTTTTAGAATTTTGCTAATTAGTTAATTGATAATTATCCAATTAACTTATTATCTGACGTAAAAATTGTTTGAACAAAAGTTTTTCTTCCTGATAATATGAAAACACTCGATTGATCCGCAACCTTTTACGATGTTCACAACTAAAGATATTCGACAAACAAGAAAGGTGGTAAAAAGTGGTAAAGTGGCAAAAAGTGGCCTTAAGACAAGTGGAAAAGTTTGGAAAAGTTGGTCAGCCATAAAGGGCACCTAATGGGACTCAAAAACGTCAAAAATCCTCTGAAAGCTTCGTGTGTCAGCAGATCGATTTTTTCAGACGGATTTGTCTGTACTATTGAGTAGCAAACATTATTTAAGTAGCGTTAAGCGCTGCTCAGAATTTGTACACTGCCTTGCTATGGAAAGGTTTAAAAATAGGCACATTACCAGAAATAGTGTTTTAGTTTTGAAAATGAAAAAAAAACTTTTAAAAACCGTTGTCTGGTTTGATATTAGAGACAGGGAGATATGACAGAGCTTTCTGTACGTCAGCTTCGAAACCCATGTCAATCATCCTGTCAGCCTCGTCCATAACCACGTACGTACACTGTTCAAGCACCAGATACCTGTTCTCTGAAAATGATAAAACGTTAGTGGACATGTATATTACCTGACAAAACTTTAGAGCTATACTTCCGGCATTCCTTAGTTAAATTATGATTTCTAATTTCTGATTTTCTTCCTTTCGTTTAAATTGGAGACGTACCTAAAACATCGAGTAACCGGCCAGGAGTAGCAATAACAATCTCACAACCTCTCCTTAGGTGGAAACCTTGCTCTTCTCTCGACAGCTGAGGATAACATTACAGTGATAAAGTGAAATGGAGACGAAACGATTTTAAGCAAAAACAAAAAATAAGCGTTTCATGTGGATTTTGACGCATGATTTCGAAATAATGAACCATCAACAAAGATGTTATGATCCTGTCTATAAATATCATGGCCATAAATAATGCAATCACGAGGTCTGCAGATCTGCACGCCTCGTGACAATTACCAATATTAGTGAAATATCCTACTGTACCAATAGTGAAATAGTGAAATAGTGAAATTGTGAAATAGTGAAATATCCTACTGTACTTACCCCACCAATAACTGCCACAGTTCTGATACCTAGTTTATCAGCAAACACTTTAGTGTCAGCCTCAATCTGTTGGGCCAACTCACGGGTTGGGGCCATGATCACCGCGTAGGGTCCCATATCGATATCAGACTCTCTTTCGAGCTGATGAGATAAGACATGAATACTTCTGGAGTAGACATCGGACGAAAAATGAAAGGAAATTTCGAGAAAAACCGTAATTTAAACCAGACTGAACTCAGTAAAGCTAAACTTACCTTAGGTAGCGTCTGGATCCAACTCAACAGAGGTAGCAAGAAGGCGATAGTTTTTCCCGACCCAGTTTCAGCTACCCCTATAATATCACGGTTCTGGAGTCCTATTGGAAGTGCAATCCTTTGGATAGGGGTTGGGTGCTGAAAGAAGGGATTCATTTCAGGACTTACATAATACATATTGATAGTTATTCGCAATATAATCCAGATAATACACATTTAGACTCTTTTTATGTGAGTAAAATAAACACATTGTTTATAATAGTACACCGATCGAAATAAAATTGTTGACAAAGGTGAGCCAACGTCACTCAGAAGCACCACATAAGTGCGGCGAGTAAGGAAAAGTGAGCCAACGTTACTGGAACTATACCTCGTAATTACACTCCTTAATAACTTCCTGTATCTCCTCTGTTATGTCAGCCTCGTGCCAATAGCGAAGCGGTTTGGGAATATTGTTACCTTTCGTTGTGATGTTGAAATCCTGTGGAGGCATTGAAGTGTTAACGTTTATTTTGTTTTTAAGCGGCTTAATTATTGAACAAGTGACAAACTTCTTGATAGAAAGGAATTTAGTAGATTTAGATAAACAATCGCCTGATTGTTCAAATTGATGAAGTATTGATGTAGAATTAATCCGAAATTTACTAGCTGAAAAGATGTGGAAAACGGTCAAAAGAGAGATGTCAAGGATATGTGTGAAAACGCGACATCTTACTGAAAACCTTACATCAGACGATTAAAACCCCAAAAAACAAACCTCCCGGAAGATTCTCCAGTCTCGTTCACACATCTCCTCCAAAGGTTTGTCGCCCCAATGTCGCTCATCCCACTTCTGATCTTTCTCCTTCTTCTCTTCTAACTCGACACGCTCTCTAGGATTTAAATAGTTGAATAACGGGTCATACTATGACCGTTCACCGTCATAGCGTGACTTGTCTTCATATTTTGTAGTTTCTGATCCAAGAACATATTTAGGGATTTATCTGTAACTTAGTTTGACCCGATAGATACCTTATCACCTGAATGTGCAGCAGTTGTTTTTCTTAAACCAGCTTGGAAGTGTATTTTATTGTATATTATACAACGTATAAAGAATAGGAAAAATACTCACTTGTATTTTTAGTGCTGTAAGTTTAACCCATATCTATATTCCCTGACATTTTTGAGCAATTCTGATACGAATTACGTGAGTTATTAAAGGGTTGCGTGTGGGTAGTTACTTCTGGGCCACCCTGTATATAGAATAGGAAAAATACTCACAAATGTTTTTGGTGCTGTTCGTCAGTTCTTCTTTCTTCCATCAGCGCTCCGTAAAACTTCAGCTGATCTTTCTTCTGGTGCTGCGAGGATATGAAATAAGTTAGAGATAAACTTAGTGTACAGAACTGTTATCGGTCAGATAAAAAGAGAAAATTCTTTCATTAAACGGCGATAAGTACGGACTTACGGACTACTCAATTTTTGATACATTATACATATTTGCACGCAGTCTACACAGACAAGACACCGACCGATGAAAAAAGACTGAAGTTTACACTGTACAATTAATGTCAGAAGGGATCTGAGCACTCACTCTATCTGCAATCTAGGTTTGAATTATTGCCACATTATTTCCCGATTTGAATGCAAGTCTTTTTGTTGACAAAACCATAAACATAACATATATTTAAGATATTTATAACTACAGCGACACTAGTAAGAGCGGTGAACTGTGCTGGACAAGATTCGATCAACGAGAGGCGAGAGCTAGCCACACTTCACGAGACAGACAGAATATACATATTTGTGGTGATTCGATCTAGCTGCGGTGATACATGATGGATCGAGCGCGCTATATTATAATACTGTACTAGCTACTATATAGCTTTACTTAGCTATATTAGCTAGCTAATTATTTAATTAACAGCGCGGCGGAACGCGCGCGTGAACCATAAAAGTATATACTTCGCGCGTTACAAATTGTACATCTATTAGTGTGACCACAATTGGACCCTATGATCCCATAAGCTCTAAAGGCACCAGAAATGGTTAGGGAGCTGGAAGTTTTGAGACCAAATTATTCTTAGGACCCTAAGAACTGGGCAAACCGACGAAGTTGGTCATCTAAAGTTGGTCATCTTGTATTAACTGAAGTTCAAGTTAAACTTACCTTCAAGTCTATACCCGCTCTATGACCACGCCCGTACAACTGAATCTGATGTTTCTCTTGTAAAGTGGATTGTAGTCTACTGAAGTGTCGTCTGTGGCATCCCAATCAAACACAAACTTCCTGTCATTCAGTCTCCTTACTCTTCTTCGCTTCTTTTTAATACCTGTTAATAAGATTATTAAAATATAAAGTTTAGGTTGAGTTGGAAGAAATGGTTCACTGAAGTTGAATAATATTATTAATAAGGTAAAAATGTGACATATTATTGATTACAGTTTTAAGTAAATAGTTGAGATGTAAGACATTAAAGGATAAAGATCTGACCGCGGTAATGCTCTTCATTGATTTCAAGAAGGCATTCGACAGCGTGCACCGTGGACTCCTCATGAAGATCCTCCTGGCATATGGAATTCCAAAGGAGATTGTAGGCTTGATACAAAGAATGTATGCAGAGGATGGTCTGAGTGAAGCATTCTTCATTCTAGTAGGAGTGATGCAGGGAGACACTTTGGCGCCCTACCTATTCATAATCGTAATTGACTACATTATGAGGGTGTCCCTAGAGGGAAGGGACTTTGGGTTTACTCTACACCCCAGAAGAAGCCGTCGCTATCCGGCAGTCAAGGTCACTGATGCGGACTTTGCTGACGACCTTGCTCTTATAACAGATAGTGTTGCGGAGGCACAAGATTTCCTCAGGAGTCTGGAACTGGCGGCCAACTCAGTTGGACTCCACCTCAACGAGGGGAAAACTAAGTACATGGGAATCAACATCATCGATGACATTGAGATGACTTCGTATATTTGGGTAGTAGAATGAAGAGTTCGGAGAAGGACTTCGAAGTGAGGAAGGCTAAGGCATGGGGAGCGTGTCACCAGATGAAGCTTGTATGGAAGTCGGATATGCGTAGAGATCTCAAGATACGACTGTTCCTGGCTACAGTCGAGTCCATCCTTCTATATGGCTCTGAAACATGGACTGTCAGCCAGACCCTCGCAAAACGTATTGATGGATGTTATACGAGAATGCTGAGGATGGCACTGAACATTGACTGGAAAGAGCGGCAGACTAACTCACATACATTGACATCCTTCGGAAGGACACAGGGCTTGACGACAGCAAAGAGATTAACAAACTCATGCTGGATAGACAGATTTGGAAGAAGACTATTTCTGTTCGGACGCTGAAGCCGCCCTAAGTCGTCGTAAGACATTAACAGCTAAGGCAGCTCGGAATTTCTTACTTAAGTTACCATGAAGAATCAAATAATACAGTAAATATATGTGTCTATATGTTGATAGGAGGGAAAATATTTGCAAAATGCGGGCAAGAGCCCCAGGGTTACAATACAATATACATTATACAACACGGAATTATGACAAATATGCACCACATATTTGTCATAATTCTGTGCATATTATGCACCACATGACGTAAAATACACGATAGTACTTCAACAAGGTGATAATTATCAATAGTAATTTTCAAATGAACTAACTAAGGTAATGATCTTTGATGCTTTCTAGTTGTTTCTGTTCATCTTTCTCGGCTAATCTCTTCTCAACAGTCTTGTCTTCCTCCTCTCTTCTTCTTCTTCTACTCATGGTACTGTAAAATAAGTTTTGTAAGGTTAAACTAGCTGAAGACGATTTACGCAAGTATTTTGAAAGCTGCTGCTTAATAAACATTTCGTATTTGTATAATATGTTTTAAACAGCCCACTCCAGGCTAAATGCCCTGATTGGATTGCGTGATAAACAGTATATTGAGAGGCAGTGAAACTCTCGGACTACGATGTTGGGGGACTTGCCACCCCATAGCAACAATAAAATATATCGACTCTGTTACATCGCTTCCTAAACACTAAATAAGTGTAGTAGATTTTAGTGTTGTAATTTGTTTATTGTAGAGCGAGTAGTAGCGACTACCTGAAGGACAAATTTAGTCTACCATAAATTTAGTCAACTAAAATTGTTCTACACCAAATTTATTGAGATTCAATTTTTCGGCGACTAATTTAAAAGCAGACCAAAATTTCAGTAGAGCATATTATACGACATGAAAATTATTGAGCTTACATGTCCTACTACTGAACTACTTTGTTGGGAGGAATGAGGAATGTCAATATGAGGAATGTCAATATGAGGAATGTCAATATGATGTAATGATAACACTATTAACTTGAATAATCTGATAAGAGATAAGGTTACTGCTTACAATTGACCTATCTTTCTCTGCCGATCATGTTACAGCAAAGTCAGTGTAACCAAATTTTTTGTAACCAACTTTATTGTGAACTAAATTTATTGGCCTTAAGGTATTACAAAACATCTCCCTACAAAATAACTATAACACACCTTTCCTCCACGACCTTATCAAACTCCTGCCTCTTTTGTCGATCTGTATCGTGAACTGCGCGCTGATCATCAACCTGGATAAGGACATCTTCAACAAGACGTTGTCTCACGTTTTGACTGCCACATGCTCGAATTTTGACTGCCAAACCATGTGATAGTTATTACTCGGCCAATTTTAAACCAATAACCACAAAAATTTGTAGTTTGGTCAACAAGGATACAATAATCACTCATTCATCAACATGAAACAGCTAAATTTGTTATTTGTACACTTTATGATAAGAATATCACAGGGAAACTTGTTTATGGCTGTGTAAAATCGAATTTACATGATTTGAGTGAGTTATCGTGGTAGATGTGACCATCAAACCTTTCTGAAGCATGTGGGTGTTATATGTACCGCGATTAATGGTTAAATATACGAAATATGGTACGATTATCACACATCACTTAGGGTAGGCTATAATGACAACCAGTGAGGACTATTTTGATGTTTTGAATGCTATTCAAGGTGCTTTAGGCTGTAAAATAATGTTGTAATGATTGACATTCAATAAATGACCTGTAAATGATACAAATATCACATTAAATTCAATATTTTTCACGAATCAATGTCAATAATGTGTGAATGTTGTTTTTGAAGATCAATTCATCCAATATTATTAAACATAGTCAATAAGTAATAGGCATTTCATTAAATAAGCACTTTTCAGATACAAATATCACTTGATTAAAAAAAATTTTTTTTAAAAAAATTATTTAAATTGAAATTGTGATATTCGTATCCTATTTTGGTTCCTAGATGTGCTGTGTAAGATGTTCAGGGAGTAATAATGTTTATTGTACATGTATCAAAAAGAATCTCGTTCTATAGACCCATATTGATACATTTATCACGAATGTTACACTTGTAAAATTTGGTTCACAAAAAATGTGATATTTGTATCCTTCAAGTGGTTGGAACAATTTTTCATCCCTGTATCCATACTGAGTTACCATTTTTGTAGCTGTGAATGAAGTTTCATCTTTATTAATGAATTATGTACCCTTCAAACAGCCACCCAGAGAACTGGACCCGAAAAATAGCTATATTTCGTTGTTTCAAAATACAATGTGATAATTGTAGTACATCTAACGGGAGGTTGATTTTTGTATCATACTTTTCACTAATTCTGTTTGGAATTGCCTCTGGTACAGTTTGGGTTCAAAGAAACAGAAAAAAGAGGTCAAGGGGATTCAATAATCACATCATAAAACGGACAATTTTGAAACGAAAATGTGTGATATTTGTATCATAATGAGCCTAAATAACTATTTCCTTTTGTACACTGCTTCCTTAGGAGACAGGCATCATGAAACGAAATTTTCATAAAAATCTGATAACATTCGGTCTCTCCAGACCCATTTGTATCATTATCACACCTCAGAAAATGTGATATTTGTATCATTGGACTTTAACGTGGTCTAGCTCTGTCAATTTATGTGATAGCATGATTTTTATTTCATAGACATAAAGCTATGAAGATTCTGCAACCAATCAATCGAGTCTATCATGGCCAATAGACTATATAAGATTCTAAAAATCAATTTAGAAAAAGTCAAAACGTGAGACAACGTCTTGTTGAAGGTGTCCATAAGAGATCTTGTTTGTTCTGGTGTGTCGTCAGATACAATAAGAAACAAGGACAATTTCAAATTACACTGCATATTAAGCTAGTTTTTAAACAATTAATAATTATTAAATTGATTCTTTATTAATAAAATTTAAGTAGAAACTTGTTTTCGACGTTTTTCCAATGCAATCTTTGCTCTTTCTTCTTTTGTCAAGAACTTGGGTTTTTTTAACGCTTCCTCCTCTGCTTTTTTCTTGGCTAGAAGTTCCTCCAAGGAAAGTGGCTGTGGAATAGGAATGATATTAGAGGAATTTGTTTTCTTCCTTTGAACAATCAAACTATTTGTTTAAACAATCAAACTTAAACAATCAAACTAGATATCCCGGCTCCTTGCCTTCTCTTTACTTTTAGCTCACTGTTTTACTTACTGATATTAAATTGAAATTTGTTTTGGAAAATTTGTTTTTCAAAATATACATAATACATCAATACAATACATTAATACAATAGTCAACACAATATTAAATATTTCCTAAATTAGCTTCATTACAATCTAAATGGAAGTCCTCGCTAATGAAGCTGTCTTTCACTTTAGTTCTTGTTCCTCTTAAATTGAAATACAATTTCCCATGTATCAGAGTTCTTGCGTCTACTAATCCTACTTTACTTTAACTAATAATTGTAATGTGATTTTATCAAGGACGTTGCGATTAAAAACAGAATCTTAAAACTCACCTCTCTTTTAGGTTTCAGTTCTTCCTTTTCCTCTTCTTCTACTGCTCCACTGCACAAGTTGTACGATTAACCATTATTATTTATCAAATAGTTTTATATATTATATGATAATAACATATAACATTTTAACTGACACAAAGCGCAGATCAGCAAATCAGAAAATATAACTTACTTCTTGTCATCTTGGCCTGTTGGTGATCTGTCTCGGCTTCTCTGAAAGTGTTCAACGTAAGATTATGCGAACTTCCGTTTCCACATTTTGACAAATGATATCACAGGTTTGAATTGTACTATAAAAGCTTACAGTATGTATCATTTTTGGGCATAGTAGCACGCACTGAGATGTTCGCAAACAAAAGTAACAAATATGGGATGAAAAAACATATTACCCTTCTGTCCCGTTCCCTACTTCTCTCTCTACTTCGTCTCCTTTCCTTTTTGTCTTGTCCACGGTCCTGTCCACGGTCCTGTCCACGGTCCTGTCCACGGTCCTGTCCACGGTCCTGTCCACGGTCAAGTCCACGGTCGAGTCCACGGTCCTGTCCACGGTCGAGTCCACGGTCCTGTCCACGGTCCTGTCCACGATCGAGTCCACGGTCCTTTCCACGGTCCCTCTCCCGACTTCTGTCTCGTTCTTTGCTTCGAGCCCTGATTGAAAAAAATAAATTTACCTACCGGACTTAATCTTATTTTATAAGATAATGCTCGTTTTGGAGGCCTAGTTCTGAAAAAAGAAAAAATGTCTGATAGAATACGATAAACTAGATCTAGAAGAATTAGGCCTGTAGGCTGTATTATTTTATTAATACGATAACAATTTAAAAACAAACCTATCTTTACTACGAGCCCTTTCCCGGCTCCTTGGCCTTTCCTTGCTCCTAGCTCGCTCCTTACTCCTTCCCCTCTCCTTTCTCTCCTTACTTCTGGACCTCTCCCTCCCTCTCTCCCTTATCGGTGACCGGTCCCTGGGTTTCTCAGGTGATCTGTCTCTCTTTCTGTTTCTCTCTTCTCGAACCATTGTCAGCTATAATAATAATTAAGTAATAATTAATAATTAATAAATAATTAAGTAATAATAATATAATAATAATTAAGTAAGATGATAATTTCAAGGGCAATTATAGGGCCACGTACATGAAATAGCTTTTTATGTAGGTAGCTTTAACGCATAAATTTCATTGTAATAAGGTATTTGGAATTGAACTTTGAGTATTTAAACACATATTAAGCAGGCATTTAAAAGTAAATAAATTAAACTCTCCATTCTACAATTACATAAAACATCCACTCAATATCACATGAAACTTTTCAGCAATCTTATAACTAAAACTCAGTTATAATTCCCGGCATATTTAAGATATTGGGTGAAAACGTCCAATGTTTCTAGAACTTAACTTCAACAAAAACTCCAGAATATTAAAAACTGCATCATCTAGAAAATAACTTGAGGTCTGAAATATGTTTGGAATTTGTTAGCCTTCTGGTTCAGTCTCAGCGTCTGTTTCTGTCTCATCATGATGGTTCGTTTCTCGTCCTTGAGCTTCATCTTACCCTGTTGGCCGTTATACCACCCGATCGCTTTGTAATTTCTAGAAAGAGTGTTAAAAGTTGTAAAGGGATGATTAGGAAATCTGGATGATTCCGGGGAATTAATTGTTCGGTCCATGGGAATTAATTCGGCATTCCTTAATAGTTACATATTATTACTGTGGATAAAGATATTTTAAGATATGCAGTTGCCTGCAGGTTTAGGCTAGCCGCTAGAGTTAGCTGATATGGTTGGGTCATGAGTTCATGTAAACTGTGGTAGGGACGAGGAATTGTAAGAATGCTGAGGAATTGTAAGAATGTCTACTAACCTGAGCAGTTGTATCCTGGCAGAGTTATTTCTAACACTCCTGTCCTCTATGGAGAGGTTCTGTTTGTAGTATATCTTCATAGACCTGTGTCCCACCCTCGCTCCATTTGGGAGTACCAGCATCATCTCATCGTCAACCTTGTGTTACATTGATTTAACTTGGTGTTAAACACTAATTTACAGGGTCACTGAGGATGGCACAAGACAGGATTGAGGTATTCGAAGTTCTATTTAATTATTAAAATTAAAATTTAGGGGATTTTTGTCCAGTGACCACATAGCCAGTCGACTATGACCATGGGTGACATGAGACCTAATTGGGGTACTACAAAAGTCAAATTTCCGGAGAAGGAACTGCAAAATGGAAAAATCTTACTGTCCACATCCAGAAAAGCGGCAGATAATAATAGAAATTGCAACGAAAACTTCACATACCGTCATTTAAATATTCAGTGATCATAATTGCAAATAACGCTCTCACCCAAATCTTGTGATCACTTTTAACAGGAGCATCTACATTATCAATCATCTCAAAGTCAGGGTAGGATGTGGAGAAGTCGTAGAAATCACTGTATTCCAGGTAAGCTTCACCTTCTGAGTTTATAATGCTGTGTCCCTTGTCTATCATGTGCTTCTGTACTGCTTCTATTGATCTGAAGGGTGTTATTTGTAAGTTTTAGGAATTGTAGAACGCAAGTTATGGCACGATGTCATGGCTCATGTTCAAAGAATTAGTAGAATGATGAAATTGCTGGTTTTGGTCAGAATATGATGTTATGCCAACACTATTAACTTGAATAAGCTGGCTGATAAGTGATAAGGTTACTTCTTAGTGACCTTATCATCTGTAGTTCACATGATATACCTGTATTGCTTTCCAACATCCCCACATTTTATACACTCGTTATCAGCACCCACTTTGATACCTGTCAAGTCAGCATGTTAATATCCAGCTCTAAATATCTAAATTAAATTGATCAACAATTAAATATCCAGTCTCCACGCTGTTAGTGTTTATTGTTCATTGTTCAATCATTTCACAGGTTGCGATTATATCAGACAATATTAATAACAACCTACAACCAACAGAACAAAAGATCAATAGAAAAGAGAAGATCTAATGTAGCAAGAAAAACGAACCCAGGTATGTTATGAATCCGGCTATATCCGTCATAAACTCTGGATCAGGAATGTAGAAGGAATGTTCGTTGGTCATGTGTTTCAGGTTCTTCTCCATGTTCTGACTCCAGTGACAACAGAACAAACACTCGTTTACTCCCAGACCCTCAAATTCTTCTTCCTGCGACGAGAAAATTAGGGCTGAAACATATCTACAAAAATACGTTTTACTCTGCTTCTTTCTATAAAACATCATATTTGTGCAACACATACTGACACGATTAAACAAGTTCCCAATAACTTGAATAATGAAGATTATCCATGATTGAATAACAAATATTGTTCACTATTAAAACACCACTAACCGCGATCTCGGAATTTACATCAGAAACTGACTCTTTCTCCACGCTCTCGGCTCTCAACCTTTCTTTCTCAGTCAACGCCTCGCTTGATAGCACCTGGACAAATAGATTAGAAACCCCTGGAAATAGGTCAGGATGGAAATTGTTGTTAATTACGATCAGAAACTTCATATAAATATTGATTGACTCGGACAAGTTTTCAGTAAAGGTAGAACTAATATTAAACGAACATAATATTATCATTATGCAATTAATAATAATAATAAATTGAAGTTTAGCAAATTATGATCAACAGTATTAAAGGCTGCACTGACTAATGCCAAGGTAAAATTTAAAACAACGTTAACAAACCAATAAAAATTAATTTTTGATTTAAAAAAATATTAATTAAAATTACTGACCACATAATCTCCTGCATTTTCAGGGGTACTAATCTGCACGTGTTTTTTAGACTTTAGGTGAGTATTGAAGGTGTTTTGAGAGTTAAACTTCTTCCTGACCAGGGTAAAGCAATTATTTTAACAAATTAAAAATTAAAAAATAAGGAGTAGGGGAAACCGAGTGAGGACTATCGTTTAAGATGAATCCCAAAGTAAACGTTATAATTATCTGCATCTAGAGCAGAGGGCAATACAACTTTTCGAGACATGGTTGATTTTTAATATTAAGACCAATCAAGAGGACTTACTTGCAAGTGTTACAGTAATATTGGTGTGAAAGATTATTGGTTGCTTCAAGTTGTTTCTGCTCTAACACCTTTGTCTTGAACTCTTCGGGGGCAACTGGAGGCAACTGTACTACCTGGGAAAATACATTTCAGAATGATGGATAGTATAATCCTAAGCTCCTTGAAATTAATGTTTTTTGTAGTGGATGACTCAACAACAAAAAACCAAAAAAACTAATCAGTTGCAGTACTATCAGTCAATAAAGTTGTTAATTGTAAAGGAAAGAGTATTTAATTTGTATGAAACATCGGCCATGTACATTTAATATTGGCCCACCTTTCTCTTAAGATTATACCAATGCCAATCCGACTTGTGATGTTCTCTCTGGAGGTCAACGTCCTTGAAGCTGACCTGGCAGGTCAAGCAGGTATAACTCTCTGTCAAAGACATCGCTATATGCTGAGAAATTCCAGGATGTCAGCTTATTTCATTGTGATACACACAAAATTAAAAATATAATCGACTTTAATAGATAGCAAAAAGAATGTGTAGATAACAGAACTATTTATTAATTAGAATAAATGTCAACGAAAATGTTGCTCAATGATAGTCGAATTCCGGGACTAGCGAGGATTCCAAAATTGTGGTAGAAACCATTTCTTGCAAGTAAAATTTGACAAAGAAACAACACTTGGTATTAGCAATATTGAAAATCGCGACTATAACAAAATCTACTACTAAGCTAAGTACAGATTACACATGTGAATAAAATGATCATAGTGAAGAGGCTTTACTGGTAAATAATACAATCAAGTTCAAAAGAGAAGAAAGTTAAAACTTTAAAAGAGATTTTCCTGAACAAATTGTTAGGTTACCAAAACTTAGTGCTAATATTGAATACAAACAGTAAGCAAGTAAGCCCACAAACAGTAGTTCCATACAAAAACAATGCTCCAAGAGCAGGGACTGTATCAACGGACCCAGTTTTTATTGCCAAGTTAACCACTCCAGTGAGGACATTACCGATCAGGAAAAAGAACAGTTGGTTCTTGTTTACAGCGGAGAGCAAGCAGCAGCAGTTTGAGCGGGATTTTCTGTCAGAACAATGTTCACACTGTCCGGGTATGAGTGGTTTCTCTGGAGTTGAGTACATGGCACATATAAGATCCACAACATAGGATGACAGAAGGAGAATGGTGTTATGACAGACCTGCCATATGACAAATGTTAGATTGGCGATCATGCGGCTTGACCTATCAATGTGTGTATGAAGAAGCCAAGTAATAAATCCACTTGATGCAGCTATCAGAGCAAGTTTCTCGAAACACTTAGCATGATCAATCCAACGGCTTTTATCTGCAAATATCAATCTGCCAATTTGCACGCCAAACATGTAGAGCGAGCAATAACCAAGTGAGGAGAACAAGCCAGGACGATTGGAATGAACAAAACCACCAGAGTAGGAGCCATCTTTATTGTCCCCTATTATCATCCAATCTTTAAGGTTGGTTAGAGAGAGAAGGCACTGGTAACCAACACCTAATATGGCAGCTATCTTCCAGGAATATTTTGTCCAAGATGCTGGCAGAGCACAATATATGATGGTTGTTAGAAGTTTAACAGAAGCTAGGGTGAAGAAGAAATTCCAATGTTTCCCGTATTCTTCCTCAGAAACAGAGTAATCGGTCAGCCATGTCACAAACAGTCTGCCACACCCAAGTACTATCAACATTGATGATGATATCAAACATCCCCATAATCTTTTTATTTTAGACTCTGTTATAATCTCATATCGTGATTCAGGAGCAACAAGTGCATGGGAAAATATAAAGGACCCTACACCAGTGTCCATCAATGAGAAACCATTTGTGTATCTTTTATGAAATCTTTGTGGGAATATTGTGGAGAAATCAACAGCCAAAATGACAATTATTGTACATAAGTTGACAAGAGCTCTGTAAGTGTTCAGGAAGGGCATTCCAAACAAGTGAAGGGGATATTTCTGGTTGATTGAAATAATTGGTTCAGCATCAGAAGCATAGGCAATACAAAAAGTAACAATCATTATTACTATTGATAGCCTGAAAGCAGAATTTGAAAAAACAGTAAAGGAAATGACAATTGGACCCAGTAGGCAGATGCAGTCCACAAAGAATTCTCCAAGAAGTGTCTTTGGATTTAATTTTGATCTCACAAAACTTCTGAGTAACAAACAAAGTGGCCCAATCAAAGTTGTGATTGCCACATCAAGGACAGAATCTTCTGATGACAGCCAACTAGGATGACTGCTTCTTGTTTCTTCAAGAAATTGGAGTTCAGCCAAATCTACTGCCGCCATTGTCTTTGACACTGTAATAGAACATAATTAAAAATGTGACAAATGAAAACATGTGTTTAAAAACTTAAAATGTTTACATAAAGTAATGGCAGGAAAAATGTTAAGCCAGAAAAATCTTTCAAGATATCGGGGGAAAAGTGCAATGAGAATTTTAGTAAAAAAAATTTATTACAATGAATAATGATGGATCATAATAAATATAAGTAGACATCCGATAATAAATTTGTTAGGTCCAGTACAACCCAAGATGTCGCCCGACTAACAAAATAAAAAGAGCTAGCATGTTCAAAGTTCTTCAAACGCGCATACTTAGGCTGTACGGGAATAGCTATAATTCTACGTCATATTAAAAACTCAACATCATTTTTGAAATAGCAAATATATATAATGTTTATGAACATGATAGTATAGCCTGAGGTCCCCAGGTAAGAGTAGTATAGTGTCATCGTTTGGACCTGCATTTGAGCGCTATCCGATACACATTTTAGTAAAATGTCATTTTAGCACAGTTGACTAATCTGCCACATCTTTAGCTGGGGGTTACAAGTTCGAATCCCAGTCGGAGTCGTTCTCCAATGTGATTACATTATTATGGTACACATTTTATTTCAATCAATTATGGTACACATTTTAACCTAGTTTAACCCATCAATCAATTTGTATCTAACCCTACATTATACATTACAGTTGTATCAACTAAACACATTTATCACACAGCAGAAGTCGTTAAATGTATATCCCAGTCGAAGCCATTCTTTTCTGTTTGATTGGTGCAGCGGTTTCATGTAACCAGCTTCACCTTTCACAAGACTTATCTAGTCACGTGACTTGTGTAGTTGAAGATTCAGAATAAAACAAATATTCAGAATAAAACAAATATTATATTCAAATCTCTTTATTCAACAATATTAAATCATTATAGAACCTAATTTGTGGCTTGATCGCTACGTTAGGGCTATTCTGTTAGCTGATGCTGACAGGCACCGCATGGGGCAGAGACTTAGGACCATTACGCTGGAGGCTTACAATGACCCTTTTTGAACCCCATGGCAGTGCTAGTTTTATTATGGTACAAATTGTAAATCGAAGTTATGAAAACGATCAAGTCACTCATGTTTTACACTATCAACAGCTACTTAAAACAACCTAGATTGTACAACTCACTTTGAAGATTAAACTGTTAAGTGATGAGTGATTGGGCTCATTAAACATTTTAGTAGCGGAGACATGCGGATCAGCTTCTTGAGGTTCTAATAGTTCATTCAGACAAGAAGTTTTACTTTTTCAAATTTAGTCGTTCAAGCTGCCTGAGCTGAGTTCAGAAAGTTTGCCAAAGGGGCCCAGGTATTCTTGTCACCTTTACCCTGAGACAAGAGAATGAATTTTTTACCTTTGATTTGAATACACCATGAGTGATTTCAAGGTCGTTCAGTGCCAACATCTGACGGAATGAATTCCAAAGGCAACTAGATTTGTAAACGAAACTGTTTGAGGGCATGGTTGTTATAAGAAGAGTTTCTTTGCTGGGTCTTTTAGACAAACAGAAAAGTTCAAATAGTGCAATTGGTGTTCGATATTTAAAGACTTTAAAAAGTTCATTGCAGCAGTGATACGCGTATAAATTATGCAATGTCATGAGTGAATGACGGGCAAAAATTGGCTTGGTGTGCTCTCTCTCAAAGAATTTGCTCGTAAGTTTCTGTTCACTGATAGGTCTAGTCCTAGCACATGTCATAAATTTATCAAGGTATGCTTTTTTGTCACCAAACATAATACGAACACACTTTTTCTGGGCTACAAATAGTGGTTGAAGTTTATTATTACTTGCACCTCCCCAAACGTTACTGGGCCGCGCTCAGCCAGTCATTCCGCCTAATCTCTATTTAACAACATTAAAGCCTGGGGTCCTCAGGTAACCCCAAACGGTAATGCCATCAGATAGGTGACTTTCAAACAGTGTGTGGTACAGGTCCTTATGGATAGATGATGGAATTTTATCCTTAATTATGTACAGCCTCCCAGAACAGGACGAGAGTTTTCTAACTAGTTTGTCTCTGTAGGGATTAAAAGTTAGGCCTTCGTCGACAAAGAAGATGAAGCTGTACATTTATTTAATTTGATGATTCGTATTCTATTCAGATAGTCTCTAGATATAAGTGAAAAACTGAGTATCAACAATGTTAACATCTGGCATGCAGCGACCTTTGTAAAGTGAGATAGTGACTAATGTGTTTTCTAAATTTAACTAGAGTGTACCGTTTTAGGACAACACCTGGAACTTTGTTTACACTATCATTCAGCGTTCAGTTGTGTGCGCGCCGTGGGTGAGTCCATTAACAATGGACAGTCAAGGACGCGCTGCTTGTCATACGTTGTAAGACCCGCCGCGCACGAATGCGCGGCTCCCCCTGTATCGTCAGGACGATTTCACCAACGACCGTGGGGGTCGCAACGTGATACAACGCGCCGCGTGAACTATTATTCTTGTTTCGCTTCGAAGGAGGAGCTGAGATCGTTATATTATTTTGCTATTTAGAATGTAACGGTCGTAAAAGTAGTGTATCGCACTATTAATTGACGATGTCAATTTTTCGCACGCGCAGAGCTCGCGAAGCTTATTAATAGAGCGCATCTCCCTGACATGGTTGCGAGAAACATAATTGAGTGCGCGGCGCGGCCGTGGCCCAGTAATGCATTGTGCTACAAGGTAAATATATAATGAATTATTGTTGCCTCAAGTCCTGGCCTACCACAGGAGGAGCAATAAAGTGCAAAGAAACTGTCACAAACTACTACAAACTGCTACTAACTGCTACAAACTGCTACAAACTGGCACTAACTGCTACAAACTGGCACTGACTGCTACAAACTGCTACAATCTGGCACTAACTGCGACAAACTGGCACTGACTGCTACAAACTGCTCCTAACTGCTGCAAACGACGCGCGAATGCGTGGGTGCGATTACAGATTTACAGCAGTTAGTAGCAGTTTGTGGCAGTTAGTGCCAGTTTGTAGCAGTTTGTGGTAGTTAGTGCCAGTTTGTAGCAGTTAGTAGCAGTTTGTAGCAATTAGTGGCAGTTTCTTTGGGGGGGGGTGTCATGTCCGTCTATGTCCGCCTATGTCCTGTCCTTTTTGGATTCTATGAGACAACGGACGTGTTTTTTGGGACATTGGCGGACACGGACGGACATTGGCGGACACGGACGGACATTGGCGGACTCGGACGGACATTGGCGGACTCGGACGGACATTGGCGGACTCGGACGGACATTGGCGGACCCGGACGGACATTGGCGGACTTGGATGGACATTGGTGGACATTAGCGGACATTGGTGGACATTAGCGGACAAACATTTTGAGGACTGAAGAGTACTGAAGAGTACTGAAGAGTACTGAAGAGTACTGAGGAGGATGGCTGAGAAGGATGGCTGAGGAGGATGGCTGAGGAGGATGACTGAGGAGGATGACTGAGGAGGATGACAGAGAGGGAGGAGAAGGATCAGGAAGACCCAGGAGGAGGAGGAGGAGGACCCACAAGGAGGACCTAGGAGGAGGAGGAGGAGAACTGAGGAGGATGACTGAGGAGGAGGAGGACTCAGGAGGAGGACTGAGAGGGAGGAGGAGGAGGAAGAGGAGGAAGAGGACTGAGGAGGAGGAGGAGAAGGACTGAGGAGGAGAAGGAGGACCCAGGAGGAGGAGGACCCAGGAGGAGGAGGACCCAGGAAAAGGCCCCAGGAGGAGGAGGAGGACTGGGGAGGAGGAGAACTGTTGAGGACTGATGAGGAGGACTGAGGACGAGGAGGAGGAGTAGGAGGAGGACTGAGGAGGGGAGGAGGAAGAGGACTGGGGAGGATCAGGAAGACCCAGGAGGACCCAGGAGGAGGAGGAGGAGGAGGAGGACCCAGGAGGAGGAGGAGGAGGACTGAGGAGGACTGAGGGGGACTGAGGAGGAGGACTGACGATGACTGAGAAGGAGGAGGACTGAGGAGTACTGCGGAGGATGGCTGAGGAGGATGGCTGGGGAGGATGGCTGAGGAGGATGACTGAGGAGGATGACTGAGAGGGAGGAGGAGGAGGACTCAGGAGGAGGACTCAGAAGGAAGAGGAGGAGGACTCAGGAGGAGGACTTAGGAGAAATGAGAAGGAGGACTGAGGAGAACTGAGGAGGAGGAGGAGGAGGACTGAATAGGAGGAGGAGAAGGAGGGGGACTGGGAGAGGACTGGGGAGGAGGAGGACTGATGAGAAGGATGAGGAGGAGGACCCAGGAGGAGGAGGACTGAGGACCGAGGAGGAAGAGGAGGAGGATGAAGAGGAGGAGGACCCAGGAGGAGGAGGACTGAGGAGGAGGACTGAGGAGGACTGAGGAGGACTGAGAAGGAGGAGGAGGACTGAGGAGGACTGAGAAGGAGGAGGAGGAGGACTGAATAGGAGGAGGAGGGGGACTGGGGGAGGGTACCGCGACAATTGACCCCCCGACAATTGACCCCCCGACAATTGACCCCCCGACAATTGACCCCTATGTAATTACACTGGGGTCAATTGTCGCGAAATCTAGGCTTGAGTACGACAATTGACCCCCCGACAATTAACCCCCCGACAATTGACCCCCCGACAATTGACCCCCTATATAAATACACTGGGGTCAATTGTCGCGAAATCTAGGGCTCAGTACGACAATTGACCCCCCGACAATTGACCCCCCATGTAATTACACTGGGGTCAATTGATCGGGTTAGGGTCAGGGTCCCGGGTCAGGATCCTGGTTCAGGGTCCTGGGTCAGGGTTAGGGTTAGGGTTAGGGTTAGGGTTAGCGTTAGGGTTAGGGTTAGGGTTAGGGTTAGGGTTAGGGTTAGGGTTAGGGTCCTGGGTCAGGGTTAGGGTTAGGGTCAAGGTCAGGGTCAGGGTTAATTGTATTAAATCATATTGTCGGGGGGTCAATTGTCGGGAGGTCAATTGTCGGGGGGTCAATTGTCGCCCACCCTGGGGGAGGACTGAGGAGGAGGATGGAGGACTGAGGAGAAGGATGAGGAGGAGGACTGAGGAGGACTGAGGACTGAGGAGGAAGAGGAGGAGGATGAAGAGGAGGAGAAGGACCCAGGAGGAGGACCCAGGAGGAGGACTCAGGAGGAGGAGGAGGACTGGGGAGGAGGAGGACTGTTGAGGACTGATGAGGAGGACTGAGGACGAGGAGGAGGAGTAGGAGGAGGACTGAGGATTTGAGGAGGAGAGGAGGAAGAGGACTGAGGAAGATCAGGAAGACCCAGGGGGAGGAGGAGGAAGAGTAGGAGGAGGAAGCATCTAAATGTTATTTCCATTTTTGTCCGTTTTTGTCGATTTTGTCCGTTTTTGTCCGCTCTATTTTTTGTCCGTTTTGAAAATATAGGGTACCGAACGGACAAAAAACATGATCCCCCCTATAACAGCAAAAATTGAACATTTTATTTAGCAATTTAGGTGTCCATTAATGTCCGCCTATGTCCGCCTATGTCCGTCTATGTCCGCCTATGTCCGTCTATGTCCGCCTATGTCCGCCTATGTCCGCCTATGTCCTGTCCTTTTTGGATTCTATGAGACAAGCGGACATAGACGGACGTGACACCCCCCCCTTCTTTGCACTTTGCTCCTCCTGTGCTACGTTGTCCGCTCGATCATCCTACTAAATGAAAATCGCTAATTTCCTAAATTTTAAGAAATTCTTGTGAAAAGTCCTATTGTCATTGAGAACAAGGTATACAATTAAGGGGTGCACGATAAAATAAACTTGCTCGGATTTTAAATATTTTTGTACTATTGTTTTCTTGACGGATGTTACTCGTCTAAATTTCTTCGAAGTAGCGCGCCGCTTCCTTCTCGATGGCAAGGGCCAGATCATTAACAATGGTTAATTGTTTTCTCATTTCTAGAGGCTGTGAGAATTTTCAAAATACCAAATTTGTCATACCTTTTTGGAAAGATCAGTGAATTTCGCCTAGGTGCCATATTTGATGGTGCGCGGCTTTTGGAGCAAAATTAACTGTAAAAGTCTTGAAGGTTTACAACCTACCAGGACGCACGCCGAGTTGGACTCGTCGACGGTCCTATAATCTATATATGGAACAAATATTTTACAAGTATCACCCGTTAATAAAAGTCGCGTAATTTGACCAAATTTGTTGATTTTTGTCGTATTATTGGGATATATCTTCGGTTCCTTGAATGATATCATTCTGAAAATTGGCGACGACCTTCCAATAGGGCTTTCACAACTGTCCGAAAAATTTGGTGGATATCGGAGTTGATATAATGATCAAAATCGCTTTTACTAAATCGCTCGCCCAAATTTTAAGAAAAATCTTGTGAAAAGGCCCTTTGGCATTTGGGCATGAACGTGATCTGAATCGGTGTATTTTTGGACGCTGATTCCGAATCACCCCCCATGACGTAGGGTTAAAATGCTTCCCTGGAGAGTTATATTATGTGCAAAAAACCGTTTTGGTCACGTGACAGGCTAGTAAAATACTAATTTGATTGTTTAGGGCTCGGGTTAGGGTTAGGGTTGTGGTAATATATATAATAATATAAGGGTTATGGTTAGCTTCGGGGTTATGGTTAGGGTTAGGGTTGAGATTAGGGTTTATGTAAAACCGTTTTGTACGGCTGCAAAACCATAAAAACCAAAGTCACGTGAAATTTTTGGGCGAGCGAATTAGTAAGAGCCGATCAAAATGGGGCAAAATACGCTGCTTTTAGCTGTAACATAATTTCTGATGGTTGGATATGCTTTAAATTTGCCGGACACTTTCTTTGTAAGTCTTAAAGTAAGCCTACTAATTTTTGTTGCAATCGAAGGTCGGGAAGGATACTCAATATCTATTTGTTTGAAGAAAATGGTGCTGGCCGAAATAGGCGCTAAAAAACCATCCTACAGTCGGCACGCGCGGCTCACTGTCGATGGCGCGGCGCACTACCTTGACATACGTTGCATGCCACTTTTCGTGAGCGAAGCGCGCGCCGCCGAAGGCGGCTGATATTTGGGATACGTAACATGTATCAAGCACTACCTAATACAATGATTCTATCTGGTCGCGCGGTGTATTTTTGGACGCTGATTCTAAATTCTGAATCACTTCGATCCCGGCCATGACGTAAGGCAAATTATTTCCTTGGCCTGGCGAGAGTTGTGGTCTCGTGATAAGCTAGTTTTTGACATACGTTGCATGCCACTTTTCGCGCGCGAAGCGTGCGCCGCCAAAGGCTAGTTTCGTCATGGCGCCAACGCTTTTGACGGATGTTACTCGCCTAGATTTCTTCGAAGTAGCGCGCGCCGCTTTCTTCTCGAAATGTGGCAAGTGCTACAAAGTAGCGCGCGACGGGCCAAACCATTAACAATGGTCAACTTCAGCTTCACTCCAGTGCGCGTGACGTTATGTCGTAATACGCAAAAACTTATTACATGCAACATGGTTAGTAAAATATATGAGCCCATTTTATTATAGTGTTTCTTTATCCTTTAATGTTAAAGATGTCTATTTAAAGAAGAAAATATTTCATGCAGTTTGACACGATTGTCATAACAACTACGCAGTTGATCCTGGTGACAAATAGTTGTTAACTCAAACAGCTGTGTTTTCCCAGCAGACCTTACTGGCTGGTGATATTACTACAGGTGCATCATGATGAGTGATCGCGTCTTCACAGCTTGTTGAACTCCGCACGCGCTCGTTAGTTCATTGCATTTTGCATTTGCACGCTTCAAACATTCCAATGTCGAAGAATGCAATTGCACCACTAGTTTCGTCATGGCGCCTTCGCTTTTGACGGATGTTACTCGCCTAGATTTCTTCGAAGTAGCGCGCGCCGCTTTCTTCTCGAAATGTGGCAAGTGCTACAAAGTAGCGCGCGACGGGCCAAACCATTAACAATGGTCAACTTCAGCTTCACTCCAGTGCGCGTGACGTTATGTCGTAATACGCAAAAACTTATTACATGCAACATGGTTAGTAAAATATATGAGCCCATTTTATTATAGTGTTTCTTTATCCTTTAATGTTAAAGATGTCTATTTAAAGAAGAAAATATTTCATGCAGTTTGACACGATTGTCATAACAACTACGCAGTTGATCCTGGTGACAAATAGTTGTTAACTCAAACAGCTGTGTTTTCCCAGCAGACCTTACTGGCTGGTGATATTACTACAGGTGCATCATGATGAGTGATCGCGTCTTCACAGCTTGTTGAACTCCGCACGCGCTCGTTAGTTCATTGCATTTTGCATTTGCACGCTTCAAACATTCCAATGTCGAAGAATGCAATTGCACCACGTACCACGTGATACGATTCAGCCAATCAGAGAACAAGAATCCGCAAAGTTAAAGCTGCGCACTTTTATAAGGCCCAAAATAAGACTTTTCGCGATAATTCAAAATCTAGATTGTCCCAAATTGTGCTCCTGGGGAGCTAACTTTAGTTCTACGAGACGGACATTTTGTTGAAAACCAAACGTTTCTTTCTCTTTTATTTTTGAAGTTAGGCCCCTACCAGTAAGATTTCCTTTCAACATCCCACTTTACCTGGGGACCCCAGGCTATTATGTTCATAAACATTAATAAAGAATAAAGATTTGGCGGAATGACAGGCTGAGCGCGGCCCAGTAACATCCCACTAATCTCATCCCACTCCTCTCAAGTCTCAACATCCCACTCCTCTCAACATCCCACTCCTTTCAACATATCCCATCTATCAGCGTTCAAAAGTTCAAGTGTAGAATGATTTAGCACGAGCTCGTACCCAGCACGCCGAGTAAAATTTAACTGAGCACTTGACTACTACTAAGAATGTGGGAGAGGCTGTCTTGTTGATTATATGCATTTATCTAGGGGGATCAGAACAACATCCCACTCCTCTCAACATCCCACTCCTCTCAACATCCCACTCCTCTCAACATCCCATTCCTCTTAACATCCCACTCCTCTTAACATCCCACTCCTCTCAACATCCCACTCCTCTCAACATCCCACTCCTCTAAACATCCCATTCCTCTCAACATCCCACTCCTCTCAACATCCCACTCCTCTCAACATCCCACTCCTCTCAACATCCCACTCCTCTCAACATCCCACTCCTCTCAACATCCCACTCCTCTCAACATCCCACTCCTCTCAACATCCCACTCCTCTCAACATCCCACTCCTCTCAACATCCCACTCCTCTCAACATCCCACTCCTCTCAACATCCCACTCCTCTCAACATCACACTCCTCTCAACATCCCACTCCTCTCAACATGCCATCAGCGTTCAAAAGTTCGAGTGTAGAGTGATTTAGCACGAGCTCGTACCCAGCACGCCGAGTAAAATTTAATTGAGCACTTTGTTTAAAACGAAACAAAAAGAAACACAGTCAATAACTTTAAAATGCGATAAACAATTAGAGTAGCACCATTTGATTGACCATAATGTCAAATAACTCCTATTCTATTGAAAACAATTTTGGTCCATTGTCAAGTTCTAACATTGTCCACCAGTCCCTGTACTCCAGAGAATCTCATTTTCGTCATTGTAGAGAACGACGTTGCCGCCATTCTGAACTTTCAACGTGTTAACATCGGTGTCCCAAGTACCGGACCACCAGAGACCTTTATTCTTGTTGCCGGTGTATATGACGAGGTTGTTATTAGAGTGCCAAAATAGACCTGCCGAATAAACGTTACCGTCTGTTTCTGAGGACCAAATAGCCGGCCCTACTCCATTGCAGTAGAGCACCAAGTTTCCGTCTGTCTGCATCCTCAACTCATACCTTCCGTTTGAAGACGTCAGTTGATAGCCTCGTTCCAGTAACCGGAATTCTGTTTCACCCCGGAAACACGCGGAATCGGTACAGCATCCAACATTACACTTTTGAGTTTTCGTTTCCTCTCCCTCACAGTCATCTCCATTATAAGCTGGGGTTGGTTTAGTACAGGATCTAGATTTTGTTTGTTGTCCTCCACAAGTTGCTGAGCAGTCAGACCAGTTATTCCATGCAGTCCATCCACCATCAACATCACATTTAGTCCCTGTTTTCCAGACAACAACAGAATCTGCAGTGTAAAGAACGACGTTGCCGTCATCTTGAACTTTTAACGTGGCACCTTTATTAATTACTCTACTAGATTTGGAGCTCCAGAGTGCTCCACCTCCTGTGCTGTATAAAACGAGGTTGCCATCAGCTTGGAAGCGAAGACCTTCTTTCACGGTTGTACCACCAGTTCCGGAGGACCAAATAGCGTTTCCAAGGCTGCAGTAAAGCACCAAGTTTCCATCTGCCTGCATCTTTAAAGAAACATCGCCGTTGGGAGACGTCAGTTTAGAGCCAAGTTCTAGTGCAATGTAGGCTGTGTCACCTCTGGTGCAAGCGCTCCCGTTACAGGTGCCATCATTAGAAGTTGCAAGAGCAAAGACCAAGGCTAGAAGAGTGGATAAAGTAGCTTTAAACATTATCATTGTAGCAAGCTCCTCAAATTTGGGTCAGATCGAAATAATAAAAATTGAAATGATGTTGTCGTTCTTAAACATCCCACATGGCAGCATGCAGTGAAAAAAAAAACAATAGCAATTGGAGTGTGAGACCACCAGACACCTTTTCGTGTTGAAGATGTAGCTAACATAAACAAAAGGTGGAAGAGCGTTCAGCTGTGTTGACCCAAATAAAGTTTGGGAGGGGTCCAGCAGAACACTCATTATCAATTAGCGATTGGAAAACAACGGCAATTGGAGTGTGAGACATGACTTCATGTTGGTTGGTCAAGAATAAACAATAAAATAGTGGAGGCAGTGCTCCTCAAAGGAGCTGTGTTACCCAAATGGGGAGATGGATGGAATTTGGGAGGGGTCCAGCAGAACACTTATTATCGATTAGCGATTAGAAAACAACGGCAATTGGAGTGTGAGACATGACTTCATGTTGGTTGGTCAAGAATAAACAATAAAATAGTTGAGGCAGTGCTCCCCAAAGGAGCTGTGTTACCCAAATGGGGAGATGGATGGAATTTGGGAGGGGTCCAGCAGAACACTCATTATCAATTAGCGATTGGAAAACAACGGCAATTGGAGTGTAAGACATGACTTCATGTTGGTTGGTCAAGAATAAACAATAAAATAGTTGAGGCAGTGCTCCCCATAGGAGAGGCGGACGGAACAATAGGAAACGAGATGTGGGTGGGTGAAGAATTCTGGTTAGTCCTGTATCAACGAGTGTTTACGAAACTGCAAGAGGGTGGGGATTACAGAATGTCTAAATTTCAAAACAGAAGAAATAGCTTACCATGTATCTATTCTTAGATATTGATAAATTGATAGATTTATACCCCAAATGTGGTACTAATTTAGTGTCTCACTTTTTTCCCCTCTCTCTCTCTCTCTCTCTCTCTCTCTCTCTCTCTCTCTCTCTCTCTCTCTCTCTCTCTCTCTCTCTCTCTCTCTCTCTCTCTCTCTCTCTCTCTCTCTCTCTCTCTCTCTCTCTCTCTCTCTCTCTCTCTCTCTCTCTCTCTCTCTCTCTATCTCTCTCTCTCTCTCTCCCTCTCTCTCTCCCTCTCTCTCTCTCTCTCCCTCTCTCTCTCTCTCCCTCTCTCCCTCTCTCTCCCTCTCTCCCTCTCTCTCTCTCTCTCTCTCTCTCTCTCTCGCACTATCTCCCCATTTACAGCTCCTCTAATCACAGCTTTGGTATATAATTAGGTAATTTGGTAGTAGAGTCAGGAGCCGTAAGATTGCCTATTAAGTATTACTAATACTATTGGATACGTGTTGGGCGCTCAGAATTAAATTAAATTCGACTGCGATAGTGAAGTCCCGGCCGAAGGCACGGGTTACACTTGTCATACGTTGTATGACCCGCCGCGCACGAGTGCGCGGCTCCCCTGTATCGTAGAAACTCTCCACTATTATAGTGAAGCGACAGTGGGGGTCACCACGTGATACAAGGTTACACTAGTGTTCAAATAACAGCAAAGAAAATAAATAATTGAGAGGGAGGGAGTTTACTTCTAAGTCACTCTCAGAACACGTCGGTCTGTGATTTGAATGGGGCTGATAAACTAAAATCAGTTTTTATAATCAGTCTGTATGATCAGTTTTTTGAACTTTGCCGCATCGCAGACAGCTATTCAGATAAGGCAATTTAATTGTAATGAAACGCTACGTATTGCCACTGTGACGACTTTAATCTCTATGAGGTAAACTGGAAGTTTATAACTCCTTATATTTCCTTTGTTATTACATTGTTATGGCCAGTGTCCACACGCTGCTACGTAGCCATTGTAATCACATTGTAACCACACTGTAACCACACCCTTATCCTGCTCCCACAATAAAGCAATAAGTTTAAGTTACACCTTCTAAATTAACTTGCTACACGTTGTATACCTTTTATCTGTTATCTTCGGCCGCCACGCGCACTTCGCGCCGCACGAAAAGAGGTATAAAACGTGTGTCCAACATTAACATGAACTACAGTCTTTTCACTTTTAATCAGTCTACTAGTCTATGGCTTGCTCAGATATTATGTGTTACTGTCATCGGCTTGTAGCCATCATAAAAGTATCAGTAATGGTACAATCCTCGACATTATGATTAATATCAGTAATGGTACAATCCTCGACATTAATATCATCAATATTCAACCCTTCGTGAATAAAGTTACTATTAGCTCAGTTATAAATTGAACTGGTTTCATAATTTGGAGATTGTCACCAAAAAGATGAATATTTAAAATGTCTGGTCCCGGCCCGGTTAGTCCTTTTGATTAAATTGCACTACTGACGGACGCGGACTTTTAATATCTAATATCAATATCATTTGCATTTTGCACCAATGCTATTGCAATAGAAAATGATTTCCCATTTTGCTATTAGGGACAATGGTCAACTGGTCAACTGGTCAACAACCAAATGGAGAAGGAGTTTTGAAAATGGCTTCAATAGTTAAATGTAGTGTAATTTCTACACGGGGTGTCTATAAATTGTTTTATTTTCAAAAGGAGTTGGTGTAAATTAATGGCGTATTATATTTATCAGCACTCAGCATTTATTAATATTGGGCTGACACAGCTGCCATGCTGCAAGGTTAACATTGGAGTCCAAAGCCTGGAGTGTGATACAATTACAACAAGTTCGCGTTAAATTTCGCAGTAAATTACTAATACTTGGGCGCGCCTATCTTTAGGGAAAACATTAAAATGGCCCGGGCTTACCTGGGGACCCCATGCTATTATGTTCATTAATAGAGATTAGGCGGAATGACAGGCTGAGCGCGGCCCAGTCTAGTAAGGCCCGGGCCCATCTCAGTCTAATTATTGGTTAGGGTTAATCCTATAACCAATAGCCATATTGAATTGGGGCATGGGCATGGGCCTTGATCTAACCAAAGCAACGCCCTTGACGGCAGATGTTACTCGTTTAAGTTTCTTCAAAGTAGCGCGCGGCGCTTTCTTCTCGCGACGCGAAATTGGAAATGTAAGACGGGAGAGAAACGAAAGATCGAGCGCTCAACTTATAGCGCAAACTTGTATGTACTTGCTTGACTTAAATCGCGCCCGAGCCCCGCGAGACAAGTGATACGAAGTAGCCCGCGCTAGGCTAGTCCATTAACAATGGACAACCAGATCGACTCCACTAAAGCCCTAGCGCTCTTTGCTCTTGCAGTAGCGCGCGCCCGCCGAAGGCGTCACGTAGTACGCAAAGATTCATGGTTAGTGAAGGGTGGGCCCATTTTAGCATGGTTTTCTATCTATAGATCTTTAGAGATGTCTATTTCAATTTAAAAGAGAAAACATTCCATGCGGTTTGACACGATCGTCATAACAACTACGCTGTTGACAAATGGCAATGCTCATTAACCCAAACAGCTGTGTTTTGTTTGTAAATAATGATATTCATATATCTGTACTACATATTTTTTGCTGCTGTTATAGATCATAATATTCATTCCTTGGCCTTGATAACAACTGTGCAGCAATTGTACCAGCCGTTACAGTGTATACGTATTTCGCTACAAGTACACCTACTCAGACTCTTTCTGTTGATAAGGATCGGAAAATGGTCGGTTTCCTCAAAACCTTCCTCCTACTTGTATTTTTGATGATGGCTGCCGCAATCGAATGTCCGTTTGAACCTTTAGATGACAACTATTATTCAGTTGGTGAACCTGCGTACACGGTGGAAGAGCTAGAGGAAAACATGGAGAAGGTATTTGAACAAAATAGCACTTCCTGCACGCCTACAGAGAGAGTTTACCGTTCCTATTCCTCCGGAGCAGTCCTTTCCAGTGATCTCACCAAAGCAGCCGGCAAACATTGCGCTATCCCGGGCCAATGCAAGCACTCCAAACTTGGGAGTTTGCAAGCAGCAACCTGTACGGAACTACTGAGGATCAGAGACGAGATAACTAGCGGGGGATACACGGCCACCTGCCGCCATGATCTTACCAACTGGAATTTAGGTCCCTCAGAGAAGAATGGATGTCGTGCCGATGGAACATGTACTGATCCCAATTACAGCATCTTCCTTCAGAGGCGACTTTCTCCAGCAGGTTGGAAATACGGTTTAGCAAATAGGTACAATACCAACAGGCTATCTAAATCGGCTGCTTGTTTTAGGAAATTCCTCTCAGCCATCTAACAGCCGACGCTTACTTGTGTTTTGTCATGACTTTTGGCCGGCTATTAGTCATAGCGCATAGTGGCTGTTAGTCATAGTGTTGCCGTGACAGCCGGTCGGAATTGTCAATTGTAGTACTTATTTCCTCTCGGTTTGGTTGTTAATTCTTTTAATTATTCAATTCTTCGTACTTATCTAGTAATGTTATTTGCAATTGGCCACCCTAAAATAAATGAAGGACGCACGGATATCACTGCATTCACTGAAGCATCTGTTTCCAATTAATGACATTAACTGGAATACATCCCCCAGGTCTACGCCGATCTAGCGTACAAGGACAGTCCCTACTGAAAGCTGGAGTAAAGATTGACAGCCTGGTATCCTCCTCCTACGAGCGCGCCAAAAGATCCGCTCTACAAGTAGGACACTGGTTTGGGATCAGTGAAGTTAAAGAGGAACCTCTTCCTCTAGACAACGGTATTCACGGCGCCAAGGATTACGAGAGGAAGGCTGGGTATACACCCAAGACATCTTCTGATCGGAGCGCGGATATCAAGAAAATCACGCGGGTTCGTTTAAAGAAGTGGCTCCAAGAAGATTGGGTAAAGAAGACTGGCGGAGGGGTAAGGTATACCTACAGTCATGGAGGTCAAATGAGAAACGCTTTTGGATACTCATTTGACGAAGGTGACTGTGCTTGGTCGAAGCCGACAGAAAACAAATACGACCTGAAAGAGCCATTGAATGTGGTGCTAAGTAACAAGGAATTTCAAATGAGATGAGTGTTGACACTAAAAAGATAGACTTGTTTGCGGTGCTGAGTCCTGAACAAACACAGAAGATAGCCCAGTGCACTGAGTTGAGAACGGACTTAATTAAGGAAACGTTCTCATCATCGGATACGACGATTCTTGCGGCTGATAAGAACAAGGATCTCGAAATAACGGAAGATGAGTTTACCAAATTCTGTATAAATATAATCTCACTTGATACTTCAAGATCATGCTCTGATCTATGGGAAACTGTCCTTTCGCTGCAAGCAAAGCCATACTGGAAGAAAAATTCAGATACCACCAGCTTTTTCATCGGTGAGCATGCTTACTTTAACGGAGGGTGGTCTGAAAAGAAGCACAGTGCAGGGGGCTGGCAGTTTCCTTATCGCGGGACAACACTGGACACAATCAGACCCACAGTTTCAGAAATGAAACAAATCCTAGCCCCTTTGGACGAGCTGATCCGAACTGATCTGAACGATAAAGGAGCTATAGACTGTACTCTAAAAGAAAGCACAATCCAACTGTTTAGCGGCTGTACTTCCTCTATGCTATCCTACAAGCCGGTACCAACCAACTCTCGACCTGAAGATGATGCGTCTCAGACAGACGGCCATCCTATCCCAGGAGAGAAGTACGCATATCCGACCACAATAACCATCACCCCTGTCCCTAACCCTCTGACGAAACTAGCTATGTGTATGGTGGAGAAGGGACACATTACATTCGAGAGGATGTCCCTGCTGATGGGCTGCAACGAAGAAACATCAGCAGTGCATCGTACATAACTTTTGTTAATGTATTGAAGTGGATGCTCTCAATAATCTCTGGTCGAATATTTTCTAGGCGCTTAATCGGGCAAAATATTTAGAATAATGAATTAATGACCTTATTAATCCAACCCAACTGTCAATTAGTGAGCCCCCTCCTGATTAAATACGGTTAACTATAGACAACTATTAAAATTCAGTCATAAAATTCATATTCTATGAAATCTCAATATCTTACACAATATACTAATTGCTTAAATAAACCAAATTTATGATTGGTCATACACCTACAGCTACAAGCGTGTTCAATCTAGAGCTAAAGTGATTTATTATCACACAAAATGATCCTCTGTTTTAAAATATTTCACGACAAAAATCAATCCACTAATTGATTAATTAGGTAATTAGTCAAAATTATTATTCCAAACCAATACACGTGAGTAAAACATATTTGTAAGTAAAGCAATTTGATTTTTCAAACGATCCCTATTTTCATTTAACTTTATTAATAAGTTGGGGTGAATGTACAATATATTAATCGACTAAGTAGTAAATTATACTGTGCTCATGTTTAACAGCTGACACCAAATCATAGATTACGTCTTAATAAGTACTAAAACTTGTAGACAAATCCTTTATTCTCTCCGTTAATCTGATAATGCAATTAAACAAACTCTAACATTAAATAGTTTTAATACACGATAATATAATGATTCTCAGATATTCGGAATAATGCATGAGATTTACATTTATAAGTTTACTGTGCAAACTTGAAGGGACTGATAGAGAAAGTGGAAAGTGACCCAAGTTCAGATATTCATCACACTAAACAATTATTAATAAACAATTTTCGGATTATAATAAGATCAACTCTGTAAGTCTCTGTGGTTTTCATCGTTAGGCCGTCCAAAAAATTGCTTTTATCACAATTTTAGTTTAAACTCTCTATTCCTTTCCTTTCCTTGAATCGGAAGTGAAAAATGTTTTCGTTAACGTATCTCTATTTGGCAGACCATTGAACGTCTTCTTTTTCGAATAGCCCTTAACGAAAAAATATTTAATAAGTACATTTCTTTCAAGATTAGAATCTAATTCCATTTGTAAGCACGGAACATAGAAGAGAAGAAGAGTGAGAACCCAAGTGAGAAAAAAAGAGCAGAAAACAATAATCTTAAGGAACGTTCTGAACATTATAAAACTTTACAAGATAGGTACAGTCTATTTATAATAACAACAAGGTTCTATATCACTACCCTTATAATACAAGATAGTCTTTACTGTTTCAGATAAGAGTTTAGCAGTTTTGGAGATCTCATCTAGACATCTGCTTGATTGATCTCGGAGGTCGTTCTAATAAATCTCTGAATAAACGAGCGTAGTAGAAGTTCTGCAGGACGCGATAGGAGTTCCGGATAACTTGATAAGAGTAATTTAAAGCACAATTGCTCCACTCTACAGGGTAGAAACTATGAAATACTGGGCAACATGAACTCGAGGTGAATGAAGTCACGTGACGCGTGCGGATTGTTCAGAGCACGTCGTCTATACCGTTACGGGAGCTACGCTTGATGTCTACTTTCATTTCGCTGAAATTAAGCTGAGATCAGTGGATGTTAGTAACACGTTTTGTAATCAACTTTCAAAAAATTGTGTAGCAAGTAAACGGTATCAGAGTATGGTTTGATAAATAAGGTGAGACCAATGAAATTGAATCGTCATGCGATAAAAAAAGATCATCAGATTGGTAAACAGAAATTACTGTTGTCCCACCCTCCCCTGTCTCAACACCCCTCAATCTCAAAACTGCCTCCAAAGTGTCTCAACTTACACAGGAGACATGTCTCTGTCGCTGAGAGAAGATATGGTAAAGTCGTCGTCTTCCTCCCCGTCTATAGGACACGATTTCGGCTGTTTGGTCTTACATTCGTTCCCCTTCTGGAGAGAGAGACACGTGGTTAACACGTGGTCCATCGTTCTGACTGATCACGTGGGTCTGGTCGGTGTGTTTATAGGTCTGTGTCTTGTGTTGTATTCTTTTTGGGTGTCTGTTGGTTTGTGTTCTGTGGGCGTGTCTGTTGGTTTGTCTTCGTGGGAAAGGTGGTACGTCTTGTCAAGGGATAAGGTAAAACGGCAAGGTGGTAAGTCTTGTTAAGGTGTAACGGAAAGGTGGTACGTCTTGTCAAGGGATAAGGTAAAACGGCAAGGTGGTAAGTCTTGTCAAGGTGTAACGGAAAGGTGGTACGTCTTGTCAAGGCGTAACGGCAAGGTGGTACGTCTTGTCAAGGTGTAACGGAAAGGTGGTACGTCTTGTCAAGGTGTAACGGAAAGGTGGTACGTCTTGTCAAGGGATAAGGTAAAACGGCAAGGTGGTAAGTCTTGTCAAGGTGTAACGGCAAGGTGGTAAGTCTTGTCAAGGTGTAACGGAAAGGTGGTACGTCTTGTCAAGGTGTAACGGCAAGGTGGTACGTCTTGTCAAGGTGGTAAGTCTTTTCTTTAAAATATAGTCTTTGAGATCCAATCACAGTTTCAGTGAACTTGGCAGTCTTGTATAGTTGTATTTTAAGCAAATACTGTCCATCAAAAGTAGCACTTGTTTTTGAGAAATTCTAATTGACAAACTGAATATCTGAATGAGAAATACGCGACTTTGAAGTCGAAAACCCAACCCCCAACTTACCGGCACGATTTCAACTCCAGTCTTAACCCCTGTTTTAACCCTCTTAGCCCGGTTTAACTCGTCCACCGCCTGCCTCATCTTAGCAACATGACCCATCGGTATGTTCTGCTGAGCGTCGTCAGCGCTCATCGAGTTCCGCTGAGAGATATTGGCAGTGATTTATACTGTAACACACAAGCAAATTCTGATGAAAACTTGTCGATTCAGATCTCTGTTTCTGAAGTCAGCGCGCCACCAGTTTCCAACATTTATACGGAAAGAATGAAACGCTTCATCTGGTTAACTCACGTTTTTCATTTTGCTCCACCCGTCGAAGGAGAAGATACTGTCATCTTCCTCCCGATAACTTTTATTGGTGGGTCGTCTTTTCACTACCGGAGAGGGTGACCTGGACTCCTCCATCTCGTCCTCTGAATCATCATCCAGTCTGTGGGAGGGGGAAGATTTCTGTTATTTCAGCGAACTGTGATTACTGACGTAGTTCTGTTATTTCTGTGGTCCGATGTTATTAACATAGTTCTGGTATTTCTGTGATAAGATTTTATTGACATAGTTCTGTTATTTCTGTGGTAAGATTTCATTGACAGTGTCAATTGTGAATGACATAATTCTGTTTCAAGTCTGTAAATTATTTTTTGGTACTCTGTCTGTCAAAGCCGATATTTTGCGTCAGGTGAAACATAACAGTGCAGAAAATTTCATTTTGTACATTATAATTTGAAGGTAACTGCTTTGTAGACACCACAGCTGAGGAAAAATAATTGCGTCTCACTAGTCACGTGACTAAGATTTGATTACGAACAGTTTTTGGAGATTTGATTTTGAGTAGTGATTAATGTGTCGCATGGATACGGAACTAATCAATCAGGGTAACAACACCCAGCCCTCGATCTTCTTAAATTTAGTTTTTAACCACCTGTCTTAATTTCGTTCAACCCACACCGCCAGGTTCTATTATTACACATACAAAACAATAACACGATTAAATTTTAAAAGGGATTAAAACAAGTGATAAAAATGCTAGAAAGTGAGATGTTACATTTAAACATTACATCTAATCAGTTACATAATATAATGTAACATTTAATAAGAAGTGTGTTAAATTCAATGCGATTATACAATTATGGACACTGTTCACGATGTTGCGACTCATACCTAGAAACATTTATTTTGACCTCAGGATGATCCGAATATTCAAATTCTCTACTGCGAACATAAATATGAAGTGTAAAATCCCCATCTTTCAATCAATCCGTCTGCTTTCGTAGACGAAGTAATTTGGAGTACCCCAAAAATCACAATTCCAATGCCTTAGATAGGAATTTTCATCAAGAGTAAGTTCAGAAATTGTCTTTAAAGTTTAAAACTTAATTAAGTGCAAACTTACGGGTTGTAATTAGGATCTCGCAAGCTGTAGCCCGGAGTTGGCTTTTCTGCTTCCTCTGAAATATCATTCATTAAACATTGAGCGAAACTGGTTTCTTGGGGTAGCTTCAAAATAAACGAGTGAAAGTAGCAATGCAAATGACGGGCATATAGCAGAAGCGCCAGAAATGCTGAATGGACAGAATGTGATATAAGAAAATGTTGTGCTTTTAAGTTATTATGCTTGAAGATATTCTTTGGTTTAATAATAGTTCACAGAAGGAAAAACAATCATGAGAGGAACTGAGGAATAAATCTTAATCTTAAGCCATGTCTGTTTTACGATTGTGTAGGCTTTAAAAGTTCACATAAACCCTCCCTTTGAGATAATATCAGATGAAATCTAGAGATATGTCCACTACATCCCACAAGAAAAACAACTGTTCACGCGACTCACCAAACAGCTCGTCGTCATCAAAAGCGTTGTCATCAGAGTACGCCTCTTCCTCGGGGATCTCCTCGCTCTCATCTGACTCCACGTGCTCATCTCGTGATATTCCTTGAAGCACGTGCTGTGAGGCGCGCGGGATTGTCGATTCATCCGGCAATTCTATTTCGGATACATCCTGATCAACCGAGTCAGAGTCATCGTCATCGTCATCGAAATCTAAATCGTAGGCATGCTCAGGTTGGGTTCCAACAATATTTTCAGATGACTTTGCTGATATTTTCGGAGTACTTGCGACCAAATTTTCTGCTGACAAATCCGGAGACGATGGAGATTGAAAGTCTTCACGTGACTTGGCCATGGCGTCACGTGGTGTTGTGATGACATGATTTGGGGTTGACTCTCCTTGCAAGGAAGCTGGTCCGGAAGTCTTCGTTCGCTTAGAGGAATTGGGCCGAGACAGGGATTCTGTAAAAAAATGAAAAGTGCTGTAAAATCATGTTATGCTGTTTAGTTAAATCTTTTCGTGAATTTGTGCTACATTTCTGCTAAAATTCAGCGAGATATCAGCTGCGTAGTATCTGCTTATATCTGTTAATCTCAATCTGTGCTTCTGATAATTTCTGTTTTTAGTTCAGCCGACCAAGTCCAAAGGATATCTTAATACGGCAACAAATTAACAAATAACAACTTAGTATCAACCCAATCAGTAACCAATAGTAACCAATTCAAATAAGTAACCACTCGATAATAAATTAGTCACCATAGGTTACTCACACATGAATAACTCATAATGATGATAACCTTACCTCGGGATCGCCTGAAGGAGGGAGATTTGGGAGGCAGAGTGGTGGGAATGGGGCTGGCGGAGACCGAGCCGCGCGGGGAACCATGATGAGACCCAGAGTTGACACGCTGGCAAATATCGGCTAGCTGAGAGTCCAACCTGAAAATTTCCAGGTTTAGCAAATCGGGGTCATCATAACTTAGAACATTTTTAGAAAATTTACTCTGAGAATGGTTATGATTTTAGATAATCTTCTCAAAACCAGGCCGTCAAGGGGTTAAGGGATTGTCTCTAAAGGACCCTTCTCCGTAAGCCACTTGACACATAGATTATAAATCACACTAGCGTGAGATTTTCCAAACCTCCTAAGGCTGGCTTACGTAATATGTGAACGAGCCTTGACTCATGATCATCACTTTTGAATGCAGATGTTAATTGTTAATGTACACTGAACAGTGAACATTGTGTTGTCAGTAAAACTCAGTTTTTAAAACTTTGTGGCCATCGACTTACTGTTGGATGACATGAGACGTATTTTTAGCGATTCTGTTTCTGTCGATCTGCTCTTTATAATGATGATAGTCCTCGTTCGACAACGAGTCTATATCCTGAAAATAAAAGTGGTTGCCAATAATGAAAATGAGTTTTTAAAAGTATGATATTTGTGTTATTTCTTCACAGATGTTTGAAATGCCAAGATGGTTTCCTATAATTAGAAGGTAATTAGATAATAAAGTTTAAATTGTTAGCATTCTAAAGCCACACCCCGCCCCTAGCCAAGCCCGTTACCCATTTGATGACTTGATCACGATATAAAATTAAATATAACAACTGCTGCAATTGAAATTGTTCTCATTAAAAATGACAGCGATTGATAATTATATGCTTCGACAAATTCATATCAAACATACATAAAACGTCTGAAGTAAGTGTTCAGGGCTGTAACTATCTGAGGTTACTGGGGAGACACTGGGAGATTCTGATGATTCAGTCACGCTGCTGCCACGTGACGTCACCCTGTTGTCACGTGACGTCATCCTTTTCTCCAATAACGGCGCATCATATAAACTTCCCATCCTCCTGGTTCTCGTCATTTCACTGCCGAATGATTTGCACTTGCAGAAGTTTGACTTGTTGAGACACACGAATGATCCGGAAACGCTGTAACGATCTAACAACTGTAGACAGTACTCCACCAGATCCAAACTGTTTGAGTCACGTGACATGCTTTTATCAGTGTCACGTGACAAACTGTAATCATGGCAGCAACCGTCACGTGACAAACTGTAACCATGGCAACCGTTACGTGGGAAACTGTCCATGTAACACAGCGGATCAGCTGGAACTCTCTTTGCAACTCCTAGCTGAACCTTATTTTCGCTGGAACAAAAATCATTCAAAAGTGCAACCTTCCAAGGTGAATAATGTCTGAGTTTTCGTTTCTGAGTTTTTTGTTTTCTATCGGGTCCATCTTTAGATTCTCGTACTTTAGGTTCGATCAGTGAAGCGTAGTAGTGCGAGAAGGCCACGAAATCCATCCTGGTCTTTGGGTGGGGCAGCTATACTTCGGAGCAACTTCACAGCTACTTCACTACTTCACTACGCGAACAACGTTATTCAGCTAATAGAGATAAGAAGGTAAGAATCATTCCGAGAACTGCTGAGCAAACATTAAGGTTGAGAAAAGAAAGGAAAAAGTTATCAGACTATTAGAGGGAAGAAAAACGTAGTCGTTATAATTAAGTATAATCTCTTTAATCGAAAAAAGTGGGCCTATGTTACAGAATTTTGTATCCGAAATCTTTATCATACTCTTATAATAAAAACAACGGTATTCAATTTCCACTACACCGTAAGCTGGAAATAAATTAAACGAACATAATCGAATGTAATTACTAATTTCTCTAAATTTCATAGATTCTACTGTGCTAAATCTACGTTGTTAGCAGCTTGTAAATTGTTCCTTCAACAGCTTCAGTTAAGATGAAGAATGCCAAGAATCTTGACTTCTATTTTCTTCTCTATCTAAAATTCTTCTATATACGGTATTCAAGTTATTTCATCATTTCAATGCAATTCCATCTCAGGGTTATTTGCTAAGTGTTTGCAAGTAGTACAGCTGGTGGAATTTGGCTGCTGATAAAATTTGGCTGCTGTTGATGAAAACTTTTTATTTATTCAAATAAGAACTTCACTACTTTCATTTAAATAAGTTTAAAAATTGAACAATCGCTTATACTATTGGATTCAAATACGATCACTGAAAAGTTGCATCACAACACCATAACTAGACATAGAAAAAAAATCTAACATAAAAAGAACAAAAGTCAAGCCAATAGGCAGGGGTTAGGCAACATTTGAAATGGAAAATCTGTCATCGAACAGAAAACTAAAACATAAAAAATGCACGTGCTGTACGAATTACCAATGGCATTTCGCCTGAACAGTCACGTGACTATACGAGCCAATGAGTGCAGAGTAAATAGGAGAAGTGTGCATCAGGGTTGCTCATGACACCAGTGTGACATGCAGCAGAGAATTACTGTCGAACGTTGCCGTAATTGAAAAAGGGTGAAGACATAATACAATTACTTCTGCGCGTGCCCTGCAGCTGTAGCAAAAGTAGGGGATATAAAACTATGTTGATGAGATATTATACTGACTTGGCATTAAATACTGATGTGATTACCTGCCATTGGTAGGCGAAGTGTATTGGTAGAAGTAAATCGTAATTGAAACTAGGAAAAAGTTAATCAGCAAGGATATTGTATGAATTTTTAATACCAAACGAACAGTTCCTGGCAAGTCAAATAGTATGTTTCATTGAGACAGAATACCGTACAATTTCTCTCGAAATTGTTGATCAGATTTATGATGATTCGTGAAGAAATACATAGTGGAAGGGATTACTATTCACTTCTATGGGGATGTAAGTCTAATAAAAGTAAACTGTCAAGTTTTAAATATCATTGCTATATTATGGAAGCTGGACTTCTCTATATTCCACTTAAAAGTGCTATATTTATTGTTATAATATACTTATCTTATTGATGCAAAAGTTATGTGCCAGTCATCCCTAATTGTGCAATTAAACACTATAAGTGTGTCGCAATGTCGAATAAGCTGCAAATACTCGTAACGAATACCAAATAGTAAATACTGATACGACAAGAAAAATGAAACGATATTAGATAAAAGAACGCTATTTTTAAACACCTCTATTTTATAACCTTTGTTTACGGCACAGAACAATTTCATACCCACGTGACCACGTGACCTTCAACTCAGTCTCACGTGACACGAAACATAAAAACAACTAAAAGACTTACCGGTGAACCAGTAGCATTCAGCAGCCGAATAGCAATTTCGTTTTGGAGTTCCTTGCGGGCTGCATCGATAGCATCAGTGGGATGTTCGTAGTACGCTGGAATTGTGTTTTTATTAATTATACATTAATTAAATATATTATATTAATATATGATGGTAGATAAAAATTGTCGTAGAATTAGCGAAAAACTAAAAACTTCTCCAAATAATGGTTAAGAGGAAAATGGTGTGAAAAAAGCAAAACGAGATGAAAAAAAAGGTGAAAAAACGAGATGGTTAACATAAGTCTCATTTCAAATGTAAGAAATTGAAAACAAATAAAAGTCTCACTTTTAATGTACGGCTTATCAACGAACGGAATATGACGCTTTTCCAACGGAACCTGTATAATTCGTATTGTTAGCTGGTTTAGGAACTGCCAGTAAAAATAGTCACTAGCATATGGACGTCAGTGCACACAAAGTACTGTGATTGGAAATGGAACCACAATATTGACATGCTACACTGTTCACCTGATGTCCGTTAAACTTTGCCCAGGTGAATATATACTATGTAACTTACAATGTACAATCCGTACGTGATTCGTTTGTTAGTTCCAACGAAAAGTTCGTAATATAAGCCTGGAAACTGTGCTCGGATTGGAATTATTATTTAGTGGAGATATTTAGAGCAGGCCTTTCTTACATACTTACTAACTTCCTTGTTTTACAACTTCTAACTTACGTTAATTAAGTTCTTAAGCCTCGGTAGGCAGCAGAAAAGCGGCATATTTCACGGAGAGACAAAACGAAAAGTGTAAATGGCCAGTACTTGAAGAAGGTTTCGGTTGGCATATAATCAATTACGTTGCATAGCTGTTAATTGTCAGCTCGGTAAAAATTACACAATTTGGCGATAGTTGACAGAAATTCTTGAAACTAATTCAGTGCCTATAAATTACAAGTGACACCAAACAATATAATATTCGGGTAATTCACGGTGGTTTGATTAGACTTTTCGTTGCCAATTTTGTGGTTTATTCTGTAAATAGCAACACTAAATCTAAATTCGAGGGAAAATTACTGGTGGCAACCATGTGTTGAATTTTGTTTGTTAGAATGTATAATTATAATCAATAATTCTTAAACGTTTTAAGGAAATGTGCCAATTGACCACATCGCATACCTCTTTGGCTGGAGACGACCTGAAATTAATGATTGTGTTAGAAAGCTCATCGAAAGTTCAGTATCTGGTCAGATTGCTCTTACCGAGAATTAGGAAGTTGTATGGGATTGACATCTGTCATCTGACATCTCGAAAGAAATGTGATGTCGCTCGCACGAGGTAGACGTAAAATTCAAAAGGACGCACATGCGGCGCGCGCGACATGACATCGATCAAATCGTTATTTTGAAGAATTGCGCGCGCACACAAATTGGCAGTCATGATAAAGTTAACATACAAAATTGATTCGCGTGATCCATGTCAGTACATTTCTAAATCTGTTTTGTTGTTCAAATGTAGAGTTTGTCACTGGTCAAGTAACGCTCTTTAGTCCTTGGAAACAATTACTTAAGACTAAATATTCGCCACTTGGAAGTACTCACGATTCTTGGAGCATCGTTACAGGCTGAGATGCAAGGAGCTTCTGTACAACATCTAGATCAGGAGAGTTCTCAACTGGTAGCAATAGTCGTGTTAGTATTATTGGTTGTCATTGTTATTAAAGAAATCACTCCAATTTAGGGGCTTCATTGCCTGTGTTTCAGTGTTTGACAACATAGGAACATTACAAGTAATTCAATTCGTTGACAATAAGTATATCGGTTGTTCCTAGCTGATGAAAATTCCTCTTTTGGTCTTTGGATTAGGAATACCCAGCAGCCACGACATGTAATGTGGACTGATCGTTTTCAAACTTTAATTGAACTTTAAAAATGGCAATGATTAAAATAGTTTATAACCTGTAGGAATATTGTTAAGTTGAGCCAACACAGCCGGTGAAAATGTTGATCTGATGTCAGGCTTCTGAAAAAGTAGACAGTTTTCATTAAAACGAATCCTTATGTGTTGTAATATCACATACTTTGCGTAGGCATCTCAAGTATTGGTACTTTTGGGTTTAGTCCAACAGTTGATCCGAGGAATTCGTAAGGAATTCAGTCAACAATTCTAACAATGTGCATATAAATTAAAGATATACTAAGGTATTATAAACGTTTTGAAAAGGATTAATAACCTCTTTGTTCATTTGGACCAGCTTAGCATTTTCGACTTCCATAGCATTGAGAATCTCTTGTAACCGTTGCTCCGAAACAGTCTTACCGTCCAGCTGTATTAATTAAAGTAAGTTATTTATAGTTAAACAACAAAGTGTTACTGACAGAACGTTAGCCATAGTTTTAATATCTCATGGTATGAAGAGAAGTATTATATTCGTGGTTGACGGCGGCAAAAATGTTAACTAGCATTCTTCAGATCTAAAAATACAGGTTATGACATAAGCTTTGCCGCTTATATATTATTGAAGCGATCTTCATCCGTTTCTTAAAAAACGTTCCGCTTTATAATTACAGCCGTGATACAACCAAAAAGCAATAGTAAACAGCAAATAGTAAAAAGCAACGTAAACAGCAGTTTATGTCTGACCAGAACTACCTATAGTCTATACCAGTAGAATAGTTGACAATTCCAACCTGTTTTATAAGCCTCTCCTCACGTTGCTGGAGCTCATCAATAGCTTGGCGATGCTCTTCCTCGGTGTTCCGCAGTTTCCGGGCCTGTAACTCCATTTCCTGCTGCAACTGCGATATCTGAAAGCAAATATGTGATATAACTATGTGTTTCGATGAACACAAGAATGTATCGAAACCTATGACATATGAACACAAAAATGTGTTAAAATTGGCTTCTATCTGCACCAGTAGAGAGGAGAGATAGCTGGCTATATTCCCGTAAATTAGTACCGTTCTAATATCCTCATGGCTTGTTTGTGGCTGTATTACGGTAGGTCTATAGACCTGATGGAATCAGGGCGGAGTGTCACAAGGTGCCTGTTGAAAGGCTGTTTTGATGACTATTGACTTTTACAGTCGATGATATATTTGTTTGATGGAATTATGATGTGACCGTTTTGTGAATTATTTTCCGATCTAATGTTAGTTGTTACTACCAATTGATAAGCACATTGCCGATACAATAAGTATAATATAATAGTTAATGGTGTTTAACCACCTCATTGTTTACGTTTACAATGTTTATCTACAAGATCACATATCACATTGTTGACATTTTAGTGCGTGATCTATATCTAGGGTGGCTGCAAAAAAGGGTATTTGGAAGCCTGCCAACTGATATACCCTGATATAAAACATCACCACCTCATTATACCAAAGAACCTTAAAACAAAAAAACAGCGAGTATTATTTTGAATACCTCAAAAAGTAACCTGTTTTCCTCCAATATATTATACAGAAATGCTGGCTCGTCAACTAATAATATCGCTAATTAGAACCTATCATATTGCCAATTAGAACCTATCAGCTATAACAAGCATTCCGGTATAAACAGAAAAGTAAACCTCAGCTATTTCTTTTCAGTTCTCGCCAGTGCCATGAACAAAAGAAGCGGCATGGCTTTCTCAAAGCCTTCACGGAATGTTGCAGGGAAAGTGGGACACGGCATGTACCCGGTATAGGCCGTACACTGTAACGGCATGTACCCGGTATATGCCGTACACTGTACCGCGGAATTCAATATCTGATATATAAATCTACTGTAGTAGGAACACCACATACAGTGACACACATGTGTGTAGTGACAGGTAGAGTACCTGATTCTTCCTGCCGACAGTAACGAGGAAACGCTGTTAGTTAAATAATGAACTTGGTGAGGTATTACCGGCGTTGAAGGTTCATTGCTTTTGTGGAGATCCTATTTCTCAGCATTTTTCTGATATTCTCCACCCCTGGCCCTGTGTTCATTGGACAAGGAGTGAAATATTCAGCTCACATTGTTTAAGATCAAGGCCATGGGGGGTTGTGTGAAAAAATGTTATGGAATGCGAATGAAACAAGGGTTTCTATTAGAATTCCGTTTGCTGAAAATTAAAAATGTTGGCCCAGGGAAGATTTAAAGATCTAATATTCCCATCACCACCAGTGTTAAACTCTATCATGTCTAAGAGGGAACTCTCACAAAATTCTAGTGGTAAATAGAGACAGTTAGTCGGCACTGATACATCTGTGATAACATGATGAAACACTGCAGGTTTCCTACCTTGATACTATCTTGGTGGAATGAACTTCAGAGGAAATGTTTTTTAAACACCGAGAAAAGTTGTGAGTAGACGAAAGAACCCGTATTTGGAGCATGAAATATCAAGGGAACTTACAAATATGTTAACGTCCGATGGGAATTGTCAAAATTCCCTATTAATACCAAGAATTTGGTCTAAAAGTCGGCCAATTTTCTTAACATTGAGGCGGCTGTGGAGAAAACATATAGGAGGAGCAAAAGAATTGTCATTTCTTTTTGCCCCAGTCCTTGATGTGTAAACAGGGATTGGTAAACTGGGAGTGGGCTACAAACAAACAAACAAACAAACAAACAAACAAACAAACAAACAAACAAACAAACAAACAAACAAACAAACAAACAAACAAACAAACAAACAAACAAACAAACAAACAAACAAACAAACAAACAAACAAACAAACAAACAAACAAACAAACAAACAAACAAACAAACAAACAAACAAACAAACAAACAAAAAAAACAAACCTTGAATTCGAACTGTCCCTCTAGCTCAGAAAGCTGTTCTTGTCGTAACTCGTCGTGCTCATGTTTCTCATCTCTGAGCGCTCCTAGATTAGACACTATACCTGAAATAATATCATGTTAAAGATAATTATTTATTATCACATCAATTTGATCATAGTCTTTTAGTATTCAATGTATATCAATCTTAATCTGTTATAGCAGAAATGATTTTCAAATTTCACATTTTTACGATTTAGTCGATGTCCTATCCAGAATTAATTGCATTTTTCCTAAAATAAATTTGGATTTAACCGATTTTCAGAGTACTTGTCAACAAGACAGGTACTATTATATCGAACAATGGACGATTAATGCAGATTATTAGTGTAATGGTACCGAGATCTTTTAATTCTCGGCTATAAAACCAACACAAAGCGTTCTAGAAATACCAGCTGGTACGCAATAAGAAGGTTTTTGTGGCTGATATTTTTAAGTTCTGGGAGTTCCAGCAGGTGTCTGAGTGTTGGTACGAGCTCGATATAGACTCATGTCGGAGAAATTCCAAGGTCTGTGACAGGTATTTTATATTTGGAACTAAATATCTATGGATTGGTAGAAACTGCGACAGGTAGTACGAATTGGTAGGGTAACTTAAATCTTTAAAAAATGAGCCGATCTTATTTTCTTATATAATGATAGCACATATTATGCTGGAACTTTACAAGATTCGAATCGTTTCCATTTTTTCTCTATGTCCCTGAACTTGGCCCCATTGAACAGTAGCAGAAAATGTATAGTAGTATTAACATTGAAATAATATTGTGTATAAATCATGAAGTGATACGATCTATCAGTTATAGTAGTATGAACTAGGTAACTAGGTAACTAGGTAACTAGGTAACCTTGCATAATCATGAGCTGCTCTGACGCACTAAGATCACTCCGCTTCTTGCTAGTATAAACCTGACAAGCTTTGTTCTTACGATACAGCCCAACAGTCTGAGTGTGTCTCGTGTTCGTCTCTCCCCTACTTGTCAAACCAGTCTGTTTATCTGTCTGTTTGTCTGTGTGTTTGTCTGTTTGTTCGTCTGTCGGTGATTTAGTTTCAGGCTGGTCTGTCAGCATTTCCGAGATCCAGTCCATGATGGCATGCGGTTTGTTGTCTGATTGTTATGCTCGAGAATTTCGCACTTGATCCTAAAAATACGCCGTCACGTGTTAAGAAATATTTTAGATAATGATTGTATTTTATTTTTGTACGTAACAAAAGCATCACGTGCTGGCTGTCTCGTCGGAGTTAGAGTTAAAGAAATTTAACAACGAAAGAGTTATGTAGCCGTGAGAAATATTTGAAGGCTTGAAGGCTTGTTTTATGACAAATACGGATATCACTAAAAGGTTTCTCTAGGACAAAACTTGTCAGATTCATTTGAGACAATCGGGATTTACGAAGCTATGCCACATTTTAAACAAAACTACAGTAACTGTAAAGCAACTGCTGCTTTAAAGTTAATGTGATCTTAGTTAGAGTAGCTAAACCAGTCGCTGCTTTCCCAATGATAAGAGTTATTGAGTGTAAGTACCCAATTTACCCATGTTTTCCTTGGAACACGTTACAAAACACTGTGTCTACTGCTAATTAGTTAATTAATTAGTTAATTAATTAGGTGATATTCTCTGTAAGTACATTTGGGCAGGATGTCACCATTCTCCTATAACTCCTTTATCTTTTCTAATAAACGTTAAAGTGCAAGTGTTGCGGAAGCGTGCAGACTGTAGGTTGCTGCTTCAAATTCATACTGTAATCATCTAGGATATGAGCAGTGAGCAGTGGTGCAGTAATTATATAGATACGGTGTATTGTACAATGGGTCCCTACTGCATACGGTACACTTAATCACATGTAATGTACATTTGTTATAATCCAGTGTCTTGCTTCTAGAGCTCTACACTGTGTTTACTATAATACATTACTGTATATTATTCACTATATTATAGAGTTGTGCATTCTTACTAGATTTTCTATACTGTCCAACATAACACAACATCGGAAACTTCCTGTACAACCCAATGTTACTTCTTATGAACCAGTGTAAATGTCTTAAAGGCCGGGGGGCCTCAGCAAGTTCTGCTCATTATGATAATTAAAGTTAATTAACCACAGCTGCACGCTGGCAAACACAGCTGACAGGTGCTTCAAAGGGATACCATTTAGTTGAATATTTATATTGGGTTAACACTCAACATATTACTCTTCCTTTAAGTGGGTGTGGGTGGGTAGTCTGTACACATTCTAGTTTCTTATTATTGAAAAAAAATAATAGGAGTGTTGTTGGAAATTACATTTGACAGGGAGGAAAAAACCATTATCCACGTTATTTTAGTATGAGAAAAAAAAAACCGTAACCCTGGCAACAACCCCCGTTACCCTAGCAACAACCCCCGTTACCCTGGCAACAACCCCCATTACCCTGGCAACAAACCCCGTTACCCTGGCAACAAACCCCATTACCCTGGCAACAACCCCCGTTACCCTGGCAACGAACCCCGTTACCCTGGCAACAAACCCCGTTACCCTGGCACTACCTTGACAAGCGAACTCTCCGTCCTCTATAATAGTAGGATCCTCAGTCTCTGACACATCAGACAGATCCAACTCTCCCTCAAAAGCATACAATGTAGAAGTGAAGTCACTCCATGCCTCCTCATTTTCACCTTTACTGACTGTCCCTGGATCTATCTTATCATGTGTAACAGAATTTTCTGTACATTCCAGACTTCTGAGAACTGCACAGATACACTTATTATTTCCATCCTCCGTCATTGACTCAGCTTCTGTGGACCTACAAGTTGTCTCATCACAAGTTTCGCAACACTCAGAATAAGATTCACACTGGTCTATATCATGATCCGTATCTCGGCTATCCCTGACTCTACTATCCGATATTTGGCTATCAAAACTGGAAACGTATCTAACAATACCATAGAGGATAGCGGAGGCCCCTGATAGAGCCATACCCCCTACAACGAAGTGGTTCATAACAACAGGTAGGATCCTCGAGAACCAGGTAAATAGCCGACCAGTTCTCCAGCCGGGACGATCCAGGATCAATAACGTGTATACTGTAGAGCTAGAGTCGAACTAGAATGTGGATCTTGCTTTAGGTCAACAAGTTTAGGATCACGTAGTAGGTGTAGGAACACGTGTAGGATCACGTAGTAGGTGGTATTAGTAGGATATTCGACCAAATCACACAGTCAGGTCGTCAGGACTAGATCACAAAGACCACGAACTTGCAATACTACTTAACTCCCAAATATCAAAGACAAAGAGTATGATCTATCATCACGACGTGGAGTCAGCCCAACATTAAAGCAACAAAACGTGTCGACAGTCGCGACTCCTTGACGTTCATAATTCACTAACAAAATCACGGACACCAACAACGTACTAATCCAGGAAACCCGCTCACCAGCATTGAAAATAGCTTACAACTCTATAACACGGCTGACTCGGCTGCCCAATTCACTTGTCAAGCCACGGAATGTTGCTTGTTACGTATGTTCTAAAGGTTAATTAAAGCGGAGTAATTGGTTAAATGCAGGATATATGTGGCCAGTGCTGTTAGTGTGACGGCTGAAATGTTAACACAACATGTTTGACACACAGTGTGGGTGTGTGGGTGAAGTGGACTGTGGACAAGGGGATCTATGCGGGGAATCTATTTTCATGTTACTGATGGCATTCCTTAACTTTCTAGTTGAATTCTTGTCATTTTATTTAGATCTCTTGATTGGTTGTGAGTATTTATTTGGTGATGAAAAGTATGGGATAAAATGAAAATCTAAAGCATGCAAACCAGGAAATTCCGAGGGCAGGAATTAGTCCGTGTGTTTGGGATTAGCCGTAATTCTACAAACCCATATATGTCATGGTTACAAGACAAAAGGAACGACGAGGAGGAACAATGAGATGCAATAATAAGCTATTATTGCTAATTAATAGCTAATTGCAAGAGCTAATAATTGCACGGCACTACCTTTACCCATCTAACCCTCACTTGGCACATGACATTTGCCTGTCTGCTCACTTCTAGACAGTGGTCCTGGAAATTTGTATGACAAATAGTATTATAACATCATATGACGTCCTTTTAGAGAGGCAATCCAGTCCTGTCTCTTAGAGGGTACCTAGATTCACTGAGTCTGTCATGGTCGTATCCTCCTAAAGTCCTAAACATTAGTTACAGACACAAGTTTAGTCTGAGGGACGGATCCATGAGTGTAAATGTCTACTAACAAGGCCAGTAGAAACTATACTTGTTTGACAAATAGATGGGTAAAAATTGTTCAATTTTCATTCTCACCTTCATCTGGACTGTAAGATGGGAGCTACAAAATGAGGTTATAAAGTTAGAACACTCAATAGCAATCAGATTTAGCCTGATACAATTCTCAGCTCATTTCAGTAATCTCGTTACACAATATGGTATAATATGATTCTCGTAATGGGTATTTACATGCTAAAATGGAGTTACATAGCAACTTTACATAAGCCCTAATGTAGTTTACAGTTTTTACATCAGCCTCAATGTTCATGTTGGATACGTGAATATCTGCAGTTATTTAATTTTCTGAAAAACTCAATTTAAACAACCTAAGGAGAAATATAGTAACGTATCAGATGAGTCGCATAATTTATTTATCAACTCCATAATCAAACGATTCTAAGGAATAGTCGTCTCCAATGAAAATATCTAACTTAAATTATAAAATAAAATAATATTTAGCTTGTTTTACAGCTACACATGCACAAAGTAATTATGCTGCAGAGCACACTTGTCTATGAGTAGTGTACACTATTGTATATAAGTATACTACACCGCATATATATTTGTCTTTTACATTACGCATGAAATTCGTTTGCTGATAAGAAAATTTACCATGGTCGACGCCGCGCTCAACTTATTGGATCAGCCAACCACCCACCCACCTCACGAGACGAATCCTTCACCAGATGACAAGGGGCTACCAGGTAGTGACCCACTCACTACCTCTTCAAAGACCTGCCTGGTACCCCCACAACAAGACGGTACGTACGATAAAACTTTTAGGACGGCAC